TGTCACACCTGTGGTAAGTGTGGTAGCGCACAGTAACACCTGTCACACCTGTGGTAAGTGTGGCAGCGTACAGTAACACCTGTCACACCTGTGGTAAGTGTGGCAGCGTACAGTAACACCTGTCACACCTGTGGTAAGTGTGGCAGCGCACAGTAACACCTGTCACACCTGTGGTAAGTGTGGCAGCGCACAGTAACACCTGTCACACCTGTGGTAAGTGTGGCAGCGTACAGTAACACCTGTCACACTGTGGTAAGTGTGGCAGCGTACAGTAACACCTGTCCACCTGTGGTAAGTGTGGCAGCGCACAGTAAGACCTGTCACACCTGTGGTAAGTGTGGCAGCGTACAGTAACACCTGTCACACCTGTGGTAAGTGTGGCAGCGTACAGTAACACCTGTCACACCTGTGGTAAGTGTGGCAGTGTACAGTAACACCTGTCACACCTGTGGTAAGTGTGGTAGCGCACAGTAACACCTGTCACACCTGTGGTAAGTGTGGCAGCGTACAGTAACACCTGTCACACCTGTGGTAAGTGTGGCAGCGACAGTAGCACCTGTCACACCTGTGGTAAGTGTGGCAGCGCACAGTAACACTGTCACACCTGTGGTAAGTGTGGCAGCGCACAGTAACACCTGTCACACTTGTGGTAAGTGTGGCAGCGTACAGTAACACCTGTCACACCTGTGGTAAGTGTGGCAGCGTACAGTAACACCTGTCACACCTGTGGTAAGTGTGGTAGCGCACAGTAAGACCTGTCACACCTGTGGTAAGTGTGGCAGCGTACAGTAACACCTGTCACACCTGTGGTAAGTGTGGCAGCGTACAGTAACACCTGTCACACCTGTGGTAAGTGTGGTAGCGCACAGTAACACCTGTCACACCTGTGGTAAGTGTGGCAGCGTACAGTAACACCTGTCACACCTGTGGTAAGTGTGGCAGCGTACAGTAACACCTGTCACACCTGTGGTAAGTGTGGTAGCGCACAGTAACACCTGTCACACCTGTGGTAAGTGTAGCAGCGTACAGTAACATCTGTCACACCTGTGGTAAGTGTGGCAGCGTACAGTAACACCTGTCACACCTGTGGTAAGTGTGGCAGCGTACAGTAACACCTGTCACACCTGTAGTAAGTGTGGTAGCGTACATAACACCTGTCACACCTGTGTAAGTGTGGTCAGCGTACAGTAACACTGCCACAACCTGTGGTAAGTGTGGCAGCGTACAGTAACACCTGTCACACCTGTGGTAAGTGTGGCAGCGTACAGTAACACCTGTCACACCTGTGGTAAGTGTGGCAGCGTACAGTAACACCTGTCACACCTGTAGTAAGTGTGGTAGCGATATAAACACCTGTCACCTGTGGTAAGTGTGGCAGCGTACAGTAACACCTGTCACACCTGTGGTAAGTGTGGCAGCGTACAGTAAACCTGTCACACCTGTGGTAAGTGTGGTAGCGTACAATAACACCTGTCACACCTGTAGTAAGTGTGGTAGCGTACAGTAACACCTGCCACACCTGTGGTAAGTGTGGCAGCGTACAGTAACACCTGTCACACCTGTGGTAAGTGTGGCAGCGTACAGTAACACCTGTCACACCTGTGGTAAGTGTGGTAGCGTACAGTAACACCTGTCACACCTGTGGTAAGTGTGGCAGCGTACAGTAACACCTGTCACACCTGTGGTAAGTGTGGCAGGTACAGTAACACCTGTCACACTGTGGTAAGTGTGGTAGCGACAGTAACACCTGTCACACCTGTGGTAAGTGTGGCAGCGTACAGTAAACACCTGTCACACCTGTGGTAAGTGTGGAGCGTACAGTAACACCTGTCACACCTGTGGTAAGTGTGGAGCGCACAGTAACACCTGTCACACCTGTGGTAAGTGTGGCAGCGCACAGTAACACCTGTCACACCTGTGGTAAGTGTGGAGCGTACAGGTAACACATGTCACACCTGTGGTTAAGTGTGGCAGCGTACAGTAACACCTGTCACACCTGTGGTAAGTGTGGTAGCGCACAGTAAACACCTGTCACACCTGTGGTAGTGTGGCAGCGTACAGTAACACCTGTCACACCTGTGGTAAGTGTGGTAGCGACAGTACACCTGTCACACCTGTGGTAAGTGTGGAGCGCAGTGAACACCTGTCACACCTGTGGTAAGTGTGGCAGCGCACAGTAACACCTGTCACACCTGTAGTTAGTGTGGCAGCGCACGTAAACACCTGTCACACCTGTGGTAAGTGTGGCAGCGTACAGTAACACATGTCACACCTGTGGTAAGTGTGGCAGCGTACAGTATAACACCTGTCACACCTGTGGTAAGTGTGGCAGCGCACAGTAACACCTGTCACACCTGTGGTAAGTGTGGCAGCGTACAGTAACACCTGTCACACCTGTGGTAAGTGTGGCAGCGCACAGTGACACCTGTCACACCTGTGGTAAGTGTGGCAGCGTACAGTAACACCTGTCACACCTGTGGTAAGTGTGGCAGCGTACAGTAACACCTGTCACACCTGTGGTAAGTGTGGCAGCGCACAGTAACACCTGTCACACCTGTGGTAAGTGTGGCAGCGCACAGTAACACCTGTCACACCTGTGGTAAGTGTGGCAGCGCACAGTAACACCTGTCACACCTGTGGTAAAAGCCAGAGAACGTGTTTGGTAATAAAAATATTATCGTATCTAAGAGAATCAATACAATATTGACGTCCGGGAACCTGGTCCTGAAAATTCATTTCGTTACCCCTGGCGGTGACTTAAAGAACTACTGGAAACTGTGCACCTTTTTAATTAGCCAAACTTCTAAAATAATCTAGAAATGTGGATAAACATGAATTAATATTATTATTATCTCCTCGGGGTAATATTAGGTACACTTAATTTGGGTGTATAAATTCGTTTGTAATAATTACTTTTCTGATTATTAATTTTTGAAGGTGATTCAGGTTACCGGACAATTTCCAAGGATTATTATATAGAGTTCTACGTCCATGATATATCTCACCTTTCATAGGAATGTATACACTAAGGGGGTGTATGTCTCTCAGAGACATACACACGTCTATGTCTCTCAGAGACATACACACGTCTATGTCTCTCAGAGACATACACACGTCTATGTCTCTCAGAGACATACACACGTCTATGTCTCTCAGACATACACATGTCTATGTCTCTCAGAGACATACACACGTCTATGTCTCTCAGACATACACATGTCTATGTCTCTCAGAGACATACACACGTCTATGTCTCTCAGAGACATACACACGTCTATGTCTCTCAGAGAATATATGCAGAGGGTTTATGTCAACTCTTATTTTAGGGATTAATGTATTTTTGTCTGGTGGTGACCAGGTAACGTGCAGCCTCAGTGACCTTAGGGTAGTCGATAGGCTTTAAACCGAATTAACTGATCATTACTGAGTATGAACATTAAGACTGATGTACGACAGTCCATTAACTTCAGAGAAAATGTATTTGAGGTGGTCAGTCCCATGGTCTGGAACGATATATTTAAAGTCCATGGAACTGAATACTCCTCCAGACTGAGGGACTGACCACCTTAAATACTTTTATCTCTATGTATTTGACTGAAGAAGCCTACTGTGTAGGCGAAACGTTTCATCAATGAAGATACCCAACTGTTGCACATGTGTTTTAATCTTCAACAGTCAGTATTTTATACTATTTTCAACATTACTGATTATACTCCATCAGTTGTCTGCTCCACAGTGTACTGCACCGGTCCACCAGTTATACCACATGCCCGTCACGACGGCCTGGAAGCCAGAACCAGGTTTGAGGTCAATCATACTCTCAAATATACGTGTTACGAGGGGTATACCACGAGAGGGTTCGATGTGGCTAAATGCTTCTTGTACAACAACACCATGCAGTGGTTCGGCCCAGAGATAGAGTGTGTGCGTAAGTATACTTGCTTGTACACACAACACACACACACATACACACACACATACACACACACACACACACACACACACACACACACACACACACACACACACACACACACACACACAGATTGAATCCTCATTGACTACTATTGACTCTTCTTATTAACGTAAGATGTTCAGTAACATTAGATGAGATAAAGTTCTGAGACAAATATTTGTCTCAGGACATATAGGTATGTGTGTGTGTGTGTGTGTGTGTGTGTGTGTGTGTGTGTGTGTGTGTCTGTGTGTGTGTGTGTGTGTGCGTGTATGTATGTAAATATGTATGTATATTCCAGACATTTTAAGATTAAGTTATCTTCCACAATTTAATGAAAATAAATGATGTACGTCATGTGTACGTCATGATTCACGTACACAGCAACTAACATCAACACTGCACCACCAGCTAAGGAGTGTGGAGATCCTGGAGAAATCCTCAACGGCTTCAAGGAAGGAAACTGTTATTCCTTCTCATGTCGCATCGTCTACCACTGTCGTCCAGGGTTCCAGATGGAGGGTCACAGGAACTACTACTGTCAACATGATGGCTCCTGGAACCCCAGAGATCTTCCCACTTGTAAACGTAAGGCAACTTCAAAGTAGGTTTAACACAGCCTCAAAGTAGGTTAAACACAGCCTCAAAGTAAGTTTAACACTGCCTCAAAGTAGGTTTAACACAGCCTCAAAGTAGGTTTAACACAGCCTCAAAGTAGGTTTAACACAGCCTCAAAGTAGGTTTAACACAGTCTCAAAGTAAGTTTAACACAGCCTCAAAGTAGGTTTAACACAGCCTCAAAGTAACTTAACACAGCCTCAAAGTAGGTTTAACACAGCCTCAAAGTAGGTTTAACACAGCCTCAAAATAAGTTTAACACAACCTCAAAGTAGGTTTAACACAGCATCAAAGTAAGTTTTACACAGCCTCAAAGTAGGTTTAACACAGCATCAAAGTAAGTTTTACACAGCCTCAAAGTAGGTTTAACACAGCCTCAAAGTAAGTTTAACACAGCCTCAAAGTAGGTTTAACACAGCCTCAAAGTAGGTTTAACACAGCCTCAAAGTAGGTTTAACACAGCCTTAAAGTAAGTTTAACACTGCCTCAAAGTAGGTTTAACACAGCTTCAAAGTAGATTTAACACAGCTTCAAAGTAGGTTTAACACAGCCTCAAAGTAGGTTTAAGACAAATTACGGAACTACGCTAAAGGAACATTTACATATTCATCCACACATTCGTGACCTTTGCACTGTTCCTGGATTTTTTATGACCTCTCGGGATATGCAAGAACCTTAAATTAATAAAAAATTGCATCAGTAAAAGTTACAACATCGCCATTACGAAGTTTCATGGTATCAGAAAAATTGTGGGGGACTGAACTCACGGCGGACTTGTTTTAAAATAAAGTTTAGCCGAATACATAATTAACATTAAGTGTGTCCGTGTTGCAGCCATCCAGTGCAACATACCTGACAACCCAGACAACGGGAAAGCCACTTTCAACTCAGTCTTCTACAACGCCGTGGTGTCCTACGACTGCAACTACGGCTACATGATCGTAGGTGCCTCCACCCGTCGCTGTGGCCCTGATACTGAGTGGAGTGGAACTGTGCCACACTGTAAAGGTACGTCTTAAACTCTGATTCCTGTCACTTCTGTATACACGAAAAGTAGCGACTTTAGTATACACTCGTGTGGCAGTTTTCTTGATTATATATTAATGGATGCACTGAGAAACAACAAATCATGAGCAATAAAGTGTACAAGTGCATTAAAGTACAACATAGAGCATAACATTAAGCACATACATATATAACTACATTTGGACGATTAAAGATTACATTATTCCATTTTAATCTCATATATTCTCCATTTGATAACACTAACATGTCAGCCATTTATTTTTTACTAAGAATATGGAATAAGGGGAAGACTTAAGTATCCATATTGTGTATCCTGATCCTCGGTACAGAGGCTGGAGACTTGAGTAAAGAATACCAAGAGTAACACGCAGTTACGAACACCTCTCACATTCCTGAGTGATTCATTATTCTTTCCCTTTATGTAGCTCACGTAAGTCCAAGGATGGTGCCCACTATAATGAAAATACTATTTAAAATATATCTCATCCTGACATTGTAATGCTGTGTTGTCTTACTGCTCTGTTACCTTGGTTCTTCAAGAATTAGTGGGGGTCCTATAATTGTGTTACTTTTGAAGAATGTGCCGTGTAGGCGGCGTATAACAGAATTACGATGGAATGATGAGAGATGTGATGGGAGTTGTATCATTGGAAGGATATCTTTCGTGAGCTAGACAGGCTAACAACTCCGCCTTGCCAGAGATTGACTGTGGTTCACCTGGCGACCTCTACAATGGTTGGCTCGAGGGTTCTCGCAGTAACTTCGGTGCGGTCATTAAGTTTCGCTGCAACGACAATATGAAATACGAGGGTTACCATGACCGCCGCACTGAGTGTCAGAAGAACGGCACCTGGTCGCATCCTCTTCCTAAGTGCCTAGGTGCGTAAGTGCTGCATCTTGTCTCTTCAGTAAATGCCTATCAGATCACGGAACGGATGGGGATTGAACCCGTGGCAGGTGTGTCCTAAAACTCACAGGCCAGTGCGCTAACCGCCAGGCCGTGGGTTCGAGTCCCACCCGTTCCGTGAGTGGTTTGTAGTCGTGTTATTACGATTTCGTGAGTCATTAGTCACTACCTTTGTGTTCACAGTTAACCCACAGATTGGAAATGGAATTTTTAGTCGCAGCTCCTGGCCTAGTAACTTGATCATTGGCCAGGATGGGCAGAAACCTCACCCAGTTCCCGTGGCTTAGTTGTGAAGTGTCACAACAACGTTACTGTCCTATAGGAAGTATTTCTTCAGTCACAGAGTTGTCAGGAAGTGGAATAGTGTAGCAAGTGATGTAGTGGAGGCAGGAACCATACATAGCTTTAAGACGAGGTATGAAAAAACTCATGGAGCAGGGAGAAAGAGGACCTAGTAGCGTTCAGTGAAGAGGCGGGGCCAGGAGCTGAGTCTGGATCCCTGTAACCACAATCAGGTAAGTACGGTCACCTGGGTCTCCACAGTTCCCTACGATGCACAACCTAACTAAAGTGAAATAATGAGACACAAAATCTAGAATTAATCTTCTTTAAGTTACTTTAAGAAGTTACGTTAGTGTGTGGAGACGATAACTTTAGAAATAAAAGGAAAAGGTTAAAATGCCAATAATTGTTTGTTAAGTTCATTCACTATCATAGGAAAAAAATTATAAGATAATGAGGAAAACTCACACTTCTATCAACAACACACTCACAAAGTGAGTGTGTTGTTGATAGAAGTGTGTGTGTGTACTCACCTAATTGTGGTTGCGGGGGTTGAGACTCAGCTCCTGGCCCCGCCTCTTCACTGAGTGCTACTAGGTCCTATCTCTTCCTGCTCCATGAGCTTTATCATACCTCATCTTAAAGCTATGTATGGTTCCTGCCTCCACTACCTCACTTGCTAGGCTATTCTACTTCCTGATGACTCTATGACTGAAGAAATACTTCCTAACATCCCTTTGACTCATCTGAGTCTTCAACTTCCTATTGTGACCCCTTGTTTCTGTGTCACATCTCTGGAACATCCTGTCTCTGTCCACCTTATCTATTCCACGGAGTATTTTGTATGTCGTTATCATGTCTCCCCTAACCCTCCTGTCCTCCAGTGTCGTCAGGCCGATTTCCCTTAACCTTCCTTCGTAGGACATTCCCCTTAGCTCCGGAACTAGCCTTGTGTGTGTGTGTGTGTGTGTGTGTGTGTGTGTGTGTGTGTGTGTGTGTGTGTGTGTGTGTATGTGTGTGTGTGTGTGTGTGTGTGTGTGTACTCACCTATTTGTACTCACCTATTTGTGGTTGCAGGGGTCGAGTCATAGCTCCTGGCCCCGCCTCTTCACTGATTGCTACTAGGTCCTCTCTCTCCCTGCTACATGAGCTATATCATACCTCGCCTTAAAACTATGTATGGTTCCCGCCTCCACTACTTCACTTTCTAGACTATTCCACACTTGACTACTCTATGACTGAAGAAATACTTCCTAACATCCCTTCGATTCATCTGAGTCTTCAACTTCCAATTGTGACCTCTTGTGTCTGTGTCCCATCTCTGGAACATCCTGTCTTTGTCCACCTTGTCTATTCCGCGCAGTATTTTATATGTCTTTATCATCTCTCCCCTGACCCTCCTGGCCTCCAGTGTCGTCAGGCCGATTTCCCTCAACCTTTCTTCGTAGGACAATCCCCGTAGCTCTGGACTAGTCTGTGTTGCAAACCTTTGCACTTTCTCTAATTTCTTGACGTGCTTGACTAGGTGTGGATTCCAAACTGGTGCTGCATACTCCAGTATGGGCCTGACGTAAATGGTATACAGGGTGCTTGAACGACTCCCTTACTGAGGTATCGGAACGCTATCCGTAGGTTTGCCAGGCGCCCGTATGCTGCAGCAGTTATCTGATTTATGTGCGCCTCAGGAGATATGCTCGGTGTTATACTCACCCCCAGATCTTTTTCCTTGAGTGAGGTTTGCAGTCTTTGGCCATCTAAACTATATTGTGTCTGCGGTCTTCTTTGCCCCTTCCCCAATCTTCATGACTTTGCATTTGGCAGGGTTAAACTCAAGGAGCCAGTTGCTGGACCAGGCTTGCAGCCTGTCCAGGTCTCTTTGTAGTCCTGCCTGATCCTCATCCGATTTGATTCTTCTCATTAACTTCACATCATCTGCAAACAAGGACACTTCTGAGTCTATCCCTTCCGTTATGTCGTTCACATATACCAAGAACAGCACAGGTCCTAGGACTGACCCCTGTGGAACCCCGCTTGTCACAAGCGCCCACTCTGACACCTCGTCACGTACCATGACTCGTTGTTGCCTCCCTGTGTGTGTGTGTGTGTGTGTGTGTGTGTGTGTGTGTGTGTGTGTGTGTGTGTGTGTGTGTGTGTGTGTGTGTGTGTGTGTGTGACGTACTGGTATCTACAGTAACAAACATACAGTAGGTGTCGTGTAAAGGAGTACAAGATGGCAGGAGTGCCGCCAGGGGATCCTACCTCCCAAGGATCTTTAATACATTGCACTAATAAAATATTAAATATAATTCTCTTTATATTTTTTTTATTTACCAGGTTAGTGAAGGCATCAACCAGTGTGCCAAGTGGAGCCTCTGAAGCAGTAATTTAAAAATACGATAAAAACATGGTCAGAATTAATTCATACGTAAGTTGAAGGTTTAGTAAGTAAGTACTTATATTCAGGTATACACAAATAATTTTACACAGATAATCATACATAGCAGCATATGTGTAGAGAATCTTGGGTTATCCCAGGTTCTCTACACATATGCTGCTATGTATGATAATCTATGTAACTGTATTTCTGTATACCTGAATAAACTTAATTACTTACTAAACCTTCAGCTTCCGTATGACTTAATTCTGACTATGTTTTTATCGTATTTTTAAATTACAGCTTCAGAGGCTCCACTTGGCACACTGGTTGATGCCTTCACTAACCTGGTAAACAAAAATAAATTCCTGTTATTACTTCTGCATGATAACCTTAGTAAGTTAAAATTGCATTTCGTTCTGTGTAACTTTCTAGCAGACATTTTAAACAAAGTTATTTGGCTTATTATGATGTAACTTAATCCTCAAGATTTTCCTGGTTAGGAGAGATATTCATCTGAAGACAAAAACTGCTTCTTCGTTAAAAAATCTGGTGATTTAATTGCAGTTTTGATCAATATTTGGGTAGGATTTTGCTTTCTGTGAGAAAATTGACATATCCGGTTTAATTATATTTCGAAACATGTGGAATCAGACTGGCTGGATACTCATCATGACACTAAAACAATGTTAAATTTCAACTTTATTTACCTACACAACGTACATGTTACCTTATCCACTCAGCCATCGATCCTACAAAGATCACGCACCCAGCAGAGCTAGGTACCACGAGTGTTCTCGGATCACGAAAAAAACACCTAGCTCTGCTGGGTGCGTGATCTTTGTAGGATCAGTGGCTGAGTAGACAAGGTGACATGCATGTTGTGTCATTTCTTGAGGCGGGACAATGTGCCGTGGGATCGAACCCCGGCGTGCCGCAGTTTAGTAAGCTGGCTGGTGGTCAGGATGGTGGAGGGAGGTCATTAGTACTTAGAAACGTCTTGATGTTTCGAGGTTCGTTTTATCTATATAACTTTAACAGCAGCAGAATATTATACTAAGTTTGAAGATTAGAGAAATTCTTAAAACAGATTTACTGTTTATAACTTAACACAGTTATGGTCAAGGCTAGAGCTGGGAGAGACTTACATATGATATAATGCCATCCTTTATTGACAACGTTTCGCCCGTTGTCATTTGTGTGAACGAAATTTTGCATTTACGTTTTTTTTCTCCTTTCCCATCATGTTATTCTATACCATTTCTTTCCAGTATGATAAATCACGAAGAGGCATGATGACTTGACTGTCAGTTTACCCAGAAGTCAGTTAGTGACTGTCTGATCTCTGGTTATAACACTGCTGTCAGCAAACCCTGGAATGTCAGTTTACCCAGAAGTCAGTTAGTGACTGTCTGATCTCTGGTTATAACACTGCTGTCAGCAAACCCTGGAATGTCAGTTTACCCAGAAGTCAGTTAGTGACTGTCTGATCTCTGGTTATAACACTGCTGTCAGCAAACCCTGGAATGTCAGTAACGATCCTCCGTTAAACTAAATTTAAATAGGTAAAATCGGCTTACAAATTGAGTATATACCTAAAGACGACAGCACTGTATCTGATGGGTAATTAAAATTTCTCTCTGATTGTATTTGTTTCCTTGCGAGGGAGTCGCAACACGTTCGTAACAAGTAGCTTTCGTGCAGCGCCATGTATCGTGCCGACGATTGACAACGGGCGCCTCAGCAACGAGACTCGTGCCGGGTTGCAAGTACCGCACGGCAGCGTTATCAGGGTGGTATGCAACGATTTCTACGAACCTACCTTCAAGTCCGTGCCTTCAACCTGCTACAACGGCACCTGGACCCACTACCCGCACTGCCAGCCAGGTAAGCTGAGGTGTTGATTACCAGGTAAGTTGAGGTGCTCCTTACCATCTAAATAGGTAAGCTTAGGTGCTCTTTACTATCATAACGAGGTTAGCAGAGTGTTCCCAACCATACAATCACTTTAGCAGAGTGTTCCCAACCATACAACCATGTTAGCAGAGTGTTCCCAACCATACAACCATGTTAGCAGAGTTGTTCCCAACCATACAACCATGTTAGCAGAGTGTTCCCAACCATACAACCATGTTAGCAGAGTGTTCCCAACCATACAACCATGTTAGCAGAGTGTTCCCAACCATACAACCATGTTAGCAGAGTGTTCCCAACCATACACATGTTAGCAGAGTGTTCCAACCATACAACATGTTAGCAGAGTGTTCCCAACATACAACCTGTTAGCAGAGTGTTCCCAACCTTACAACCATGTTAGCAGAGTGTTCCCAACCATAACAACCATGTTAGCAGAGTGTTCCAACCATACACCATGTTAGCAGTGTTCCCAACGTTATAACCATGTTAGGAGAGTGTTCCCAACCATACAACCATGTTAGCAGTGTGTTCCCACCATACAACCATGTTAGCAGAGTAGTGTTACCCAACCATACAACATGTTAGCAGTGTTCCCAACCATTACAACCCATGTTAGCAAGTGTTCCCAACCTTACAACCATGTTAGCAGAGTGTTCCCAACCAATACAACCATGTTAGCAGAGTGTTCCCAACCATACAACCTGTTAGCAGTGTGTCCAACCTTATAACCACTGTTAGCAGAGTGTTCCACACCATACAACCATGTTAGCAGAGGTGTTCCCAACCATACAACCATGTTAGCAGAGTGTTCACCAACCTTACAACCATGTTAGCAGAGTGTTCCCAACCATACAACCATTGTTAGCAGGAGTGTTCCCAACCATACAACCATGTTAGCAGTGTTCCCAACCTTATAACCATGTTAGGAGAGTGTTCCCAACCATACAACCATGTTAGCAGAGTGTTCCCAACCATACAACCATGTTAGCAGAGTGTTCCCAACCATACAACCATGTTAGCAGAGTGTTCCCAACCATACAACCATGTTAGCAGAGTGTTCCCAACCTTACAACCATGTTAGCAGAGTGTTCCCAACCATACAACCATGTTAGCAGAGTGTTCCCAACCTTATAACCATGTTAGGAGAGTGTTCCCAACCATACAACCATGTTAGCAGAGTGTTCCCAACCATACAACCATGTTAGCAGAGTGTTCCCAACCTTACAACCATGTTAGCAGAGTGTTCCCAACCTTACAACCATGTTAGCAAAGTGTTCCCAACCTTACAACCATGTTAGCAGAGTGTTCCCAACCTTACAACCATGTTAGCAGAGTGTTCCCAACCATACAACCATGTTTCTTATGATATATCCTGGTGTTTATACACATATCTTTAAAAAAAACATATAATACGTTCCTGTATTTACTTACCAGCTCTGAATGAGGATCTGTGTAAGTCCCCCATCACTTTTATTACTGAAGAGTGTTACTGTACCTCACTTGTACCTGCTGCAGCACGGTGCAAGAAGCTGCCAGATCGGCCGCGTCACGGGATGGTAATAGCACCTCGTACTGGTCATGGGATGAGGGCCAGGTACCGCTGTAAGGACGGGTACCGGCTCGTGGGCTCGCCCACTACTAAATGCCACTTCGGTAACTGGACAGGGAGGATGCCGTGGTGTAGGGTAGGTGAGTACCCCTCGGTTCCTGTGCTCACGAACATTTTTTGGTTCTGGGATTACAAGAGTCTATCACGGCATGCGTCGTTAAAGACGCAACCAACGTATATACATCCTCGATGTGTATACTCTGTTCCGAGGCACATAGCATGTAACATATTAGGATATAAAAAATCCAAAACTTCAGTATGTATATACGATAGATAAGCATGAAAAAATATAATTACAAAATAAACTACATTATCCAACTTACGGTTAATATATTCTTACATATGTTTTTCTGATTATTAATAAACTGAGCCCAGTGTTACTTTGAAAGCAAAATACTTTTCATTTACATAAAGACCGATTTATATAAGAATTTCTACAAGGAACAAGGTGAGTGATGTTAATATCCTGTCCACAGTGTACTGTCCGTTCCCCGGGTACCTGGAGGATGGCAGAGTCTTGCTGGTGGGCAACATGGGCATGTATATCTACCGTCCGTATGTCAAGAAGGTGAGTCCACCACTTATGTAAGTGGTAGGCTGAGTGGAATACTGTTACATTCCAGTGGTAGGCTGAGTGGAATACTGTTACATTCCAGTGGTAGGCTGAGTGGAATACTGTTACATTCCAGTGGTAGGCTGAGTGGAATACTGTTACATTCCAGTGGTAGGCTGAGTGGAATACTGTTACATTCCAGTGGTAGGCTGAGTGGAATACTGTTACATTCCAGTGGTAGGCTGAGTGGAATATTGTTACACTCCAGTGGTAGGCTGAGTGGAATACTGTTACATTCCAGTGGTAGGCTGAGTGGAATATTGTTACACTCCAGTGGTAGGCTGAGTGGAATATTGTTACACTCCAGTGGTAGACTGAGTGGAATACTGTTACATTCCAGTGGAAAGGCTGAGTGGAATACTGTTACATTCCAGTGGTAGGCTGAGTGGAATACTGTTACATTCCAGTGGTAGGCTGAGTGGAATATTGTTACACTCCAGTGGTAGGCTGAGTGGAATACTGTTACATTCCAGTGGTAGGCTGAGTGGAATACTGTTACATTCCAGTGGTAGACTGAGTGAAACACAGTTACTCTGCCTAGTTAGAAATATAAAATCACAATTATTCTGTGTAAATTTAACTCTTCAGAAACTAAGGTCAAGTCACAAAATTACTTTAAGTCCACTCTAAAATATATTAATTTTAGCTCTGTTATTTCAATCACCTGTCACTTGTACTTAAAAACCACATTACTTATATTTTGAGATTACTGCCTAAGTAGTTAGTCCTCCATCCACATCTGACTCTCTGCCAGCCCTTTACTCCTCCTTATTTAGCCTTTATGCTAAAGATAGAACTTGATACTCTCTTGAGTCTTCGATGCTAAACTATTGCACACACACTGGTGCAATGATGTCCTCGTCAGGAGGACTAACACCCTCCTCCCCCACCTTCACTAAACGTGGAGTTGACCAGCCTCTACCATGAATACACAAGCTACACTTGCTATCAAGGACATGTGTTTCTCAGTAATGTTAGTGTCTTGATGTACAGTGTGTGTGTGTGTGTGTGTGTGTGTGTGTGTGTGTGTGTATTATTTATAAGAGATATTGACTTCTTGTGTATGTTAGCGCATATGTGTTTGATTCAGCAACTGATAGAAGAGGTTAATCTATGTCAGTGAGATGTAGTGAAAAGTAGTGACTGCTGGTGATATTCTTTTCCATTTGAGTCCCTCAGGGAAGTTCCTAGATGCTGGGGAGGGGAGTTCTCCTCCCCTATCGTAGACCGAACCTCACCCCTGCGAGTGTACTGCTTCCCCTTGAATATAATAATTTCATTTGAAAGTCCTGTAGCGACATATTTTTTGTAACAAATGTAACGGAGTTTTAGCTCATCTCAGTGACTACTAACACTAGTGTAGGATACTAAGCGTCACTATTCCGTATTAAATCTTCATGACTTAATCTGTAGTGACTGCTTGTAGGCAGGTGAGTTTCTGCGCATTCTAGTGAGTGTTTTTTTATCGAGTGTTAACCCAAGCTTGTTGGCTCCAGCTGTTGTAAGGTCAGTGATGTAACTACCACCGTGACAGCTGGCAAATGCTAGGTGGTATTTGTTACCGTGGCAGGAGGAGGAGGAGGAGGACTGATCTCTGCTCACCTCGTATCTTTCCTGCCATCATAGGTACGAAACGACCGGCGCATACGCTACGAGTGCAGCCGCGGGTTCTTCCTCTCAGAGGGACCACCTGGAGCCACCTGTGTGGGTGGCAGGTGGAGCCCGAGCAACCTGCCCAAGTAAGTATGTTATATACGCCACCTGGTGAACACTTGTGACCGCTGAAGACCGGGACTAGTGACGCACACCTCACAAGTACTGAAAAAGATACAGTTGAAGAGAGGAAGTTTATCACAACGTTTCGCCCATAGACAGACTGAGTTTATCTCAGTCTGTCTATGTAGGTAAATGTACTCAGATGCAACTAATGTGACATTTTATTGTGGCAATGGTAACGGCTTGACAAAACTCTTGGAAGCGAAACGTTGCCACAGTAAAATGTTACATTAGTTGCCTCCGTCCATTTACGTAACATTTTGTCGGTAGTTCCATTACCAGAATAAGCCTATCCACGGGCGGAACGTCTGGCTAAACTTCCTCTCTCCAACTGTCATTTTCCACTAATACCGAAGAATGTCCCACCTGAACATCAAAATGGTACACAATACCGACAGGTTGGTAGGTAAGACACATGGGCAACAGTTAGGCATCTTTATTCCGAAACGTTTCGCCTACACAGTAGGCTTCTTCAGTCGAGTACAGAAAGTAGACAGGAGCAGTAGAGATGTGAAGACGATGTAAACAGTCTATTACCCCTGATTTGAGGTTGGCAGTCCCTCGCCCTTATATACTGTCAACTTCCGACGATCGACACCATGCCTAACCCTTCTAGGGTAGGGTAGGTGCCTGAGCCCGAGCCTTTAGCTCATAAGACTGTCATTCCCACTTGCCCGGTTGGGGAGGGGATGGCAGACCAGAGAGGCCTAGCTTGTGGCTAGGCCTGGGGACAGTTGGTCCCAAAGATGAGGAGGTACTTGTGCCTCCTCCCATGGGAGACTTAGGTCTCAGACACTCCCTAAAGAGGGAGCCAAGGCCGGGCCACCACTTGGAAAAGGCCCGGGCCGGGAGAATACCGGCTAATCTTTAATAATAATAATAACCTTCCGACAGTATATAAGTCTCCACACTGTCACTTGATCTTCACAGTGTTTCAGACTATGGAACAGAACTCTTCTCCAGGCTGAGGGACTGACAACCTCAAATCAAGGGTGATGGATTGATTACATCGTCTTCACATCTCTACTGTTCCTGCCTACTTTCTGTACTCGACTGAAGAGGCCTACTGTGTAGGCGAAACATTTCGGAAAAAGATACCTAACTGTTGCCTATGTAATGAAATTGTGACCTACAACATATTCTGGAAATCTTGTGACTTGCCTGAAACTGTATAGGGCTAGGTACAGCTTGTATAGGGCTAGGTACAGCTTGTATAGGGCTAGGTACAGCTTGTATAGGGCTAGGTACAGCTTGTATAGGCTAGGTACAGCTTGTATAGGGCTAGGTACAGCTTGTATAGGGCTAGGTACAGCTTGTATAGGGCTAGGTACAGCTTGTATAGGGCTAGGTACAGCTTGTATAGGGCTAGGTACAGCTTGTATAGGGCTAGGTACAGCTTGTATAGGGCTAGGTACAGCTTGTATAGGGCTAGGTACAGCTTGTATAGGGCTAGGTACAGCTTGTATAGGGCTAGGTACAGCTTGTATAGGGCTAGGTACAGCTTGTATAGGGCTAGGTACAGCTTGTATAGGGCTAGGTACAGCTTGTATAGGGCTAGGTACAGCTGTATAGGGTAGGTACAGCTTGTATAGGGCTAGGTACAGTTTGTATAGGGCTAGGTACAGCTTGTATAGGGCTAGGTACAGCTTGTATAGGGCTAGGTACAGCTTGTATAGGGACTAGGTACAGCTTGTATAGGGCTAGGTACAGTTTGTATAGGGCTAGGTACAGCTTGTATGGGCTAGGTACAGCTTGTATAGGGCTAGGTACAGCTTGTTAGGTGGTACAGTTGTATAGGGCTAGGTACAGCTTGTATAGGGCTAGGTACAGCTTGGTATAGGGCTAGGTACAGCTTGTATAGGGCTAGGTACAGCTTGTATAGGGCTAGGTACAGCTTGTATAGGGCTAGGTACAGCTTGTATAGGGCTAGGTACAGCTTGTTAGGGTTAGGTACAGCTTGTATAGGGCTAGGTACAGCTTGTATAGGGCTAGGTACAGTTTGTATAGGGTTCGGTACGGTACAGCTTGTATTAGGGCTAGGTACAGCTTGTATAGGGCTAGGTACAGCTTGTATAGGGCTAGGTACAGCTTGTATAGGGCTAGGTACAGTTTGTATTAGGGCTAGGTACAGCTTGTATAGGGCTAGGTACAGCTTGTATAGGGCTAGGTACAGCTTGTATAGGGCTAGGTACAGCTTGTATTAGGGCTAGGTACAGCTTGTATAGGGCTAGGTACAGCTTGTATAGGGCTAGGTACAGCTTGTATAGGGCTAGGTACAGCTTGTATAGGGCTAGGAACAGCTTGTATAGGGTAGGTACAGCTTGTATAGGGCTAGGTACAGCTTGTATAGGGCTAGGTACAGCTTGTATAGGGCTAGGTACAGCTTGTATAGGGCTAGGTACAGCTTGTATAGGCTAGGTCAGTTGTATAGGGCTAGGTACAGCTTGTATAGGGCGAGGTACAGCTTGTATAGGGCTAGGTACAGCTTGTATAGGGCTAGGTACAGTTTGTTATAGGGCTAGGTACAGTTTGTTATAGGGCTAGGTACAGCTTGTATAGGGCTAGGTACAGCTTGTATAGGGCTAGGTACAGCTTGTATAGGGCTAGGTACAGCTTGTATAGGGCTAGGTACAGCTTGTATAGGGCTAGGTACAGCTTTATAGGGCTAGGTACAGCTTGTATAGGGCTAGTACAGCTTGATATAGGGCTAGGTACAGCTTGTATAGGGCTAGGTACAGCTTGTATAGGGCTAGGTACAGCTTGTATAGGGCTAGGTACAGTTTGTATAGGGCTAGGTACAGCTTGTATAGGGCTAGGTACAGCTTGTATAGGGCTAGGTACAGCTTGTATAGGGCTAGGTACAGTTTGTATAGGGCTAGGTACAGCTTGTATAGGGCTAGGTTACAGCTTGTATAGGGCTAGGTACAGTTGTATAGGGCTAGGTACAGTTTGTATAGGGCTAGGTACAGCTTGTATAGGGCTAGGTACAGCTTGTATAGGGCTAGGTACAGTTTGTATAGGGCTAGGTACAGCTTGTATAGGGCTAGGTACAGCTTGTATAGGGCTAGGTACAGCTTGTATAGGGCTAGGTACAGTTTGTATGGGCTAGGTACAGCTTGTATAGGGCTAGGTACAGCTTGTATAGGGCTGGTACAGTTTGTATAGGGCTAGGTACAGCTTGTATAGGGCTAGGTACAGCTTGTATAGGGCTAGGTACAGCTTGTATAGGGCTAGGTACAGCTTGTATAGGGCTAGGTACAGTTTGTATAGAGCTAGGTACAGCTTGTATAGGGCTAGGTACAGCTTGTATAGGGCTAGGTACAGTTTGTATAGGGCTAGGTACAGCTTGTATAGGGCTAGGTACAGCTTGTATAGGGCTAGGTACAGCTTGTATAGGGCTAGGTACAGCTTGTATAGGGCTAGGTACAGCTTGTATAGGGCTAGGTACAGCTTGTATAGGGCTAGGTACAGCTTGTATAGGGCTAGGTACAGCTTGTATAGGGCTAGGTACAGCTTGTATAGGGCTAGGTACAGCTTGTATAGGGCTAGGTACAGCTTGTATAGGGCTAGGTACAGCTTGTATAGGGCTAGGTACAGCTTGTATAAGGTTAGGTGTAGCCTGTATAAGGCTAGGTGTAGCCTGTATAAGGCTAGGTATAGCCTGTATAAGGCTAGGTGTAGCCTGTATAAGGCTAGGTGTAGCCTGTATAAGGCTAGGTATAGCCTGTATAAGGCTAGGGTATAGCTGTATAAGGCTAGGTGTAGCCTGTATAAGGCTAGTGTAGCCTGTATAAGGCTAGGTATAGCCTGTATAAGGCTAGGTGTAGCCTGTATAAGGCTAGGTGTAGCCTGTATAAGGCTAGGTATAGCCTGTATAAGGCTAGGTGTAGCCTGTATAAGGCTAGGTGTAGCCTGTATAAGGCTAGGTTAGCTGTATAAGGCTAGGTTGTAGCCTGTATAGGCTAGGTATAGCCTGTATAAGGCTAGGTGTAGCCTGTATAAGGCTAGGTTTAGCCTGTATAAGGCTAGTGTGTAGCCTGTTTAAGGCTAGGTTAGCCTGTATAAGGCTAGGTTAGCCTGTATAAGGCTAGGTATAACCTGTATAAGGCTAGGTGTGTAGCCTGTATAAGGCTAGGTGTAGCCTGTATAAGGCTAGGTGTAGCCTGTTAAGGCTAGGTGATAGCCTGTATAGGCTAGTGTAGCCTGTATAAGGCTAGGTGTAGCTGTATAAGGCTAGGTTGTAGCCTGTATAAGGCTAGGTGTAGCCTGTATAAGGCTAGGTATAGCCTGTATAAGGCTAGTTGTAGCCTGTATAAGGCTAGGTTAGCTGTATAAGGCTAGGTATAGCCTGTATAAGGCTAGGGTGTAGCCTGTATAAGGCTAGGTGTAGCCTGTATAAGGCTAGGTGTAGCCTGTATAAGGCTAGGTGTAGCCTGTATAAGGCTAGGTGTAGCCTGTATAAGGCTAGGTTAGCCTGTATAAGGCTAGGTGTAGCCTGTATAAGGCTAGGTTATAGCCTGTATAAGGCTAGGTGTAGCCTGTATAAGGCTAGGTATAGCCTGTATAAGGCTAGGTGTAGCTGTATAAGGCTAGGTTATAGCTTGTATAAGGCTAGGTGTAGCCTGTATAAGGCTAGGTATAGCCTGTATAAGGCTAGGTGTAGCCTGTATAAGGCTAGGTTAGCTGTATAAGGCTAGGTATAGCTTGTATAAGGCTAGGGTTAGCCTGTATAAGGCTAAGGTATAGCCTGTTATAAGCTAGGTGTAGCCTGTATAAGGCTAGGTGTAGCCTGTTTAAGGCTAGGTGAGCCTGTATAAGGCTAGGTATAGCCTGTATAAGGCTGGTGTAGCTGTATAAGGCTAGGTATAGCCTGTATAATGGCTAGGTGTAGCCTGTATAAGGCTAGGTATAGCCTGTATAAGGCTAGGTTAGCCTGTTAAGGCTAGGTTAGCCTGTATTAAGGCTAGGTGTAGTCTGTATAAGGCTAGGTATAGCCTGTATAGGCTAGGTTTAGCCTGTATAAGCCTAGGTGTAGCCTGTATAAGGTAGGATGAGCCTGTATAAGGCTAGTGTAGCCTGTATAAGGCTAGGTATAGCCTGTATAAGGCTAGGTGTAGCCTGTATAAGGCTAGGTATAGCCCGTTATAAGGCTGGGTGTAGCCTGTATAAGGTAGGTTAGCCTGTATAAGGCTAGGTGTAGCCTGTATAAGGCTAGGTGTAGCCTGTATAAGGCTAGGTATAGCTTGTATAAGGCTAGGTATAGCTTGTATAAGGCTAGGTGTAGCCTGTATAAGGCTAGGTGTAGCCTGTATAAGGCTAGGTATAGCTTGTATAAGGCTAGGTATAGCTTGTATAAGGCTAGGTGTAGCCTGTATAAGGCTAGGTGTAGCCTGTATAAGGCTAGGTGTAGCCTGTATAAGGCTAGGTGTAGCCTGTATAAGGCTAGGTATAGCTTGTATAAGGCTAGGTATAGCTTATATAGAACTACAATACTGTGCATATTAACTGGGACTGTGATGAAATTAGACATTTGTCAGGAAATGTTATGTTTATTTGAAAAATACACGGCAGTGATATGACAGATAATTAATTTAACAAGAAAAATATCTCCCCTTTGCTGTTATAAGCATTGCTACACACTGTTATATGATTTACCATTGTTGAACACACTTTGACAAGTTCTTCGTCGTGGTACCAGGTCCTAATAACAACAGCAATTTGCTTCTCCACTGTTGAACAGTCCTGTTTCACGATCCTGCGTTTCGTTATTACTCATTGATTCTCAATTGAATTGAGGCCAGGAGAGTTTCCAGGCTAGTTTAGAACGCTTACCTCTCTCCGAAGTATGTCAGCATTTTTCTGGAAGTGTGGTATGGAACAAGATCCTGCTGGAAAATGCCTTCTCCATCAGAAAAGTCTCTGTCTACAATGGGAAGGGAATGTGTTGCCAGGATTACCTTGTATTTGTCACTTTAGCAATAAAACTACCCCAAAACATCTCAGGTGGTTGTTTTAGTGCTTGTTGAATGTGTTCATTCCAAAGAAGTTCGTCTTTGCTCCGTCTTACTACCACTGACCTGTACCCATGTACTTCAAAATGCGTTTCATCTGAAAATATCACTTTTCTCCATTCATCTGTCGTCCATCCCTTATGATCGAGTGCCCACCTCAGCTGTTTTTTCTTCATAGCAGCTGTCAGTAATTGTTTAATTGTTTCTTTACTGGCTTTTTTACAATTCTGCCAGTTTCAAAGAGCCATCGTCAAACAGTTGAAGAATCAACATTTACACCAGCTGAAGCCAAATCTTTCTGTAGATCTTTGCTGGTTTTCTTGGGATCCTTAAACACAATTACTCATAATAAGGTGTTGTCTTTCGTTTTCTTCTATATCTTCCTTGACGCAGCCCTTCACAGTCACCTGTGTCATCAACTGTCTTCAGAATCCGACCAACAGATAACTTTGCTAGGCTCAAATTTTCTGCGATCTGTCTGATACTCATATCAGCATATTTTCTAAGAGCTACAATACTTTCACGCTTCCTAGGTGTAACATCCATCATGAAATTCAGCAGTAATCATGAATTGAAAGGGAGAATTTGCCGAAACCACATTTACTCTTGGAGCACGTTTGCTTTACAGAACAACAGCTGTTGTAGCACTGACAAGAGTTGCAGGGTAACACTATAGCTGGATGGTTGCCAGAAGTCGGTAGCAATCTAAAATGTATTATGAGATAATTACAAAATTTACTCCTGTCTCAATTAATTTGCACACTACTGTAGGTACTGCTTGTATATGACTAGGTATAGCTTGTATAAGGATAGTTGCAGCTTGTATAAAGCTAGGTACAACTTGTATAGAGCTAGGTACAGCTTGTATAGGGCTAAACACAGTTGTATAAAGCTAAGCACAGCTTGTATAGAGCTAGATACAGCTTGTATAGATCACTTGCATAGTGTGAGGCACAGCTTCGAACATATGTGTAACAGGATTTTAATTTGTACAGTACAGTACGGTTATTGTGCAATATACCACATTACATAGGTGATGTGATGAGATACGTGTTAGCGATCATAGTGAGTAGTATATCCACCGAACTCGTGGGTGGAGAGTACAGCAGCCACCATAAGTATCACATAACAATGTACAACCATTTTTAATGTTCTCCACCAGGTGCTCGCCAGAGCTTCACCCTCGGGTACAGTGGCTCAAGAAGAGGTCAGTCAACATCTCCGACTACCTGGAGTACCTCGGTGCCACACAGGAAGGGAAGAAGAGGGCCTCAGCACTGCCAGTATCTGAAGGTGGTGCCAGGGTGCCTCACCTGGCGTATTTAAGAGGGTCATTGAGACTGTGGACTAGAGTCGCGGCGTCTGGAGTCCAAAGTGACCAGTACGCAATCAAATACCGTGACGATACTCTTAAATTACCAACAACGCGATCGCCATTAAGTGCACAATACAGTTTGGTAAACGGATCAACTTTTCCCAGCCAAATACACATAAAGAGCAGAAAACGTTTTCAGACACGGGCTAATTTTAGTAAGAAAGGCAATGAGTGGGTCAGTGAGAACATATTAGACAGCCAAGAGAGCAGTTCTGGGGCACACATGGGAGAAAGTGCGCTCTTGTCAAGAGTTTTGAGAAATGTGAGAAGAGAAAATAAAGGCGAAGTTCACAAAAGAAGAAATAAATCGAAAAGGGGTAAAAAAGGTAGGATGTTGTGACATGGTAGAATACGAGAGAAAAAACAGATTGATGTTTGAGAGGTGAGGAAGGTATCTCTTCAAAACAATTTTGTTGTTTGTAATGTTCTCACGTGTCAGTGTAATCAAGCAGCACTCGCTACTCGCATGTTCTCCGCATCCCTTGTTACTTGTAATCATTACTCGTCTTGGCCTGTAATAAGTTGCGTGTAATTAATTTTTTATTATGTGTTGTTCAAATTATCACAATAAAAAAACAACAATAAAAGATGACTTGTTATTGTATGATTTATACACTACTGACCTATGTTTAAACTGAATTATGTAATCCAAACATTGTAAAAACAGTTGTACACTGCTACACAGATATAGAGACCACGGTCTTCCTCGACACTGGAGGAAGCAGTTTCCAACTCTGGTTTGCGATAAAACTGTTCAAAAGAAATTGAATGTTAAGGCAGCCTGGTTGATGACCACTTGCCGTAATACATTCCACAAAGTAATGCCTAGTTTAAGTAATCAGGTCACAAAGTCCATCGAGATGGTTGACAGCTTCAGAGAGTAATTCTGATATTGTGAGAATACACAATCTATGTTTTACGATGTTTATAAGCCAGTCTGAAGTACTTTATTAATCACTGTATTGTTAACACAATCCAGATGTAACGTAAAAATTTATGCAACAATCTTGTTGACAAGAGAATAATGTAATGAAAAATTAATAGAAGGAAAATCACCTGACCTTCACTTAGAATAACACAGCTCGAAATTTGGGTCAGTTTGTGTATTAAACTGACTGTAACTTGTTAATAGTATTATTGTATTATTGTGGGTTTGTACGTATATGATGTTTGTGTGTGTGTGTGTGTGTGTGTACTCACCTATTTGTACTCACCTATTTGTGGTTGCAGGGGTCGAGTCACAGCTCCTGGCCCCGCCTCTTCGCTGATTGCTACTAGGTCCTCTCTCTCCCTGCCCCATGAGCTCTATCATACCTCGCCTTAAAACTATGTATGGTTCCTGCCTCCACCACATCACTTTCTAGGCTATTCCATGGCCTGACTACTCTATGACTGAAGAAATACTTCCTAACATCCCTTTGATTCATCTGAGTCTTCAACTTCCAATTGTGACCTCTTGTGTCTGTGTCCCATCTCTGGAACATCCCGTCTTTGTCCACCTCGTCTATTCCGCGCAGTATTTTATATGTCGTTATCATGTCTCCCCTGACCCTCCTGGCCTCCAGTGTCGTCAGGCCGATTTCCCTCAACCTTTCTTCATAGGACAATCCCCGTAGCTCTGGGACTAGTCTTGTTGCAAACCTTTGCACTTTCTCTAATTTCTTGACGTGCTTGACTAGGTGTGGATTCCAAACTGGTGCTGCATACTCCAGTATGGGCCTGACGTAGATGGTGTACAGAGTCTTAAACGAATCCTTACTGAGGTATCGGAACGCTATCCGTAGGTTTGCCAGGCGCCCGTATGCTGCAGCAGTTATCTGATTGATGTGCGCCTCAGGAGATATGCTCGGTGTTATACTCACCCCCAGATCTTTTTCCTTTAGTGAGGTTTGCAGTCTTTGGCCATCTAAACTATATTGTGTCTGCGGTCTTCTTTGCCCTTCCCCAATCTTCATGACTTTGCATTTGGCAGGGTTAAATTCTAGGAGCCAGTTGCTGGACCAGGCTTGTAGCCTGTCCAGATCTCTTTGTAGTCCTGCCTGATCCTCGTCCGATTCGATTCTTCTCATTAACTTCACATCGTCTGCAAACAAGGACACTTCTGAGTCTATCCCTTCCGTTATGTCGTTCACGTATACCAAGAACAGCACAGGTCCTAGGACTGACCCCTGTGGAACCCCGCTTGTCACAGGCGCCCACTCTGACACCTCGTCGCGTACCATGACTCGTTGTTTCCTCCCTGTCAGATATTCTGTGTGTGTGTGTGTGTGTGTGTGTGTGTGTGTATGTGTGTGTGTGTGTGTCTGTGTGTGTGTGAAAGAGAGAGAGCATACTTTCACTCGCCTAGTTTTATTTACTGAAGTCTAAGCTTAACTTCTATACTCTCCTCTCGATGACTCGTGAACTGTCACACTAAGTTCCTGGCTACATGAGTCCTATTGTTCTTACTTTCACGACACTATATGAAATCTTCCAACATTTCCTCATCCAGACTGTTCCACTTCCCACCCTCAGACAAGAGAAGAACTTGGGACTCACTTGCGCCTTGAACCTCACGTTATATGCGTCCTCACCCGAAGGTCCTCAACTTTTAAAGTCTTCCTTTTTCTACCTACCGAGTCTTTTGCATCTTCTGGATCTTCTCTCGTCTAGCGTTGTAAGATATACTTCCTTTAATATTCCTTCGTAGGCCATTCAGTCTAGTTTATGGATAAGTTGGTTCAAGTGAGGATTCCATGTTGTTTCTGCATTATATTGATGCTCTTATGTTTACTAGAAGTACAAACACTCCTACGATCATTCGGCTGTGTTCCTCCAACGAGCTACTTTGTATTATGTTTTCCCTTAGGTCTTGTACTTGTCTGATGTTTGTAGCCTCTTCCCCCGGTGGCCCGGTGGCCTGGTGGCTAAAGCTCCCGCTTCACACACGGAGGGCCCGGGTTCGATTCCCGGCGGGTGGAAACATTTCGACACGTTTCCTTACACGTGTTGTCCTGTTCACCTAGCAGCAAATAGGTACCTGGGTGTTAGTCGACTGGTGTGGGTCGCATCCTGGGGGACAAGATTGAGGACCCCAATGGAAATAAGTTAGACAGTCCTCGATGACGCACTGACTTTCTTGGGTTATCCTGGGTGGCTAACCCTCCGGGGTTAAAAATCCGAACGAAATCTTATCTTATCTTATCTTATCTTATCAGTCTGTATCCTCTCTTCTTTCTCTTTCCCCAGTTTTCACAACTTTGTGCTTTCTGGGGTGAAGTTCAATCGTCTCCTTTCCGACCAGTTCTACAGACTCTGTAGGTTTCATTAAACCCTTTCCTTATTTTCTCTCGTATTTTTCTCATTAGTTTTATGTCATTTTAAGACACGGATACTTAAGACTATTTCATCACGCATGCCATTTATGTATAAATATGGGGACGACATCTGCCCTTCTGAAAATAGAAGCTTCTCTGTCTCCAACACCTGTGAGATATTTGTTACTTGTTCGCACTGCCTCTGCTCGTCTTGTCAGCAACTCTGGAGAAACATTGTTTCTGTTGTTCTCGACATATTCAAGTCACTAAGAAGTTCCTTGACTTCGTCCCTGTTGTGATGATGTTCACCTTATGCTTGTTTCATCCTTTTTCTCTTACTCTCCGGTACTCTTCTACTCCCTGGTACTCTCCTACTCTCTGGTACTCTCCTACTCTCCTACTCTCCGGTACTCTCCTACTCTCCGGTACTCCCCTACTCTCCTGTACTCTCCTACTCTCCGGTACTCTCCTACTTCTCCGGTCTACTCTCCTACTCTCTGTACTCTCCTACTCTCCGGTACTCTCCTACTCTCCGGTACTCTCCTACTCTCCGGTACTCTCCTACTCTCCGGTACTCTCCTACTCTCCGGTACTCTCCTACTCTCCGGTACTCTCCTACTCTCCGGTACTCTCCTACTCTCCGGTACTCTCCTACTCTCCGGTACTCTCCTACTCTCTGGTACTCTCCTACTCTCCGGTACTCTCCTACTCTCGGGTCTCTCCTACTCTCGGTACTCTCCTTACTCTCTTCGGTACTCTCCTACTCTCGGTACCTCCTACTCTCCAGTACTCTCTACTCTCCGGTACTCTCCTACTCTCCGGTACTCTCCTACTCTCCGGTACTCTCCTACTCTCCGGTACTCTCCTACTCTCCGGTACTCTCCTACTCTCCGGTACTCTCCTACTCTCCCGGTACTCTCCTACTCTCGGTACTCTCCTACTCTCCGGTACTCTCCTACTCTCGGTACTCTCCTACTCTCCGTACTCTCCTACTCTCCGGTACTCTCCTACTCTCCGGTACTCTCCTATTTCCCCGGTACTCTCCTACTCTCCGGTATCTCCTACTCCAGTACTCTCCTACTCTCCGGTACTCTCCTACTCTCCAGTACTCTCCTATTCTCCGGTACTCTCCTACTCTCCGGTACTCTCCTATTCTCCAGTACTCTCCTACTCTCTGGTACTCTCCTACTCTCCGGTACTCTCCTACTCTCTGGTACTCTCCTACTCTCCGGTACTCACCTACTCTCCTGTACTCACCTACTCTCCTGCACCCTCCTACTCTCAGGTACTCACCTACTCTCCTGTACTCACCTACTCCTTCAGTGAGTACCTACTTGAAACAATGATCTACACCTTCACAAACTTCCTTATGGCTCCTCACTGACGCTCTCCCTTCTTAAAATAAATAATATAGTGACACCTACAAGATGTGCAAGAACAAGACACTTCACGACATTTATTAAAAGAAACGTTTCGCCACAGTAGCGAAACGTCTTTTTCCTCTCCAGTCTTACAAATTTTCCGTTGCCTCTTTAATCTGATGTGTCTAGGTAGTAATTTCTCTCTCTCTCCTCTTCCATATTCCTCCCCTAAGTCAACCTTACTAGGTTGGGTGCATTGGCTTAAGCCGGTAGGAGACTTGGACCTGCCTCGCATGGGCCAGTATGCCTGCTGCAGTGTTCCTTCGTTCTTATGTTCTTATATTCGTTTCTAGCTTTTGTCTCTACTGTCTTCTGCTCTCTACCATACCTTTCCCACACGCTAATAGTGCTTCTTAATTTCACCTGTTTACTTCTATGGTCGTACTGTGTGTGTGTCTGGAGAGAGAGAGAGCTCGGTAGCATAAATATTCGTACATATTTTCATTTTTATTTGTGTAGCTCCATAAATTTTACCAGAGCAGAGGGTGACGTACACTGTCGCCGGCAGCCCCGCGCTGCGAGGAGCTGGGCGGGGAACCCTACCTGAAGGTGATGTTACTTCGACCAGGCCGGGACGCCAACTATACCTACTCAGCGGGAGCCAGAGTGAGGGTGTCTTGTCTTCACGGCCACGGCCTTAATATTGGCAACAAGACGGCCAAGTGCTCGCGTGGCAGGTGGAAACCCTTGAAGCCAGAGTGTATCTCACGTGAGTACCGTAAAGCCAGAGTGTTTCTCACTTGTGTACCATAAAGCTAGAGTGTATCTCACGTGAGTACCATAAAGCCAGAGTGTATCTCACGTGTGTACCATAAAGCCAGAGTGTATCTCACGTGTGTACCATAAAGCCAGAGTGTATCTCACGTGTGCACCATAAAGCCAGAGTGTATCTCACGTGTGTACCATAAAGCCAGAGTGTATCTCACGTGTGTACCATAAAGCCAGAGTGTATCTCACGTGTGCACCATAAAGCCAGAGTGTATCTCACGTGTGTACCATAAAGCCAGAGTGTATCTCACGTGTGTACCATAAAGCCAGAGTGTATCTCACGTGTGTACCATAAAGCCAGAGTGTATCTCACGTGTGTACCATAAAGCCAGAGTGTATCTCACGTGTGTACCATAAAGCCAGAGTGTATCTCACGTGTGCACCATAAAGCCAGAGTGTATCTCACGTGTGTACCATAAAGCCAGAGTGTATCTCACGTGAGTACCACAACTCTCACACCTCAGCATTCACTCTCCTCGCCACCAAACTTTCCACACATAGAAACACACTTATGACGACGTTTCGGTCCGACTTGGACCAGATAATGGTCCAAATCGGACCGAAAAGTCGTCATAAGTTTCTCCTTTGTGGAGGTTATTTATTCACTTCTCCAGTCACTGTATTCTGCCTTTATATTCTTTCTAACTTTCCACTTCTGACTACCAAACTTCTCCGATCTGTCTCCAGTACGAACATTGTTTTTTCCCTTCACGACTTAACCTCTTCTACTGAAAGTCATTCACGTAGCCTCTAAAATGACAGAGTTTACTTGTTATTTCTAGTCTTAGACTGGTATTTAATGGATTGAGCAGATAATAAATCAAAGATTTATATTAAATATTACCGGCTGATGCATTAATGAAATTTAATCAACATAAAAAGAACGCAAGGATACAGTAAACACTTATAATACGTAAGGCAGATTATTATTATTATTATTATTATTATTATTATTATTATTATTATAGCTATGATTTTAAGCTCTAAATTCATAAGAGTCTTGGATCGTTACACGTAAGTCAGAGAAGTGTGGCTATCACTAGTTTATACACGTATTTACGTGTTTCTGATCTGTTTTTTTTCCTTCCGTGTGTGTTAAACCCGTATGTCCCGGTGTTGTGGATCACTGCATGCTGCCCATCGTATGCTACTGCTATCCCAGTGCCGTGCTCAGTGCCGGAAGCTCCTCATGGTCAGTATACCTTCAATGGCGCTGAGGTACCAGAACGAGCCACTATTGGGCACGCAGAGGTGGTGAAATTTCTGTGCCACGCTGGTTACACTGTGTTGGGGTCTGATACACTGCGCTGTTGGTACGGTGAATGGACTGTCACCGGCTCCAGCCCACAGTGCCAGCCAGGTGAGCTTACATCCCTACTATACCACTTTCTTGCTCCTGGTGTGACAGCTCTCGTGCTATAAATCCCTCTTCCTACATGCTGGACATAAGAACATAAGAACATAAGAAAGGAGGAACACTGCAGGAGGCCTGCTGGCCCATACTAGGCAGGTCCTTTACAATTCATCCCACTAACAAAACATTTACCCAACCCAATTTTCAATGCTACCCAAGAAATAAGCTCTGATGTGAAAGTCCCACTCAAATCCAACCCTTCCCACTCATGTACTTATCCAACCTAGATTTGAAACTACCCAAAGTCCTAGCCTCAATAACCCAACTAGGTAGACTGTTCCACTCATCAACTACCCTATTTCCAAACCAATACTTTCCTATGTCCTTTCTAAATCTAAACTTATCTAATTTAAATCCATTACTGCGGGTTCTCTCTTGGAGAGACATCCTCAAGACCTTATTAATATCCCCTTTATTAATACCTATCTTCCACTTATACACTTCGATCAGGTCTCCCCTCATTCTTCGTCTAACAAGTGAATGTAACTTAAGAGTCTTCAATCTTTCTTCATAAGGAAGATTTCTGATGCTATGTATTAATTTAGTCATCCTACGCTGAATGTTTTCTAACGAATTTATGTCCATTTTGTAATACGGAGACCAGAACTGAGCTGCATAATCAAGGTGAGGCCTTACTAATGATGTATAAAGCTGCAGTATGACCTCTGGACTTCTGTTGCTTACACTTCTTGATATAAATCCCAGTAATCTATTTGCCTTATTACGTACGCTTAGGCATTGCTGTCTTGGTTTAAGGTTGCTGCTCACCATAACCCCCAAGTCCTTTTCGCAATCTGTATGGCTAAGTTCTACATCATTTAATTTATAAGTACTAGGGTTATGGGCACTCCCAAGCTTCAGAACCTTGCACTTATCTACATTGAACTGCATCTGCCACTTTTCTGACCAAGAATAGAGTTTGTTTAAGTCCTCCTGAAGTTCCCTAACATCTACGTTTGAATCAATTATCCTACCTATCTTTGTGTCATCGGCGAATTTGCTCATATCACTAGTAATTCCCTCATCAAGATCATTGATATATATTATAAACAACAACGGGCCCAAGACTGATCCCTGTGGAACGCCACTTGTTACAGATCCCCACTCGGATTTAACCCCATTTATGGACACTCTCTGCTTCCTGTCAGTGAGCCATGACTCGATCCACGAGAGCACTTTTCCCCCAATGCCATGGGCTGCCACTTTCTTTAACAGTCTATGGTGCGGAACTCTATCAAAAGCCTTACTAAAATCTAAGTAAATAATATCAAATTCTTTATTGTGGTCAACAGCCTCAAAAGCTTTACTGAAGAAAGTTAATAAATTAGTTAGACAAGACCGGCCTCTTGTGAATCCATGCTGAGTATCATTAATCAAGCTATGCTTATCGAGATGGCTTCTTATAATCTCAGCTATAATTGACTCTAGTAATTTGCCTACAATTGAGGTCAGGCTTATTGGGCGGTAATTTGACGGTAACGACTTGTCCCCTGTTTTAAAAATAGGAGTTACATTAGCCATCTTCCACATATCAGACACTACACCTGTTTGAAGAGATAAATTAAAAATATTAGTTAATGGTTCACAGAGTTCCATTATGACCTCTGTCCTCGTAACTGCTAATTCTTCTCTGTTGGTCGGGCAGCGGCCAACATACCGAACTTTCCAAACAACAACAATAATATAAGTCCCTCTAACTACTTGCTGGTTCTTCCTTCCTAATAAAATACCTCGTGATGCGTTCTATTTCTGCACTTAACATAAATTTATGATGCCAGGGCAGTATCATCACTCAGTCCTTTTATATACTAGTTCAGCTGGTACGTAGAACGATTATAACCATTACCGGTAACCACCGGCAGGTGGTGAATTATTATAATTATTATTATTAATTATTATTATTATTATTATTATTATTATTATTATTATTATTATTATTATTATTATTATTATTACTATTATTATTATTATTATTATTATTATTATTATTATTATTATTATTATTATTATTATTATTATTATTATTATCAAAAGTAAACGCTAAACTATCTTGGTTATACAGCGGTGAGACAGGTGGTGAGACAGGTGGTGAGACAGGTGGTGAACAAGACAATAGCAGCAGTGAAGACCTTTACTGTCACAACATTTCAGTCACGAGTGCTTTTTCTTAAGAATCATATCAGTGTGGTCCCTGGCTTCCTAGCTTCTGAGTTTGTGGTGTATCATGTCTGATTTTCATTGGTAGTTAACGATCACATGGTTATGGCCACACCATAAGGAGGTACATATTATTAAGAGGAACTACAACCAACACAGCATACCCTATTACACACAAAATAAGTGTTTACCACTGAGGAAGTACGTAACTTAACGAGGGCCACTATATCATGCAGGATTTGCTTGGGTAATGTGATCGAATTAACATCGGGAAGGCAAGTAAAAGTTTGCTTATTCCCCTACACGAGCAGAAATGCGTCTGTAGCATGTATAGCACCAGTAATACATGTGTACAACACCATGACTCCCACTCACACCTAATGGAATGGGACAAGACCAATTTACTCTTCCATGAGACCGATAAAGTTAAGCGGAAATGCCTAAAATGATCTAAAATGAAACTTACAAACACCACCAGACAAAATAATGGGGTGTTAACATTTGCAATCCCTGTAGCTGACGTTATAGAACAGGAAACCTCAGGTGGACCCATTGATCACATGCAGTACCTCGCTTAAACCTGAGACACCTGGTACCTGCACCTGAGTTTAACACCCTGAGGGACTATTTAAGTTGCTGCATATCATATTAGTTATGTACTTGAAAAAGTGTACTTACGTGTTTGGAACGTTGTACCAACAAAAACCTTCACTGCTACTATTGTATTTAACACCACCAAATCCTCTTGCTGACTAGTTCTGCTGTTGCAGTGCCATCAAGGTGAGTTATATCCTAATACTTGTTAGTTATACTGCTGCAGATTTTTTCTTTGACAAATAAACTAACACAGTAAAGTCAGTCTAGTGCCTCCTCTCCCTCGTTATACTAGCCATCTCTCCCAAATCCATTGTATATCCCGTCGTGTCTTCTCATTCCCAGGTGATCTTACACCACGTATTTTTCCAGCTTCTCAACATGTCCTAGTCTACCGAGCCAGTTCTCTGCCCCGAGTTTCTCTCCCACTATATTTTACCACACTTTAATTGTTCTTCATGTCCTCAGATTCATGCACTCTTCCCGAAGTGGAGCATGGGACATACACGGGTGGACAAAGGAAAGGGGGAAGCAGCGTAGAGCACGGAAGCACAGTAGAGTACACATGTGAGGAAGGTTGGTTGGTCAACGTAGCTGAGGTGAGGTGTGTGCTAGGACACCTGCAACCTGACCCACCCACATGTGTCACCCCAGCCCAGGCTACACACGCCGCCCATAACTTACCATCTCAACACAGACACACTCTCACACGTGAGTAACCTGTTTGCATGACAACATGATAAGATAATACTAACGGTAGAATATCAGTGACAATAGTAATAGCAAGAGAGGTACTATAGTAGATGTGAGAAGTTAAGTACAGTCAGATAAGGACCCTCATCCTCAGAGAAAAGAATAAACTTGCTTCAGGGAAAACTCAAGGTTCTCCCTGAAGCTGTTTGAGAATTTTCTCCTGCCACTCCCTATATTTAATGAATATTTTATTTAAAGACAAAATACATTGACAAAACATTCATAAAAATAAAATAGAAAGTAAAACAACATAGATAACAACTCAGAGCTACATCTCGAATACTTCGTCCAGCTCCCCTGCGGTGGGCCGCGTGCCCAGAATGCTGCAGGCATTTCCTCTCTGGATCACAACACTGAGTCTCTGAAAGAGGAAGCTTGTCGCCCTGTGGTCCATGGTTTCTATGATGAGCTTTTCACCCAGCTCTTTGAGGAACTTTAGAGCACACTTGCTCTATGCTCTAAGGGTCTCCGACCCTATTGGGATGAAGTTATAGCAAGGGGGAAGGTCTTAATATTTGCGGATCTTCTGGGTCTCCCTGTGGCTGGCAGCTCCACCCCCCTTCCACTACGGAGTATGACAAGTAGGTATCTGCCAATGTGGCAGCACAGGTGTAGTCCCAGACAATCTGCTTTCCATCCTTCCAGGGTAGCATAGTGGCTCCATCAGGACGCTTTTGACTTCCGTCAGACTTCTGCACTTGGGGTTCCCGTTGAGCTAGGTAAAGGGCTGTGGCGAGGCTTCTCTTTATGATGTCATTGACCTCCTCATGTCTGGCATATTTCCCTTCTACTGTGTGACACACGAGACCATGAAGTCCGAATTGATCAGCTGTCGCCCTGCCGCAAATATACCTATGTTCGGTGAGGATGGGGCGGCTAGGCGAAGAGCAACACCAATCCGAATGGCCTGTGGGTCGAGACGGGTGCCCAGGGAGGAATTAGGAACAGCTAACAGGAAATCTCCTGAGTGTGGTGCCTTCACTACCAGGAGATGAGCTTTGCCCTTTCCTGAAGCGTTGTTGAGCATTGTGTTGGCAATTTTTTCCATGATCGGTTTGTCCCAGTGGGACTGTTTGTGCTCTTTGGGAGGAGCTGGTCTACTGGAGGAGTCTGTAAGGGTGTCACACCGAATCGCTGCTTCAGTATACCTGGGGTCTTGAGCTCCTACCACGTCTCTCAAGCGTTCGGGAACAACCTTCTTGACTAATGCACTGGAAGCCAAACACGAAGACAGAAAAGCAGGTAAAGCAACATGCGTTGCTTTACCTGCTTACCTTATACCTCCCAGTCCCACTGGGAGGATTGCCTGATCCCATTGCTGATCCTCTAGTGACAGGTTCACTGCCTTCTTAAAGGTTGATCTTAGGTGTGCATCATATTCGTCGAGTGTTGGGTTGTCAAAAGAGGGTGCACACCTCAGGAAGTAAGTGAGTCTTGGCATAGTAAGACACCTTGTGAGGAGATACAGAGCATCGTGGACATCAAGATCGCTTATTCTCTCCTCCATTCTCATTAGGTCATTCAATTTGTTCCTGAGGACAGTGTCGATGGCCTGGTGACCCAGCGGTGCCCCCAAGAGGGTACTGTTGGACGAAGTGGTAGTAGAGACTTCTGGGAGGATTCTTCACACAGCATTGATTATTTCCTGGTTCGCTGTGATGATTTCACACTTGGAAAGATTGAGGATGAGTCCCAAGTCTTCTCCCTGTGTTTTCACCAGTTGTAGGTCCTCTAACAGGGACTCTTCAGTACCTGCCAGAGTGCCATCATCCAGGTACCAGATGCTGAGCTCGCTGCATAAGCTGGAAGCTAGTTCTCTTAATGCCAAGCAGAAGAGAAGTGGAACGAGTGGGTCACCCTGCTGAACACCCTCTGATGAGAGAATTTCATATTCTCCGAACAAAAGAATTGAGGGTTTGCTGTAGCCAGCTGAAATGAAGGGAAAAAGACTGGGGAACCGATCCCGAACAGCTGGCAAGACAGCATCTCTCCTCACCATATTAAAGGCATTTCTAAAATCAAGTTTGACTACGGCCTTGTCTTCTGGTATGTCACTGTGTATGTCTCCCGTTTAGCAAACGAAGGATCGAACCTCCACTTCACCTCCACTCAATGACACACGGTTACAGCACTTCGCACAAAGAAGAAAAAGAATTATGTAGAGGTAATTACTTTTTTAAGTGATAGTAGAAGGACACATTTATATGCGAAACACATTAGTAATATCCGTTTTAGACCAGATTAACACCTCTCTCCTTCATCTGATGTAATCATCACGACGTGTAGCGAGTCATAGAAACACTGCATAACCACAAGATTTTATTGTATATGTTACGTCAGTAGACATAAAGTCAGCAACACCTCACAGCAGCAAGAAAGGAAACACTGGTGGAGGTTGGTGCAGCCAACACTAGTGTGCGGAACATGAATATATGAGACATAAATATATGCACAAATAGAATTCTAATTTACGACATAATGTAATTGTGTGTTGAAAAACCACTTACGATAATGTAATACAAGTTTGTCCTTCTGTGGCCTTACTGGCCACGTTTCTGTCGGGAATCCTCGTCATGTGTTAGAGATGTTCAGCCTGTTGTTTCGGCTTTGGAAGTTATTCAGCACTGATTCCTTTGACGTCAAGACAACATAACTATCAGTCCTTCATAACACTGTAATGCTATTAGAAATGTAATTGTTCTGTGATGGTATACTCCAGGTATGACATTCATGCTTATCCCGGCAGTGTTTTCATTTGGAAAGAGCGACCTGACTTCAGGTGGTGATATCACAAGCATCGACATGGTCGCCAGTCTTCACAACTCCTGCAGTCCCCCAGCCCATGTTCGTGGCACCATCATATACAAGAACGGACAACCTCTTCACAGAAATGAGCACAGGTACAGTATAGTATAATGTTACAAACTGCGATATCTATAACACATACTCACCGTACCACACTGGTCCAGCCTTATAGCATCCAGCTAACGCTACACGTTTGGTCCAAAGCAGCCAGCATTTAGGAAGGTGGCTTTGAGCTTTTCTTCTCACTCCCTGCATGCAGCAACCAACGAGAGATTTTTGCAATGTTTAGAAATCGCAGAACAGAATGCTGGCTGCTTTGGAGTAACATCTGGGGTTAGCTGGACACCAAAGTATTGGACCAGTGTGGTACGATGAGCCGAGTATTGCGTACCTTGTTTCAAGGTTCGCAGGTTCGAATCTCCTTTGGCTTGAAATTAGTGTTTATATATATATATATATATATATATATATAAAATATATATATATATATATAATATATATAATATATTTATATTAATATATATATATATCAATAACAACACTGCGACTAGCCGAGGATTCGAACCCATTTCGTTTTGGCCCGCTTCATGGTGAGTGAAAATCCCCATGACGCTCTAGCCCACGGGACCACGCAATCCAACAAAAAACAAGAACACAGCAGAGCTATGTGTTTTATCTTGGTCCGGTTAAGTTAGGTTAGGCCTTTTGTGTGTGTGTGTGTGTGTGTGTGTGTGTGTGTGTGTGTGTGTGTGTGTGTGTGTGTGTGTACATTTGAGGGCACATGCGTACTTGAATGCATGCATAAGTGCGTGCGTGCATGCTTGTGAGTAACTAATCATGGCTGCCACTTAGGTTTCCAGATGGTACAGAAGTGACTTTTAACTGCATCACTAACACCATCGGAGAGAAGACCACCTGGATGATCCTTTGTAAGGAGGGGTCGTGGGTGGGGCAGCGAGTACCCTCACCTTGCTCTAACGACGATGTCAGTGAGGATCTTCCAATAGGTAACAATTCCTGCATATGGAGGAACAACCAAGATAATCTTGTCACCTTTCACAACGACAGGGAAGTAACAGACATGATGGAATTCCCACCAGGCACTGAGCTGGTGAGTATCACGCAAAACTCACCCCTACTGTTTTTCCATGTTCTTGTTCTGTATGATACGTGAGGACTTTGACGTTGATACTCTCGTCAATATACTGACATTGGTTTGTGTCCTGGCAGGTATCTCGTTGTATAGACATAGGCAAATACGCTATGGCTGGAGCTTCCCACCGTCGCTGTCTTAATGGCTACTGGAGCAGCGCCGCTCCTCTCTGTTTTGCTCTCAACAGAGAACATGACTTTGCCTGTACGTTTTTCCCCGGCACTATACGATACCTTATGATTCATGTATTATTATTATTATTATTATTATTATTATTATTATTATTATTATTATTATTATTATTATTATTATTATTATTATTTTTTTTTTTTTTTTTTTTTTTTTTAAGTCGGCCGTCTCTCACCGAGGCAGGGTGACCCAAAAAGAAAGAAAATCCCCAAAAAGAAAATACTTTCATCATCATTCAACACTTTCACCTCACTCACACATTATCACTGTTTTTGCAGAGGTGCTCAGAACACAACAGTTTAGAAGCATTTTTTTTTTTTTTTTTATTATCACACCGGCCGATTCCCACCAAGGCAGGGTGGCCCGAAAAAGAAAAACTTTCACCATCATTCACTCCATCACTGTCTTGCCAGAAGGGTGCTTTACACTACAGTTTTTAAACTGCAACATTAACACCCCTCCTTCAGAGTGCAGGCACTGTACTTCCCATCTCCAGGACTCAAGTCCGGCCTGCCGGTTTCCCTGAATCCCTTCATAAATGTTACTTTGCTCACACTCCAACAGCACGTCAAGTATTAAAAACCATTTGTCTCCATTCACTCCTATCAAAACACGCTCAAGCATGCCTGCTGGAAGTCCAAGCCCCTCGCACACAAAACCTCCTTTACCCCCTCCCTCCAACCCTTCCTAGGCGACCCCTACCCCGCCTTCCTTCCACTACAGACTGATACACTCTTGAAGTCATTCTGTTTCGCTCCATTCTCTCTACATGTCCGAACCACCTCAACAACCCTTCCTCAGCCCTCTGGACAACAGTTTTGGTAATCCCGCACCTCCTCCTAACTTCCAAACTACGAATTCTCTGCATTATATTCACACCACACATTGCCCTCAGACATGACATCTCCACTGCCTCCAGCCTTCTCCTCGCTGCAACATTCATCACCCACGCTTCACACCCATATAAGAGCGTTGGTAAAACTATACTCTCATACATTCCCCTCTTTGCCTCCAAGGACAAAAGTTCTTTGTCTCCACAGACTCCTAAGTGCACCAACTCACTCTTTTTCCCTCATCAATTCTATGATTCACCTCATCTTTCATAGACCCATCCGCTGACACGTCCACTCCCAAATATCTGAATACGTTCACCTCCTCCATACTCTCTCCCTCCAATCTGATATTCAATCTTTCATCACCTAATCTTTTTGTTATCCTCATAACCTTACTCTTTCCTGTATTCACCTTTAATTTTCTTCTTTTGCACACCCTACCAAATTCATCCACCAATCTCTGCAACTTCTCTTCAGAATCTCCCAAGAGCACAGTTTTCATCAGCAAAGAGCAGCTGTGACAACTCCCACTTTGTGTGTGATTCTTTATCTTTTAACTCCACGCCTCTTGCCAAGACCCTCGCATTTACTTCTCTTACAACCCCATCTATAAATATATTAAACAACCACGGTGACATCACACATCCTTGTCTAAGGCCTACTTTTACTGGGAAAAAATTTCCCTCTTTCCTACATACTCTAACTTGAGCCTCACTATCCTCGTAAAAACTCTTCACTGCTTTCAGTAACCTACCTCCTACACCATACACTTGCAACATCTGCCACATTGCCCCCCTATCCACCCTGTCATACGCCTTTTCCAAATCCATAAATGCCACAAAGACAATGTATCTCCCCAAACTGCCAGTATCCCAAACCCCTCCTTTAAAGTGCAGGCAACATTGTACTTCCCATTTCTAGGACTCAAGTCCGGCTATATGAAATAACCGGTTTCCCTGAATCCCATCACTAAATATTACCCTGCTCACACTCCAACAGCTCGTCAGGTCCCAAATACCATTCGTCTCCATTCACTCCTATCTAACACGCTCACGCACGCTTGCTGGAAGTCTAAGCCCCTCACCCACAAAACTTTACCCCAAGCCAATGATGATCCTTTTCAAATCACTTGTTCTCTCTAGGCTGGAATACTGCTGTACATTAACATCTCCGTTCAAAGCAGGTGAAATCGCAGATCTAGAGAGTGTACAGAGATCCTTTACTGCACGTATAAGTTCTGTCAAGCACCTTAACTACTGGGAACGCTTGGAAGCACTTGACTTGTACTCGTTGGAACGCAGGAGGGAGAGATATATCATAATCTACACTTGGAAAATCCTGGAAGGAATGGTCCCAAATCTGCACACAGAAATCACTCCCTACGAAAGTAAAAGACTGGGCAGGCGATGCAAAATGCCCCCAATTAAAAGTAGGGGCGCCATTGGTACACTAAGGGAAAACACCATAAGTGTCCGGGGCCCAAGACTGTTCAACAGCCTCTCATCAAGCCTTAGGGGAATTGCCAATAAGCCCCTGGCTGCCTTCAAGAGAGAGCTGGACAGATACCTAAAATCAGTGCCGGATCAGCCGGGCTGTGGCTCGTACGTTGGACTGCATGCGGCCAGCAGTAACAGCCTGGTTGATCAGGCCCTGATCCACCGGGAGGCCTGGTCATGGACCGGTCCGCGGGGGCGTTGATCCCCGGAATAACCTCCAGGTAACCCCCTCCCTCCAACCTTTTCGAGGACGACCCCTACCCCGCCTTCCTTCCCCTACAGATTTATACGCTCTCCATGTCATTCTACTTTGATCCATTCTCTCTAAATGACCAAACCACCTCAGCAAACCCTCTTTAGCCCTCTGATTAATACTTTTGTTAACTCCACACCGTCTCCTAATTTCCACACTCCGAATTTTCTGCATAATATTTACACCACACATTGCCCTTAAACAGGACATCTCCACTGCCTCCAACCGCCTCCTCGCTGCAACATTTACCACCCAAGCTTCACATCCATATAAGAGTGTTGGTACTACTATACTTTCATACATTCCATTCTTTGCCTCCAAAGATAACATTTTTTGCCTCCACATATACCTCAACGCACCACCACCTTTTTTCCTGAAATCAATTCTAAGATCAACCTCATCCTTCAAATCCATCCGCCGACACGTCAACTCCCAAGTATCTGAAAACATTCACTTCTTCCATACTCCTCCTCCCCAATTTGATATCCAATTTTTCTTTATCTAAATCATTTGATACCTTCATCACCTTACTCTTTTCAAATGTTCATTTTCAACCTTTCTACCTTTACACACACTCCCAAACTCTTCCACTAACCTTTGCAATTTTTCTTTAGAATCTCCCATAAGCACAGTGTCATCAGCAAAAAGTAACTGTGTCATTCCCATTTTGTATTTGATTCCCCATAATGTAATCCCCCCCCCCTCCCGAACACCCTAGCATTTACTTCTTTACAACCCCATCTATAAATATATTAAACAACCATGGTGACATTACACATCCCTGTCTAAGACCTACTTTTACCCGGGGAAATATTCTCCCTCTCTTCTACATACCCTAACCTGAGCCTCACTATCCTCATAAAAACTCTTTACCTTCAAAACTAGGGAGGCCAAGCCCATGATGACACTCTTCAGGTCACTTGTTCTATCTAGGCTGAAAATTGCTGCACACTAACAGCACCTTTCAAGGCAGGTGAAATTGCCGACCTAGAAATGTACAGAGAACTTTCACGGCGCGCATAACGGAGATAAAACACCTCAATTACTGGGAGCGCTTGAGGTTCCTAAACCTGTATTCCCTGGAACGCATGAGGGAGAGATACATGATTATATACACCTGGAAAATCCTAGAGGGACTAGTACCGACTTGCACACGAAAATCACTCACTACGAAAGCAAAAGACTTGGCAGACGATGCACCATCCCCCCAATGAAAAGCAGGGGTGTCACTAGCACGTTAAGAGACCATACAATAAGTGTCAGGGGCCCGAGACTGTTCAACTGCCTCCCAGCACACATAAGGGGGATTACCAACAGACCCCTGGCAGTCTTCAAGCTGGCACTGGACAAGCACCTAAAGTCAGTTCCTGATCAGCCGGGCTGTGGCTCGTACGTTGGTTTGCGTGCAGCCAGCAGCAACAGCCTGGTTGATCAGGCGCTGATCCACCAGGATGCCTGGTCACAGACCGGGCCGCGGGGGCGTTGACCCCCGAAACTCTCTCCAGGTAAACTCCAGGTTACCACCTAGTCTATATACTTGCAACATCTAACACATTGCTCCTCTATCCACTCTATCATATGCCTTTTCTAAATCCATAAATGCAATAAAAACTTCCCTACCTTCATCTAAATACTGCTCACATATATGCTTCAATGTAAACACCTGATCTACACATCCCCTACCCACTCTGAAACCTCCTTGCTCATCCGCAATCCTACATTCTGTCTTACCTCTAATTCTTTCAATTATAACCCTACCGTACACTTTTCCTGGTATACTCAGTAAACTTATTCCTCTATAATTTTTACAATCTCTTTTGTCCCCCTTCCCTTTATATAAAGGGACTATACATGATCTCCGCCAATCCCTAGGTACCTTCCCCTCTTTCATACATTTATTAAACAAAAGTACCAACCACTCCAACACTATATTCCCCCCTGCTTTTAACATTTCTGTCATGATCCCATCAGTTCCAGCTGCTTTACCCCCTTTCATTCTACGTAATGCCTCACGTACCTCCACCACACTTACATCCTGTTCTTCTTCACTCCTAAAAGATGGTATACCTCCCTGGCCAGTGCATGAAATTACTGCCTCCCTTTCTTCATCGACATTTAAAAGTTCCTCAAAATATTCCCACCATCTACCCAAAACCTCAATCTCCCCATCTACTAACTCCCCTACTCTGTTATTATTATTATTATTATTATTATTATTATTATTATTATTATTATTTATTATTATTATTATATCTCCAGACCCACGTCGGGAGATATAATATTTTCCCTATCAAACATAATGTTACCAATAACACTACTCCTCAGACACTTGACTCAAATATTATCTAACAAGGGCCTGCCCTGCTTCCTTTGTTTGAACATTATCTAACAAGGGCCTGCCCTGCTACCTTTGTTTGAACATTATCTAACAAGGGCCTGCCCTGCTACCTTTGTTTGAACATTAGTCTACTAATCACGGCTTTATAATAACATTTAATAATTAAACAAAAGCATATTTGAAGTTCAGGTCAAATTATAGCGAGTTTAAGATCTTTTAATTAATTCCCTTTGATTTTTTGTTAAATATACCTAATGTATTTTCCCGGTATTGATGTGGTGTGTGTGTGTGTGTGTGTGTGTGTGTGTGTGTGTGTGTGTGTGTGTGTGTCGGTCTTCTTCTTGATTCGCCGGTATGGCGGGACTTACTACGGTTCAGTGGATCGCCCTCCCACCATTCTCTTCCGCCACAAGAATGGACCCATCGCCCAGACCAACGACGGTCGTCTGCTGGTGTATCCTGGTACTGAGCTCTACCTGGAGTGCCTCTGGATGAGGCGCTATGGCACCCCACGCTGGAATGTCTCGCACTCACACGCGTAAGTCTGTACCTTCAATCAAAACCACTTGAATACCTGTAATAGAGAGTAAAGTAAACTCTCAGAGTAAATACCTGAGAGAATAAGACACATGCCGAAGCATATCGCCTGCGCAGGGACCTTCAATCAGTCGAGTACAGAGATTATTACAGTGCCAGTTCTAGTTTGATTCGCCAGGGTAGTCCCGGCCCGGGTCTTGGCCGTGAGGTGACCCGGTGTATTACAGTACCGAAGATAGTAGAAGAGATGGAAAGGCTGAGAGATTGATCAACACAAATTACCTTTCCATTTCTACTGGATTCAATTGATGAAGCCTGCTACCCAGACGAGACGTTTCGCCACTCACTATACCTCAGTGTTACACATGTGTCTTATTCATCGACATGTCTTTACTGTATACCAACAAGACATACACACACACACACACACAAGGATCGAATGTTTCAGAGATGGGATACAGAAACAAGGGGACACAATTGGAAGCTGAAAACCCAGATGAGTCACAGGGATGTTAGAAAGTATTTCTTTAATCTTAGAGTTGTCAGGAACTGGAATAATCTGGAGAGTGAAGTAGTGGAAGCAAGTTCCGTAAATAGCTTTAAGAAGAGGTATGACAAATATCATGGAGCAGGGAGAGAGTGAATTAGTATCGACCAGTGAAGAGGCGGGGTCAGGAGCTATGAATCGACCCCTGCAACTACATATAGATAAGTACATATAGGTGAGTACACACACACACACACACACACACACACACACATGAAGAGAGCAACAGAGTAATGGTGGACACACTTGCTGAGGTGGCAAGAAGAGCTCACTCTAGCAGAGCAAAGTTGCTGGTTATGGGGGATTTCAACCACAGGGAGATTGACTGGGAAAACCTGGAGCCACATGGGAGTCCCGAAACATGGAGAGCCAGGATGTTGGACGTGGTGCTGGAAAACCTCATGCACCAAAATGTTATGGACACTACCAGAGTGAGAGGAGAGGATGAACCAGCAAGATTGGACCTTGTGTTCACCCTGGGCAGCTCAGACATTGAGAACATCAAGTATGAGAGTCCCCTAGGAGCTAGCGACCACGTGGTTCTGTGCTTTGAATACATAGTAGAGCTGCAAATGGAGAGAATAACAGGAGTTGAATGGGAAAAGCCTGGCTATAAAAGAGGGGACTACATAGGGTTGAAGAACTTCCTGCGGGAGGTCCAGTGGGACAGAGAACTGGCAGGAAAGCCAGTAAATGAAATGATGGAATATGTAACAACAAAATGCAAGGAGGCAGTGGAAAGGTTTATTCCCAAGGGCAACAGTAACAACGGGAAGACCAGAACGAGCCCCTGGTTTACCCGACGGTGTAAGGAGGCAAAAACAAAATGCAATAGAGAATGGAAAAAGTACAGAAGGCAGAGAACACACGAAAATATGGAGATCAGTCGCAGAGCCAGGAATGAGTATGCACAGGTAAGGAGGGAGGCCCAGCGACAGTATGAAAATGACATAGCATCGAGAATCAAGACTGACCCGAAACTGTTGTATAGCCACATCAGGAGGAAGACAACAGTCAAAGACCAGGTGATCAGATTAAGGACAGAAGGTGGAGAACTCACAAGAAATTATCAGGAGGTATGTGAGGAGCTGAACAGGAGATTTAAGGAAGTTTTTACAGTAGAGACAGGAAGGGCTGTGGGAAGACAGCACAGAAGGGAACATCAAGAGGGAATATACCAACAATTGTTGGATGACATACGAACAACTGAGGAGGAGGTGAAGAAGCTCTTAAGTGACCTTGACACCTCAAAGGCGATGGGACCGGACAACTCCCCATGGGTCCTTAGAGAAGGAGCAGAGATGCTGTGCGTGCCTCTAACCACAATCTTCAACACATCCCTTGAAACTGGGCAACTACCTGAGAAATGGAAGACAGCTAATGTAGTCCCCATATTTAAGAAATGAAACAGAAACGAGGCACTAAACTACAGACCTGTGTCTCTGACATGTATTGTGTGCAAAGTCATGGAGAAGATTATCAGGAGGAGAGTGGTCGAACACCTGGAAAGGAACAAGATTATAAATGAAAACCAGCATGGGTTCATGGAAGGCAAATCTTGTATCACAAACCTCCTGGAGTTTTATGACAAGGTAACAGAAGTAAGACACGAGAGAGAGGGGTGGGTAGATTGCGTTTTCCTAGAGTGCAGGAAGGCCTTTGACACAGTTCCCCACAAGAGATTAGAGCAGAAGCTGGAGGATCAGGCGCATGTAAAAGGGAGGGCACTGCAATGGATAAGGGAATACCTGACAGGGAGGCAGCAACGAGTGAAGAGGTATCACAGTGGGCGCCTGTTACGAGCGGGGTCCCACAGGGGTCAGTTCTAGGACCGGTGCTATTTTTGATATATGTGAACGACATGATGCAAGGAATAGACTCTGAAGTGTCCCTGTTCGCAGATGACGTGAAGTTGATGAGAAGAATTAAATCGGACGAGGATGAGGCAGGACTGCAAAGAGACCTGGACAGGCTGGACATGTGGTCCAGTAACTGGCTTCTCGAATTCAATCCAGCTAAATGCAAAGTCATGAAGATTGGGGAGGGGCAAAGAAGACCGCAGACAGAGTATAGGCTAGGTGGACAAAGACTACAGACCTCACTCAGGGAGAAAGACCTTGGGGTGACCATAACACCGAGCACATCACCGGAGGCACACATCAACCAAATAACCGCTGCAGCATACGGGCGCCTGGCAAACCTGAGAATAGCGTTTCGATACCTTAATAAGGAATCGTTCAAGACACTGTACACTGTGTATGTTAGGCCCATACTGGAGTATGCAGCACCAGTCTGGAACCCACACCTGGTCAAGCACGTCAAGAAGTTAGAGAAAGTACAAAGGTTTGCAACAAGGCTAGTCCCAGAGCTCAAGGGAATGTCGTACGAGAAAAGGTTAAGGGAAATCGGACTGACGACACTGGAGGACAGAAGGGTCAGGGGAGACATGATAACGACATACAAGATACTGCGGGGAATAGACAAGGTGGACAGAGATAGGATGTTCCAGAGAGGGGACACAGGGACATGGGGTCACAACTGGAAGCTGAAGACTCAGACGAGTCACAGGGACGTTAGGAAGTATTTCTTCAGTCATAGAGTTGTCAGCAAGTGGAATAGCCTAGCAAGTGAAGTAGTGGAGGCAGGAACCATACATAGTTTTAAGAAGAGGTATGACAAAGCTCAAGGAAGCAGAGAGAGAGAGGATCCAGTAGCGATCAGTGAAGAGGCGGGGCCAGGAGCTGAGTATCGACCCCTGCAACCACAATTAGGTGAGTACAATTAGGCGAGTACACACACACACACACACACACACACACACACACACACACACACACACACACACACACACACACACACACGTTTCTATGCCTTATTAAAGTTTAATTACTCTTTTTCCCAGTAAAATATAACTTCCACTTAATGATATAACCACAATAAAAATTAATCTTAAAATATTATATACCTCATGATCCCTTACATTAATATATGATAATTTTTCAAATAAACAAGCTAATAATATACTTTTTTTTTTTAAGATCCACTATGTCAATAACATTATTTTTTACTGGAATTTTTAGAAGACAATAGTAATGTATATCCGGTGGTGACGTCACCGGTGTGAAACAAGTATGGAACACGAGGTGCACGCACATCATACCTGTCTTCACCTGGTGTGATTCTGAAGGAAGATTAGAGAAAGGCAAAGGAAGGTGACCGTCATTGGACAAGGAAACAAGGGATGTCGATAAATATTAAGCAAAGAACATATAGGAAGAGAATGAAATAGCTTGAATCAATGCTTGAGGCTCACTGGTGTGCGGACTGGGGAAGGAACATGGCTTGTGAGCCAGGCTACCCAGGTTATGTGATATTTGTGGCTGAGTTGATAAGAGTGTCACTCTGGGGGCTTTGTCAGTCTCCCTATAGTGGGTCGACTCCTGTTAACTGCGATCTTTCTCTGTGCTTGTTTCTATGTGGTGCACTGATATATATATATTTATATATATATTATATATATATATATATATATAATATATATATATATATATTTATTATATAATATATATATTTCAATGCACCTATGCCTAATAAGACGAATGTCTTTAAAAAATTAAGTAAGTTTATTCAGGTATACATAAATACATTTACATAGATTATCATACATAGCAGTATATGTATAAAGAAACTGGGATAACCCAAAAAAGTCAAATAGTGACTTATTTCCATTTGGGTCCTTTTGCCGTATTGTTATAATATAAAATTTCCAGAGTTTTTTTTAACAGCCACGAACGAGAGCTTCTCAGTAAATAATAATACTATATATTTACTTCAGTTTCAGTATATCATGATGGATATTTTAGATTCATATTATCTGCTAAACATTTCACAAATAAATACATCTTAGTTATCTTCTGAAGAGGGTCTCAGACTGAGACTGAAATATACCCGTGTTTCTCGCCTTTCATTTTTCTCTCCAAATAGTTTCTCCATTGTTCAAAATATTCACACTGAGCAGAGCAGACACACGGTTCATTTAGTCTGTGTTTAACTTCCTCTCTTCTCCTCACACAGAAACTACAAACACAGGAAATTTAACATGAAGTGTCGAAAACTAACACTGTGTTGGTAAGGCTTCGTTTCAGTAAGTCCAGAGTTGTATAGGAATGATTATGCTGGTGTGGTGTTGTCCAGATGGTGTGGTGTTGTCCAGATGGTGTGGTGTTGTCCAGATGGTGTGGTGTTGTCCAGATGGTGTGGTGTTGTCCAGATGGTGTGGTGTTGTCCAATTGGTATGGTGTTGTCCAGATGGTGTGGTGTTGTCCAGATGGTGTGGTGTTGTCCAGATGGTGTGGTGTTGTCCAGATGGTGTGGTGTTGTCCAGATGGTGTGGTGTTGTCCAGATGGTATGGTGTTGTCCAGATGGTGTGGTGTTGTCCAGATGGTGTGGTGTTGTCCAGATGGTATGGTGTTGTCCAGATGGTGTGGGGATGTCCAGATGGTGTGGTGTTGTCCAGATGGTGTGGTTTTGTCCAGATGGTGTGGTGTTGTCCAGATGGTGTGGTGTTGTCCAGATGGTATGGTGTTGTCCAGATGGTGTGGTGTTGTCTAGATGGTGTGGGGATGTCCAGATGGTGTGGTGTTGTCCAGATGGTGTAGTGCTGTCCAGATGGTGTTTTGTTGTCCAGATGGTGTGGGGATGTCCAGATGGTGTGGTGCTGTCCAGATGGTGTGGTGCTGTCCTGATGGTGTGGTGCTCTCCAGATGGTGTTTTGTTGTCCAGATGGTGTGGTGCTGTCCAGATGGTGTAGTGCTATCCAGATGGTGTAGTGCTGTCCAGATGGTGTAGTGTTGTCCAGATGGTGTAGTACTGTCCAGATGGTGTAGTGTTGTCCAGATGGTGTGGTGCTGTCCTGATGGTGTAGTGCTCTCCAGATGGTGTTTTGTTGTCCAGATGGTGTGGTGCTGTCCAGATGGTGTAGTGCTGTCCAGATGGTGTAGTGTTGTCCAGATGGTGTAGTGCTGTCCAGATGGTGTAGTGTTGTCCAGATGGTGTGGTGCTGCCCAGATGGTGTAGTTATATTGACCCGACCCCGCTCACTGTTTTCTCTCCTTAACATATTCCACTCTGATTACCTTCTTTTAATCTCAGAGTAACGTGAAATCAAATACGGGAACTGATGAGTATTTACGGCTTCGTCCTGTGGGAGCCGGCTGGAACCCTGGGGAGTCATGTGGGAGCCGACTGGAACCCTGGGGAGTCATGTGGGAGCCGGCTGGAACACTGGGGAGTCATGTGGGAGCCGGCTGGAACCCTGGGGAGTCATGTGGGAGCCGGCTGGAACACTGGGGAGTCATGTGGGAGCCGACTGGAACCCTGGGGAGTCATGTGGGAGCCGGCGGGAACACTGGGGAGTCATGTGGGAGCCGGCTGGAACACTGGGGAGTCATGTGGGAGCCGGCTGGAACACTGCGGTCATGTGAGAGCCGGCTGGAACACTGGGGAGTCATGTGGGAGCCGGCTGGAACACTGGGGAGTCATGTGGGAGCCGGCTGGAACACTGGGGAGTCATGTGGGAGCCGGCTGGAACACTAGGGAGTCATGTGGGAGCCGGCTGGTGCACTGGGGAGTCATGTGGGAGCCGGCTGGAACACTGGGGAGTCATGTGTAAGCCGGCTGTTACACTGGGGAGTCATGTGGGAGCCGGCTGGAACACTGGGGAGTCATGTGGAAGCCGGCTGGTACACTGGGGAGTCATGTGGGAGCCGGCTGGAACACTGAGGAGTCATGTGGAAGCCGGCTGGTAAACTGGGGAGTCATGTGGGAGCCGGCTGGAACACTGGGGAGTCATGTGGGAGCCGGCTGGAACACTGGGGAGTCATGTGGAAGCCGGCTGGTAAACTGGGGAGTCATGTGGGAGCCGGCTGGAACACTGGGGAGTCATGTGGGAGCGGCTGGTACAATGGGGAGTCATGTGGGAGCCGGCTGGAACACTGGGGAGTCATGTGGGAGCCGGCTGGTAAACTGGGGAGTCATGTGGGAGCCGGCTGGAACACTGGGGAGTCATGTGGGAGCCGGCTGGTACACTGGGGAGTCATGTGGGAGCCGGCTGGAACACTGGGGAGTCATGTGGGAGCCGGCTGGAACACTGGGGAGTCATATGGGAGCCGGCTGGAACACTGGGGAGTCATATGGGAGCCGGCTGGAACACTGGGCAGCCGAGGTGACGAAAACTGTTGTTCAGAACTCTATTTCTGAGTTGTAATTGATTCTTGAGATTAAATTAGCCTTCTGCTTGGTTAATAGAGTTTAAATCCTATCGACTACACTAAGGTCATTAAAGATCCACGTAAGCTTTTCACCACAGAATAATATTTTAATCCCTCAAATAGGGAATATACACAGTGAGAGAAATACACTTCTCGTTGTATATTTCCCATTTCTTAATTTATCATTAGATTATCCCCTACACGACGATACATTCCGCTATTTAATCTTTTATTAAATAATGTCAGAATTCAGCGGAACTTAAAGATATATATACCGACTTCTATATAAATATTCCCACAATTTTGCCATTTGGAATATGTTTTAAGTTATCTAATGTTGATTAATATTCTTGTCTGCTGCTAGTTTTGTATTTTCGTTAGAAAGTACACGCTTATTAGTGCTACAACTCTCGGATTACTAGTCAAGACTAGAAATAGTTAGCCAAAATTTATGAGTGCAGTATAACACTGAGATGTACTGGCTTAGATGTACTGGCTTAGATGTACTCACTCTTCCCGTCTCTCTTTCCCTCCATGACTAGGAAGTATTGGACGGGTTGGACCACTGATGCTTTAAGGAACCCGCAATTAGAGTATCGCCTGGCCCTCTACACGGCCCACACGGGTGACTCTGGTGACTACACCTGTGTCACGCCCACCGGACACGCCCACACCGTCACCCTTGATATTAGACGTGAGTGGTGTTGCTTCTACTGCCTCTCTTGTCATGTGCGACTATTATCTCTGAATATTGTCTTCATCTCTGATGTGAAATGATAACGAACCACGATGGCCCGTAACATCTTCCGGTTTTCTTCGTCAACTTGTGGGTCAACTGTGAATTGTTGAAGCAATGGTATTTTTACTTTAATTCTCTTGTGTCCATGTGTGTCCACAGGGGTAGACTGTCCCCCACTGAACACTAGTGAGGGACCTGCCCAGCCAGGTGCCGCCGCCGCCCTCCACCACCAACCACAGGATGACACTGCCCTGGGCACCGTCGTCAGCTTCTCGTGTGGCAGAGGGTCATCCCTTGTCGGGGAGCGTGAAATCAAGTGCCTCCCGTCCGGCAACTGGTCTGCCCCAGTGCCACGCTGTCAGAGTAAGTCTGCACACACGCACACACACAACACACACACACACACACACACACCACACACACACACACACACACACCACACACACACACACACACACACACACACACACACACACAAGGAAAAAGATCTGGGGTGAGTATAACACCGAGCATATCTCCTGAGGCACACATTCAATCAGATAACTGCTGCAGCATACGGGCGCCTGGCCAAACCTACAGATAGCGTTCCGATACCTCAGTAAGGATTCGTTTAAGACTCTGTATACCATCTACGTCAGGCCCATACTGGGGTATGCAGCACCAGTTTGGAATCCACACCTACTCAAGCACGTCAAGAAATTAGAGAAAGTGCAAAGGTTTGCAACAAGACTAGTCCCAGAGCTACGGGGATTGTCCTACGAAGAAAGATTGAGGGAAATCGGCCTGACGACACTGGAGGACAGGAGGGTCAGGGGAGACATGATAACGACATATAAAATGCTGCGCGGAATAGACAAGGTGGACAAAGACGGGATGTTCCAGAGATGGGACACAGACACAAGAGGTCACAATTGGAAGTTGAAGACTCAGATGAATCAAAGGGATGTTAGGAAGTATTTCTTCAGTCATAGAGTAGTCAGGCCATGGAATAGCCTAGAAAGGGATGTAGTGGAGGCAGGAACCATACATAGTTTTAAGGCCAGGTATGATAGAGCTCATGGGGCAGGGAGAGAGCAGGACCTAGTAGCAATCAGCGAAGAGGCGGGGCCAGGAGCTGTGACTCGACCCCTGCAACCACAAATAGGTGAGTACACACACACACAACACCACACACACACACACACACACACATATATATTATATATATATATATATATATATATATTATATATATTATATATGTCGTGCCGAATAGGCAGAACTTGCGATCTTGGCTTAAATAGCAACGCTCATCTTGCCATATAGGACAAGTGAAAATTTGTGTATGCAATAATTTCGCCAAAATCATTCTGAACCTAACGAAAAAAAATATATTTCATTGTGATTGTTTAGTATTAAATTACTGTAAACAAATCTAAAATATATTTAGTTGGGTTAGGCTAAAATAAATTGATCTTGTTATAACAAGGTTACGTAAGTTTTCTAAGTTTCTTTTGGTGCAAAATTAAAAAAATTTACATTAACATTAATGAAAAATATATATCTTTAAACGTATAAGAGAAAATTTTGGAAAGGACTTAATTTTAAATGAGTTCTTGCTAATTGACCAGTTTTACATATTCGGCACGACATATTATATATATATATATATATATATAATATATATATATATATATATATTATATATATATATATATTATATATATATATATATATATATATATATATATATATATATATATATTCCTATTGGTAAAAAAAAATATAATTAAAAGATGAGGTGGTAGGGGAAGTGGAATATTCAAAACGGCTTCCACAATTTACACCAGAGGTGGACCCCACTATATATATATATATATATATATATATATATATTATATATATATATAAACACTGATCTTGGCTGAAGGAGACTCGAACCTACGAACCGTGGAACAAGGTACGCAGTGCTATACCAAACTCGCCACCACTGGACAATACCTCGGCGTTGCAGCTTGCGCTACACGTTTGATCCAAGGCAGCCAGCTTTCAGGGAGAAGTCTTACAGCTTTTCATCTCATCCCCTGCATGCATCAGCCTTACTAGAGATTTTAACAATGCAAGGAATTCGCAAGAGCAGGCGAAATATACACAAACACTGATCTCTGGCTGAAGGAGACTCGAACCTACGAACCTTGGAACAAGGTACGCAGTGCTTATACCATTCTAGGTTCGAGTCTCCTTCAGCCAGAGATCAGTGTTTGTGTATATTTCGCCTGCTCTTGCGAATTCCTTGCATATATTTATATATATATATTATATATATATATATATATATATATATATATATATTAATATATATATATATATATATATATATATATATATTATATATATATATATATATATATATATATATACATACATTCACAACACACACACTACTGGGGGTAACTAGGTTTGGTCAGAGAAAAAGGAGAGGAGCTCAGATTTCTTGGATCGAGAACCCTTTACCAGCATCGAGGCAGTCTCCACCGAAGGAACTACCGGAGCTGAAAAATTAAAACTAGTATGCTCTTCCTGAACACTTACGGGTGTAGCGCTTGTTCGTAATATAACAATAATAATAATAATAACAATAATAATAAATTTTCCTCAATACTGGACAGCAATATATATGCTCCACTGTTACCACAAATATGCTCCACTGTTACCACAAATATGCTCCACTGTTACCACAAATATGCTCCACTGTTCCCACAAATATGCTCCACTGTTACCACAAATATGCTCCACTGTTACCACAAATATGCTCCACTGTTACCACAAATATGCTCCACTGTTACCACAAATATGATCCACTGTTACCACAAATATGCTCCACTGTTACCACAAATATGCTCCACTGTTCCCACAAATATACTCCACTGCTACCACAAATATGCTCCACTGTTACCACAAATATGCTCCACTGTTACCACAAATATGCTCCACTGTTCCCACAAATATACTCCACTGTTACCACAAATATGCTCCACTGTAACCACAAATATGCTCCACTATTCCCACAAATATGCTCCACTGTTCCCACAAATATGCTCCACTGATCCAACAAATATGCTCCACTGTAACCAAAAATATGCTCCACTGTTCCCACAAATATGCTCCACTGTAACCACAAATATGCTCCACTGTTACCACAAATATGCTCCACTGTAACCACAAATATGCTCCACTGTTACCACAAATATGCTCCACTGATCCAACAAATATGCTCCACTGTAACCACAAATATGCTCCACTGTTACCATAAATATGCTCCACTGTAACCACAAATATGCTCCACTGTTCCCACAAATATGCTCCACTGATCCAACAAATATGCTCCACTGTAACCACAAATATGCTCCACTGTTCCCACAAATATGCTCCACTGTTCCCACAAATGTTCTCCACTGATCTCACAAATATGCTCCACTGTTCCCACAAATATGTTCCACTGTAACTACAAATATGCTCCACTGTCACCACAAATATGCTCCACTGTTACCACAAATATGCTCCACTGACCACAAATATGCTCCACTGTTACTACAAATATGCTCCACTGTAACCACAAATATGCTCCACTGTTACCACAAACATGCTCCACTGTTCCCACAAATATGCTCCACTGTTACCACAAATATGCTTCACTGTTACCACAAATATGCTCCACTGACCACAAATATGCTCCACTGTTCCCACAAATATGCTCCACTGTAACCACAAATATGCTCCACTGTTACCAGAATATGCTCCACTGTTCCCACAAATATGTTCCACTGTAACCACAAATATGCTCCACTGTAACCACAAATATGCTCCACTGTAACCACAAATATGCTCCACTGATCCAACAAATATGCTCCACTGTTCCCACAAATATGCTCCACTGTAACCACAAATATGCACCACTGTTACCACAAATATGCTCCACTGTTCCCACAAATATGCTCCACTGTAACCACAAATATGCTCCACTGTTACCACAAACATGCTCCACTGTAACCACAAATATGCTCCACTGTTCCCACAAATATGCTCCACTGTTCCCACAAATATGCTCCATTGTAACCACAAATATGCTCCACTGTTCCCACAAATATGCTCACTGTTACCACAAATATGCTCCACTGTAACCACAAATATGCTCCACTGTTCCCACAAATATGCTCCACTGTTCCCACAAATGTTCTCCACTGATCTCACAAATATGCTCCACTGTTCCCACAAATATGTTCCACTGTAACTACAAATATGCTCCACTGTCACCACAAATATGCTCCACTGTTACCACAAATATGCTCCACTGACCACAAATATGCTCCACTGTTACCACAAATATGCTCCACTGTAACCACAAATATGCTCCACTGTTACCACAAACATGCTCCACTGTTCCCACAAATATGCTCCACTGTTACCACAAATATGCTTCTCATGTTACCACAAATATGCTCCACTGACCACAAATATGCTCCACTGTTCTCACAAATATGCTCCACTGTAACCACAAATATGCTCCACTGTTACCAGAAATATGCTCCACTGTTCCCACAAATATGTTCCACTGTAACCACAAATATGCTCCACTGTAACCACAAATATGCTCCACTGTAACCACAAATATGCTCCACTGATCCAACAAATATGCTCCACTGTTCCCACAAATATGCTCCACTGTAACCACAAATATGCACCACTGTTACCACAAATATGCTCCACTGTTCCCACAAATATGCTCCACTGTAACCACAAATATGCTCCACTGTTACCACAAACATGCTCCACTGTAACCACAAATATGCTCCACTGTTCCCACAAATATGCTCCACTGTTCCCACAAATATGCTCCATTGTAACCACAAATATGCTCCACTGTTCCCACAAATATGCTCACTGTTACCACAAATATGCTCCACTGTAACCACAAATATGCTCCACTGTTACCACAAATATGCTCCACTGTAACCACAAATATGCTCCATGTTACCACAAAATATGCTCCACTGTAACCACAAATATGCTCCACTGTTACCACAAATATGCTCCACTGTAACCACAAATATGCTCCACTGTTACCACAAATATGCTCCACTGTAACCACAAATATGCTCCACTGTTACCACAAATATGCTCCACTGTTACCACAAATATGCTTCACTGTTACCATAAATATGCTCTACTGTTACCATAAATATGCTCCACTGTTCCCACAAATATGCTCCACTGTTACCACAAATATGCTCCACTGTTACCATAAATATGCTCCACTGTTCCCACAAATATGCTCCACTGTTACCACAAATATGCTCCACTGTTACGATAAATATGCTCCACTGTTCCCACAAATATGCTCCACTGTTCCCACAAATATGCTCCATTGTTCCCACAAATATGTTCCACTGTTACCACAAATATGATCCACTGTTACCACAAATATGCTCCACTGTTCCCACAAATATGCTCCACTGTTCCCACAAATATGCTCCACTGTTCCCACAAATATGCTCCACTGTTACGACAAATATGCTCCACTGTTACCACAAATATGCTCCACTGTTACCACAAATATGCTCCACTGTTCCCACAAATATGCTCCACTGTTCCCACAAATATTCTCCACTGTTCCCACAAATATGATCCACTGTTACCACAAATATGCTCCACTGTTACCACAAATATGCTCCACTGTTCCCACAAATATTCTCCACTGTTCCCACAAATATGCTCCTCTGTTCCCACAAATATCAACATAGTTCACCAGGTACCTCTGATCTTATATCCTGATGTGAACATTGCTACCTGGCAACACGTGACCTGTAACCACAGTAAAGCACATCATAGTCCACAGTGTTATAGAAGGTTCCCGGGTGAAGCCCTGTGGTCAGTCTGAGCTTGTAAGCTATGAATGGCAAGCTACATTTCAGTCTTGTAAAAGCTCGAGTCGTGGGCCACTCTGACTTAAAGTTCAAACTTTTCTGAAAGAAGCAGACGGCGCCGCTGACAGTGCTGGTTAAGGCTGCGTGTAAACATAGGTAATTCTGAAGACAAAACACCTTTGCGCAACAGATTTTTATCTGGGCAACGTTTTGCCCTTTGTACACCTTTAGCAATTCACTGATCAAGCTCCAAAGGGAGCGAAATGTTGTCTCAATAAAAACTGTCTCTGCAAAAGTTTTTTTTTTTCAGTGGTGTCGTTAGTAAATAATTTCAGATTCAAAATGTTAGTCATACTTTTATTTTATCTTGTGCTTAATGTTATGCCAAACTCAACGTCAAAAGAAACCAAATTTACAAATTATTCTTTTAGTAATGCTGAACCAGTGTAAATATATAATGAATGACTTGAGATAGGATAGGAGTAAGACAGGGAAACATGCACCAACAGGAAATACAGTCACAGAAACCCAAGGCAAACGGAAACCAAGCCTGTGCACATACTATGCACTTGGTATCTGCTGGCATGGGAAATCTGGAAAAACAGATGGGACGTGCAACTATGACCACCCTAGAAAATGCCATGCCCATACGACAACAGGAAAATGCAAACTCCCTTCCTGTAAGCTTTTTCACCCTGAACTGTGTACCTCTTCAGTACAGGAAAGACTGTGCTATAACTTAAATTGCCAGGATAACCATCAAAGGGGACAAAAAGATACAAAACATCTAGCCATGGGAAAACCTGGGTAGCCACACCACTCAAAGGGAGAGGTTTTTTAGTGCCGGGGAGGAAAAAAACTGGCGGGAAATGCAGAAATCGTCACCAAACCCATCATTCCTGAGTGACCACGTCGATGCCTCCATCCAACCACAGATACAGATACTAATGCCGGAAAAAAATCCTCCCCCAGTACCAACAAACCACCAGTCCGAAACTCTCTTGCAAATATACAGGGTCTAAAGCCAGCAACAAACAAAAAAATACCTTTCATCCGTGGACTGCTTGCAGAGGCAAAGGCAATGTTCGCGGCTTTCACTGAGACCCAAAATAAAGGATCATTTGGACAACGAAATATGGATCCCAGGTTACAACCTATACAATGTGACAGACGTGAACAGGCAAAAGGGGGGGGGGTTGGCCTGTACATTGCAGAGTCACTTGTTTGCACAGAACTGCTTAATGCCTCAAAAGATGTAGTGGAAGTTTTAGCAGTAAAGGTCGAGAACCAAAACCCAGTCAATTGTGGTAGTCTAAAAAGCCTCCGGGTGCAACATCCCAGCAATTCCCCGGAACAGCTGTTAAAAATTGACCACTGTCTGGAAAATCTTCCAGCTCCTGTACCCCCAAAAATCTTGCTCCTGGGGGATTTCAACTTAAGGCACCTAAAATGGAGGAAATAGCAAATAATATTGTTGCAGTAATAACACCAGGAGGCAGCTCTGATGAAAAAAATCACACTCACACGAGCTTTTAAATCTCTGCACAAAATTCAATTTAAACCAACAAAATAATAGGGGCCTACTAGACTGGAGAATACACTAGACTCATCGTCACTAACAAATGATGATCTGATAAGAAATGTCACCATATCAAAAACAATATACTCAGATCACAACTAAATTTAGGTCAGACATGTATGCGTGGGGCCCCAGAAACCCACATAATGAGACTAGTCACGAGGGAGCATTCACCAAATTCAACTTCAATAACAAAAACATAAAGTGGGACCAAGTAAACCAAGGTCCTAACCGATATAAGCTGGGAAGATATACTAAGCAACACAGACCCCAATTTTATGCTAGAACAGATTAACTTGGTGGCACTCGATGTATGCACAAGGCTTATTCCTCTAAGAAAAAGGAGGGAGTAGATGTAAAATAGAAAGAGACGGGGCGCCCCCTTTACAGGCGACGGAAAAGAATAACAGAGCGGCTAAAAGAGGTCAATATATCTGAAATGCGTAGGGAGACACTGGTCAGAGAAATAGCAAGCATCGAACTCAAGCTAAAGGAATCTTATGGGGAATCAGGAATCGCTGGAAAAAACTAAAATCCATAAATGAAATCGAAAGCCCCCAAAAGTATTTCTTCTCCTATCCCAAAAATCAAAGTCGAGAACAACGTCCGGTATTGGGCCCCAACTTAAACAAAAAGGGTCCTCACAGATGACAGAAAGGGAAATGAGTGAGCTACTCAAGCCCCAAATTATGACTCAGTTTTTAGCAAGCGCTAACCAGACTGAGAGTCGAAGATCAAAATGAATTTTTTTTATGAGAGAGCCACAAAATTTGATTAACACAAGCCTATCCGATGTTATCCTGACGCCAAATGACTTCGAACAGGCGATAAAATGACATGCCCATGCACTCTGCCCCAGGGCCAGACCCCATGGAACTCCGTGTTCATCAAGAATGCAAGAAGCCCGTATCACGAGCCTTTTCCTCCTTTTCCATGGACAGGGGGGTCGTCCCACAGTTACTAAAAACAAAAGACATAGCCCCACTCCAAAAAGGGGGGCAGTAAAGCAACAGCAAAGAACTACAGACCAATAAGCAACCCCAAAAATCCCATATAATAAAAAAACTTTGAAAGGGTCCTAAGAAGCAAGATCACCACCCATCTAGGAAACCCATCAGTTACACAAACCCCGGGCAACATGGGTTTTGAAACAGGTCGCTCCTGTCTGTCTCAACTATTGGATCACTACGACAAGGGCCTAAATGCACTGAAGACAAAAAGAATGCAGATGGTAATATATACAGACTTTGCAAAAGCCTTCGAAAGTGTGACCATGGGTTTAAAAGTGCACAAAATGCGTGCTAAAGGAATTTAAAAGGAAAAGTCGGGCGATGGATCTATAATTTCCTCACTAACAGAACACAGAGAGTAGTCGTCAACAGAGTAAAGTCCGAGGCAGCTACGATGAAAGCTCTGTTCCACAAGGCACAGTACTCACTCCCATCTTGTTCCTCATCCCAAAATTTCCCACATAGACAAAGGATTTTCAGCCACAGCACCGTGTCTTCCTTTGCAGATGACACCCGAATCTGCATGACAGTGTCTTCCATTGCAAAACACTGCAAGGGTCCAGGTGGACATCAAAACCCAAAACTTTTTAGTGGGCTGCAGAAAACAATATGAAGTTCAACGATGAGAAATTTCAATTACTCAGATATGGTAAACACGAGGAAATAAATCTTCATCAGAGTACAAAACAAATTCTGGCCACAAAATAGCGAAACACCAACGTCAAAGACCTGGGAGTGATCATGTCGGAGGATCTTACCTTCAAGGACCTAACATTGTATCAATCGCATCTGCTAGAAAAATGACAGGATGGATAATGAGAACCTTCAAAACTAGGAGGCCAAGCCCATGATGACACTCTTCAGGTCACTTGTTCTATCTAGGCTGGAATATTGCTGCACACTAACAGCACCTTTCAAGGCAGGTGAAATTGCTGACCTAGAAAATGTACAGAGAACCTTCACGGCGCGCATAACGGAGATAAAACACCTCAATTACTGGAGCTCTTGAGGTTCCTAAACCTGTATTCCCTGGAAACGCAGGAGGGAGAGATACATGATTATATACACTGGAAAATCCTAGAGGGACTAGTACCGAACTTGCACACGAAAATCACTCACTACGAAAGCAAAAGACTTGGCAGACGATGCACCATCCCCCCAATGAAAAGTAGGGGTGTTCACTAGCACGTTAGAGACCATACAATAAGTGTCAGGGGCCCGAGACTGTTCAACTGCCTCCCAGCATACATAAGGGGGATTACCAACAGACCCCTGGCAGTCTTCAAGCTGGCACTGGACAAATACCTAAAGTCAGTTCCTGACCAGCCGGGCTGTGGCTCGTACGTTGGTTTGCGTGCAGCCAGCAGCAGCAGCCTGGTTGATCAGGCTCTGATCCACCAGGAGGCCTGGTCACAGACCGGGCCGCTGGGGCGTTGACCCCCGGAACTCTCTCCAGGTAAACTCCAGGTCTCCAGAGCTCAGGCCACTGTGTTGCTGGCAGTGTTTTGTTTGTCAGGAAGACTGACTCCCAGAGTCGGGTCTGAGTCGTATGATAACACGATCAACAGAGTTTTGGTCGGTATAAATACCGACAAGTGCCTAAGACACATGCGCAATACAAGGACATTTACTGAGACGTTTCACTCACAGGAACTTGCTGATGACGCTCTTCTGACCAACATATTTCCTCAATAATTGTCCTAACACTTCACATCTGAAATAATGGATTGTACCTGATTACCTTCCACTCCTCGGGCACTTCATGACGCTAACGAGTTTACCGCTTCCCCTCTAAATATAACTATTGCATAACGACAGAGGTGCAGTGTGGCGGACTGGGAGGGCCTCGGCACGGCCAGTTGACCCACCCTGGACCATACTTTGCCGGGGACACGGTAGAGGTGACCTGTGACTCTACCTACATGCTGGCTGGCCAGCCCCTGCTGATGTGTCAGGACGATGGTACCTGGTCTTCCCACCTACCCAAGTGTAAGTGTTATATAATACAATTTGTATTTATTTATGCGGCATAAATACTGTAGTTTACATGTATTAAAACATTGGTATTCACAAAAGTAAGTTACTAGTACGCATTGCATTTCGGGCAGAGTAATCCTAATGCTTAAATGCTGGGGTCGAGACTCGGCTCCTGGTCCCGCCAGGAATGTAGTTAGAGAAAATATGTGCATGTTAATCCTAATCTCAAGAAGATCTCTAATCTGTCTTACCATCTATGAAAAATTACATCTTTTTCAAGAGACTGGATGAACGAGGTACAATGAAATTTTCAAATAACCACTATTTTTTTCTTTACTAAATGTTTATTTTAAAATCAGTTTTCCCATTAAAATATTCATAGGTTTCTATGAGATGAGAGAAGTCAACACACTAATGCAAACAATTCTCTACATTCTTCTAATATCTCTGCCTCCTTATTTAGTCTCAAGCAACTCCCGTTACTGGTGGAGAAGTTAATTTACTCTCTATGTTGTCTATAATTATTTAGTCAGTAAACTATTCCCTATTCTCAGTAACATTTTTTGATAGGGGTAGCCTATTCTTCCATTAACTCTTCTTTTGCACTCCTTCCCTATCCCCTTAGCCTGTTTCCTCTCCGTATATTCTACATTTCTTCCATCAGTTTTACATTATCCAGTTCTTTCAAGTATTTTTCTCTTTCACTGTTATTTACACTTTATCAGTCTACCAATGATTCCTCTCCTCTCTCTCATCTACCCTAATATAACCCAAAGCCTCTGGTAAACGCTCTAATATTATATATTACAACTCTTTGACATCTTCCTCGTTGTAATAAAGTTGGTAGAATTACCGACAATATGTAAAGTAAAAGGACACAAGTGCAACTAATGTGACATTTATTGTGGCAACGTTTCGCTCTCCAGGAGCTTTATCAAGCCATTACAAACAATACACGGACGCAGAGGGTATATAAAGGCTCAGAGTGAGGTGCAATACTAGTGAGGTACTATTTAGATGTTCACTAGTGGCAGTGGTAGTAGTAGTAGTAGTAGTAGTAGTAGTAGTAGTAGTGGTAGTGACAAAAGTAATACAATATGGTAGAGCAATTAATTCGTACATGAGTAAAAGGATATAAAAGCTATTACTTGGGTAACATAAAAATAGGTTGGACAAATATATAGAGTGGAAAGAGGCAGCTTGTTTCAGTGTTCACTCTCTGTAATGTGCTTTGTGTAGTATAACAGGAGAGACTATGTGATGGCAGGGTTTACTGTTTTCAGGAGGATTCTTGCTAAGACTTCGGAGATGGTGAAGCTGCCGTTGTTTTGTTTAATTGTATTTGAAACAGCGATCAGTGCTGATTCGAGGCACTTGCGTCTGCGAAATTAGTTTCATTGATCACTAATTGGGCGTCTCTGAATTTCATGAGATGATTGGTGGAATTTCGGTGTTGTACACAGGCGTTGTTCAAGTTATCGTTCCTACATGCGTAAATGTGTTCATTGAGGCGGGTGTCGAGGTTTCTTGCTGTTTCACCTACGTAAATCTTGTCACAGCCTCCACAGGGTATAGTGTAAACTCCTGCATTGACTGGTTCGTGGTGCTTGGATTTTGTCCTGGTTAGATCCTTTATTGAAGTGCTGGAAGCGATGGCGACTCTGGTGTTAGCTTGTGAAAGTACTTTTGAGACGTTCAGTGCAACCTGGCTGTTGGGAAGAATTATAACTTTGTTGGGAGTGGTGTTGATGCGTGGAAAATTAATGATCTGAAGAGCTCTTTTCTTGCAGTCTTTGATGAAAAAAGAAGGAAAATGTAACTCAGTGAATGTTTGGTGAATATATGTACATTCCTCGTCAAGAAACTCAGGACTACAAATTCGGTATGCTCTTAGGAAAAACCCGATGATGATGCCTCCAATAAAAATGATCTCACACACTTCTATTCCAGTCAAGATACCAAGACCAAAAGAGGCATCATCATCGGGTTTTTCCTAAGAGCATACCGAATTTGTAGTCCTGAGTTTCTTGACGAGGAGTTTACCTGGAGAGTTTACCTGGAGAGAGTTCCGGGGGTCAACGCCCCCGCGGCCCGGTCTGAGACCAGGCCTCCTGGTGGATCAGAGCCTGATCAACCAGGCTGTTGCTGCTGGCTGCACGCAAACCAACGTACGAGCCACAGCCCGGCTGATCCGGAACTGACTTTAGGTGCTTGTCCAGTGCCAGCTGGACAAACATTCACTGAGTTACATTTTCCTTCTTTTTTCATCAAAGACTGCAAGAAAAGAGCTCTTCAGATCATTAATTCTCCACGCATCAACACCACTCCCAACAAAGTTATAATTCTTCCCAACAGCCAGGTTGCATTGAACGTCTCAAAAGTACTTTCACAAGCTAACACCAGAGTCGCCATCGCTTCCAGCACTTCAATAAAGGATCTAACCAGGACAAAATCCAAGCACCACGAACCAGTCAATGCAGGAGTTTACACTATACCCTGTGGAGGCTGTGACAAGATTTACGTAGGTGAAACAGCAAGAAACCTCGACACCCGCCTCAATGAACAACATTTATGCATGTAGGAACGATAACTTGAACAACGCCTGTGTACAACACCAAAATTCCACCAATCATCTCATGAAATTCAGAGACGCCCAATTAGTGATCAAAGAAACTAATTTCCACAGACGCAAGTGCCTCGAATCAGCACTGATCGCTGTTTCAAATCAATTAAACAAAACAACGGCAGCTTCACCATCTCCGAAATCTTAGCAAGAATCCTCCTGAAAACAGTAAACCCTGCCATCACATAGTCTCTCCTGTTATACTACACAAAGCACATTACAGAGAGTGAACACTGAAACAAGCTGCCTCTTTCCACTCTATATATTTGTCCAACCCTATTTTTGTGTTACCCAAGTAATAGCTTTTATACCCTTTTTTTACTCATGTACAAATTTTAATTGCTCTCTACTATATTGTATAACTTTGTCCACTACACCTACTACTACTACTACTACTACCACTAGTGAACATCTAAATGGTACCTCACTAGTATTGCACCTCACTCTGAGCCTTTATATACCCTCTGTGTCCGTGTATTGTTTATAATGGCTTGATAAAGCTCCTGGAGAGCGAAACGTTGCCACAATAAATGTCACATTAGTTGCACTTGTTTCCTTTTACTTTACATCTTCCTCGTTACATTCTCTAATCCTAGTCAACGTTTTATCCAGCGGCTGCTCAAACCTCACATTATCATTTGCTTTAATTCTTTCACTCTCACCTCTCTTTTTAACCTACTGACACTATTCTCCTTATACTGCCTTCATCTTAATTAAAATTTCACTTTCACTAAAGGGTGACAGACACACTAAGTTAATTGTTTAAATTATATGTAATTTTTAAGTAAACAAACACAGCCGTTCTGGATAAGTATGTTGCTGTCGACTGTGGCAGTCATAAAGCAATGATATTCAGTAGTTAATGAAATATTTCATTACGGCAGGTTCACAGGCGTGCACCTACCCTGGCATCATCATCTCGGGCACCATGAGCTCCGTCAAGTTCTACTACCCACTCCATGACAACATCACTTACACCTGCAGCTCCCAATTTGTGTTGCATGGTAAACGCACCATCACCTGCCTCGAAGGGGGCAAGTGGTCAGCCCCTGTCCCATCCTGTTTACCACGCCCCTGAGCACTACATCATCAAGTTTTCCCGAGTACGAAGCCCATGACCGTAGATCTTCAGATCATTTTACCTCCCAAAGCAGTAAACTGTACATTATTAGGTCCTGCTTCCCGGGACCATGAGAGACAAATCATTTGATTTTCCTGTTACCCAAGACCTTAAATTAAGATCCTCCAGTTACGCAATACATCCTCGTACCCTCTTTCTTCCAGCAATACTGAGTGGTAGATATTTATTTCCTGCCTCCCATACCTTCTACGGTAGATCCTCGTGCCCTAACTCATACAACCAAGTATGATTGATCCTCGCACTCTGCCTCTCAGTCATGAGTAGGTGATCTTTCTATTTTACCTCCCACACCCATGGATGATTGATCTGAATAACAGGTCCTCTTTTCATGCCTTTCCTACTGGAATGGTGCACTGTGAGAATAAAATAACCATGGTGGTGATAGATAGATATTCCTGCCTTTAGAAATATGTCTGAACTGTGTGTATGTATATTAGGAAAGATTTCGGTTTTGATTTGATTCCTACAGCCCAGAGCAGCATTAGCTTCCACAGTGCAGCATCACAAGGCAGCACAGACAGCATTATCTGTATTTCTATCCTCGTGTACCGTATCCAGAGAACTAATGAAGGAGCTAGTCCCAGAAGCAGCAGCAACGCGGAAGGATATCCTTGCACTTTGTAAACAGACCAGTTCTGGGACAGACCCACCGTCGATAAAATCGCCTAAACATTGCACGACAATGCCTCAGGAAAAAATCAAAGCTCGCCTTGCGGTGAAGTTACTACATGCTGGGTGAAGTTACTACATGCTGGAGGTTTCTCTTTTGATTGTTCCTAATTCCTCCTTGGTCACTCGTCTCAACCCTCAGGTCATCTGCATCTGGGGCAGTGTGCCAACTGATCAACTGGGGCCCCATGACTCATCTGCCGTACGTCAGAAGGGAAGTATACCGGATGTGAAGAGGTCCATGATATCAAACGAAGTCTAACCACTGCCCATTGGAAGTGTCCGGATGGAATCACCATGCTACCATGGAAAGCCGGTAAGCAGATAGTGACTACACCGATGTGTCTACGAAGGCTGACACCAACCAATGATACTCCGAAGTTGAAGGTGGTTGGTGCCGCTAGTTTCTGGTAGCATGGCTGACAATATGCTGCCATGGTGTAAGGAACCTATTGACCAGTGTAAGAACAAGTGTTACCATGGCGTTAAGGAACCTCGCTGACCAGTGTAAGAACAAGTGTTACCATGGTGTTAAGGAACCTCAGTGCTGCTCGCTCACTGAACCATCACAGATGTTATATTCTCATTTGACAGAAGTAAACACCAAACACAGGACGAGTGCTAGACAGAAAACATTCTTACGTACGACAGGCGCTAATGCCAAGGAATAGGGCTTGGTAATACTTCCTATCCCACCGTTAGTGGACGGAGGATCGAGCCTCCGCCACTCCATGCGCTAAATGACTCATACGAGTTTAGCGCTTCTTATAAATATTACTATTAAACTTAAGCATGTCAGCAGTGGGTGAAGTCTTAATATATGGTGAGAGTAGAGTGCACTGCCAGTACTTTCTTCCTGCCAGCTTGCTGTATATATTACGTCAATAAAGACTGATTATTGTGCTATTTGTACATAATTTATGTACAATATGTAGTACTACCTCAACGTGTTTCATGAATAATAAAGTTTATGAGAGATGAGTATTTTATTATCTTTATTCCTTTCTAAATCAAGACGAACAAGAAATCATGAGCCGTCAAAAATCCATCAACATAATTTTCCATTAAAATATTTCAATAACTGTGGGAAAAAATACAATATAATTAAATTCCTTTGCAATTTTGTGTTGGAATCAATAGTTTCCAGAGAGTCACACGTATGGTAGTAACGGTGGGTAGTTAGTTCGTGGCTACTTGGTAGTTAGATTCGTGCCTCACTTTACACCCCCATCAAGGAATTCCTTGAATTGGTGAGGGCTTTTCCTTAAGGAGCCTAGATCAGTACTCCAGTTCCCGAATTTAAGCTGAATGCTTCAGCATCCCCCCCCGGAGATCAAAGGACGCCGTAATAAAACCTCGGGTTTAGCTGCTTCGGTTACCTTGATTACCTAATAACAATTTATGACCCACTTATAACCTCAGGAATCCGAAATTCCATCCACGATACATGTTTCCCTTACAGGACGCCAGTCCCCTGCCTCAACCCACAGCAAGTTCCACTGAAGGTGTAGATGCATCCTAGGGAGAGCTTAATCCTGAATTAAAGAGGCCACATGGCAATAAGAATACAGATGATCGTTTCTGATTTAACCGGGTTATCACCAGGATTACCCAGAAAGCAATTGCGTCACGGACTCTACATATTTCATGGGTCCTCTTGGGCTTGTCCCCAAGATGGCCCAAACAGAATAACGCCATGTATTTGGCCCTACGGTGAACCTCAAGCAACTTATTAAGAAATCCTCAAATTGCCCTTATCCAGGGTCCCCAAGTCTAATCCAACAGAGACACCTCTAATGTGAACCAAGAGTAGTTTGCGTCCTCGGTCAAGAACAGACTCACATTTCCGCATATTAAAATGAGATCTGTGTCTTGTGTTATGGTCGTGTGTCCTATTAAGATTGGTGAGGAAAAGTTTGAGTGGAGGGCTAATGTCTGCGTGTATTGTTCTGTGTATGTAGTAGACACATAAATAAGTATGGATGTTCTTAATGGTGAGCAGATTTAGACTTTTGAATATTGGTGGAGTATGCTGTCAGGAGTGGGAATTTATCATTCTGACTGCTGCCTTTTGCTGGGTTATTAGTGGTCTTAGATGTTTTAATGTTGTTGATCCTCATGCACAAATTCCGTATGTGAGATAAGGGAAGATGAGTGAATGATAGTGCCAGGAGAGCTTTTTTTCTTCTTCTTATTCGCCGGTACTCTCTCGAGACCTAAGTCTGCCATGGGAGGAGGTACAAGTACCCCCTCATCTTTGGGACCAAGTGTCCCCAGGCCTAGCCACAGTCCCCGCCCTCACGGGGCTCGTAGGGAGAAGCTAGGCCTTGGTCTGCCATCTGCCCCGCCCCAAAGGGGCTCGTGGGGATGGCAGTCTTAAGAGCTGCAGGTGATAGCAAGCTCAGGCCTTCTCTCTTTTTTTCTGGCTGTCGTTGCTGTCCTGTCTGGCATTGCTTTCTGCACTGGCTTGCCTCTAAGGTTGTCATGGCCTGCCTTGCTGGCTGGCGGAACACTCCTGACTGGCAGCTCTGGCTAGCGAAGCTGGCCTGACTTTGAGCTCTGTTATTTTGTTTACAGAGCCTTTCCGGCTATCGTTGTGTCCTGTCTGGCATTGCTTTCTGCACTGGCTTGCCTCTTAGGATATCATGCCCTACCTGGCTGGCTGCAATAGCTGCCCTGGTAGGCGAACTTTCCAGTTTCGCAGCTCAGGCTAGAGAAGCTGGCCTGACTGAACGCTCTGTAATTTTGCTTACAGAAGACTAGCCTTGCCGGGATTCGAACCAGCGACCCATGCGGTGAGAGTTGCAATTCTCTTCACTTGGCCACCAGCTGATTGTGGAACATAGTATCCTATCTTTTATAGTATGCCTACAGTCTTAGAGATTTTCTTGGTTATCTGTTGCATATGTATCTGGAACTTAAGGCTACTGTCAAGGTGGATTCCTAGGAATTTTCCCTCCGTGAGTTTTGTGACGCGTGATCCGTTTAGCGTTATGTTAAGTGGAACATTTACAGCTTTGTTTCCAAATTGAACGAAGTAGGTTTTGTCAGTGTTCAGTATAAGTTTATTAGTCATCATTTAGGCATTGACTGTGTTGGCGAGATATGACTGGGTTTGGGTGAGAGAAGACTTATGTAGTGTCATCTGCAAATAATATGGGTTTGAGAAGCTGTGATGCATTCGGTAGGTCGTTGATGTAGATGAGAAAGAGCAGTGGTCCAAGGACACTTCCCTGTGGGACTCCTACTGTGATTGGTTGAGTGGAAGAGTTTGCACCATTTATGTGCACATATTGGTTTCTGTTGCTAAGGTATGACTTTAGGTAGTTGAGGGAGTGGCCTCTTATACCATAGTGTGTTAATTTAGTGTACATCATTTCATGGTCGACTGTATCAAAAACTTTACGTAAATCAATGAAAATTCCCAGCGGGACTTCTTTGTCTTCGAGAGCGGTATATATTAGTTCTAGCATGTGTATGATAGCATCATTTGTGCTTTTATTATGTGAATAAAAGTGTATATTGATAAGGATCAATGTGAGATGTTACAAAATTATGGATAGGGGTTTACATGAGTAAAATGTAGATTTACGAGATGTAGCCACTAGTAACGTAGTCAGGAAGGCAGGGATATTATTTAGTTAAAGTATTTAAAATTATGGGAGTTGGTACCTATGGTTGTTAATATAGTTTGTGGTTTAGAATAGTGAATGCTTTTGTTTTGGACAGTAAGTGTTGTGGGTAAAAGGGTGAATGATAAGTGATAGGACACATGTGCAATCTGGTACTTATGGAGAAACGTAGTTACTGCACAGCATGAGAATTTATATACGAGGAAGGAGGCTCGGTAAGAAGAGGAAGAGGGAGATCATTTCCCTCAATCTTAGAGTGATGTAGTCACCATTTGTTAATATGAATAACGGCTATGTAGGAAGGAATGTCAGAGGAGCAGAGAGTGTGAGGGTTTAAAGATAAGATAATAGACACATGTGCAACTCTTGGGTATCTTTATTGAGGAAACGTTTCGCCACACAGTGGCTTCATCAATCCATACAAAGGAGAATCGTGAAGAACAGGAGGAGAATGAGGTAATCAGTCCCTCAATCTTGAGTCGATGTAGTCAGTCCATCAATCTTGAATAGAATACGGCATATGTGCGGAGAAGTAGCAGGAGGCAGGAGAGGTGCAGCAGTCGTAGGTGGTGTTACGGTACATAAGCCACTTCTCTGCTCATATGCTGTATTCTATTCAAGATTGATGGACTGACCACATCGACTCAAGGTTGAGGGACTGATTACCTCATTCTCCTCCTGTTCTTCAAGATTCTCCTTTGTATGGACTGATGAAGCCACTGTGTGGCGAGACGTTTCCTCAATAAAGATACCCAAGAGTTGCACATGTGTCTAATTTATCAACATGTCGGTTATCTGAACCATTCACCTACAAAAGATAAAGAATCTAACACAAAGTGGGAGTTGTCACAGTTGCTCTTTAGCTGATGACACTGTGCTTTTGGGAGATTCTGAAGAGAAGTTGCAGAGGTTGATGGATGAATTTGGTAGGGTATGTAAAAGAAGAAAATTAAAAGTGAATACAGGAAAGAGTAAGGTGATGAGGATAATAAAAAAAATAGGGGATGAAACATTTTGGATTTATAAAAACTGTACGGGCGAGAGTCTATGAAGGAGTGCACTGTATTCATATTTATCACATCGGTTCGCATGGCACTGAAAGCACCTAAAAAGTCGAGTTGTACAGTAGCCTAGCTGATGGCACTGTGCGTTTTGGTTTGCAGTGCAGAGTGATGCAACAGCCTGGTATGATAGGCAATCTGTGATACAGAAGGAAGGCTGGGTTAGGAAACAGGGCCGCGGGGGGTTGAGGAGACACTCATCAGGTAAACCAGGTACTGCCAAGGTCTATGAAAGATGAGGTGAATCATAGAATTGATGAGGGGAAAAGGGTGAGTTGTGCACTGAGGAGTCTGTGGAGACAAAGAACTTTGTCCATGGAAGCAAACTTTGTCCATGGAAGCAACACTTTTATGTGGGTGTGAAGCATGGGTGGTGAATGTTGCAACAAGGAGAAGGCTGGAGGCAGTGGAGATGTCATGTCTGAGGGCAATGTGTGGTGTGAATATAATGCAGAGAATTCGTAGTTGGGAAATTAGGAGGAGATACAGGATTACCCAAACTATTATTCAGAGGGCTGAGAAGGGTTTGTTGAAGTGGTTTGGACATGTAGAGAGGATGGGACAAAGTAGAATGATTTCGAGAGTGTATAAATCTGCACACAAACACACACACACTCATAGAGTAGGCAGTAAGTGGAATAGCCAAGCAAGTGAGGTAGTGGAGGCAGGAAACATACGTAGCTTTAAGATGAGGTATGATAAAGCTCATGGAGCAGGGAGAGAGAGGACCTAGTAGCACTCAGTGAAGAGGCGGGGCCAGGAGCTGAGTCTCGCCCCCTGCAACCACAATTAGGTGAATACAACTAGGTGAGTACACACACACACACACACACACACACACACACACACACACGTAGTAATGCTTTATTGATAGTGAACAAAGTCAGGGTATTTCTCCAGAATGTTTTGTAATATACCTCTGTGGATAAAATACTTTGACATATCTTGAACATTTCTGAGTGAGTTATCTCTGAATTCATTAATTTTATCGCACTCCAGTACATAATGACGCAGGGTGTGACAATAGTCCATCTGGCAAAGTTTACATTTCGTTTGGTCTACATCTGGTGATGGTGATTTTAACCTACCAAAGATACTTGTAACCCAGCAGGAGCCGGGCAGTTGTGACATCCAAGAGTCTGCTTATTTTGTTGGCTCCTCCTGCATGATAGAATGATGATAAGATGGACTGACTGGCGTCAGTCTCCCTGACTCTTAAATCAATAAAATTCAACTGCAGTTCTTTTCGTATTATTATTATCAAACTGCTAACTAACTCTTTGAAAGCATACAACTTAGCCAATCCATCAGTTCTATCATGCATCTGAAGACCAATGTGAGATGGAATCCACAGCATGTGCACTCTGACTCCACTGTCCATAATCTTACCATACCTGTGTCTGGCTTCTGACACAAGCATGCCACAATTTATATTTAATGAGTTGAGAGCATTTATGGATGCCAGAGAATCAGTTACAATTAAAGTGTCAACCTTAGATACATAGACGCATTTGAGTGCAAGGAGTATGGCAAACAGTTCTGTTTGAAGGGTAGAGGCCCAGTTATTGATGCGTGCTCCAATTTATTTAATGGAGCCATCACTGTATGACAACAGCAACACTACCAGCTGCACCAGTAGATTGGTGAACAGAACCATCAACGTAAATAATTTGTGAGAGAGTGTGCTGTGTGACTAAGTTATCAATACAGCTTAAGGCATCATGTTTGGCTTCAAGGCGAAGCTTTGTTTGTGATTTAAGAAGTAGTTTCGGAGGAAATGGAGGGATGGTAGTTTGGAATGGGGTAATATTCCATGGACCAGAGAAGTGCCGCTGTTGCCTTGCTTGATATAGATCATGTATCTGGTTCATGCGGAGGTCGGTTCCAGCTTTTTCGATCCATCTCAAGGGGTGTTCACCAGTGCTGAGGAAAATTTGGAGGGCTTCTGTGCATGGGTTTGAATGAGCTTGCCTGAGCATATTGGCTCCAATTATTATATTTTTTTTTCAGTAACACGATCTCTGATGCTTGGAATATCAAGTGTTTTCCGCATATTTAAAATTTTGGCAGTACGAGGGTATCCTAGTATGATCCTCATTGCTTCGTTTTGCAGTTTTTCCAGCCCTCCAAGCTTCCAGTCAGACACAAGAGCAAGTAGTGGTGCAGCATAATCAACCAACGATCTAATATAAGCAAGATACATCATTTTCACAATTTTAACATTAGCACCATACCTAGGGTGAAAACCTGCCACAATTCTAAGTGTTTTCAGCCTGTCTTTGTATTGGCGACAGTCTCGTAACAACAGTTCTAAGTAGCGGGACCTCGAAGCCTAGATACCTTTATCTGGTTACATATTCTAGAAGAGACCCATCATGCAACTGGATCTGGCGAACTGTGCCTCTCTGTCGAAGAGGACGCCTATTGAGTATCTTTGTTTTATCAGTAGAGATTATCAATCCAAGGTTCTGATACAAGGCTAGTACATGGTTAAGAATGTTGTGGGTGTTGGAGAATCCGGTGGTGCGGATCATTATATCATCAGCAAAACTAATCATATAATGATGGGGCTTACTAGACATAGCATTAATAAGGCATTAATTAGAATATTGAATAGGGAGGGACTGAGCACACCTCCCTGTGGGGTTCCTAATTCAAAGTCTTTAGTTACACTTCTATGTCCCTGGAACAACACAGACGACTTTCTGTTGGACAGGTAACCTTTAAAATCCAGCGGAGAAGCCATCCTCCAACATCCATTCTGGCAAGTTCACTAATGATTACATGTCGGTTGGCTACATCGAAAGCAGATTTAAGGTCAAGGAAGGTAGTGTTTGAGCTGTCAGTGTGCAGAGTGAGAAAGGTGGTAATGCAATGATGCACGCTCCTTCCATGCATTAAACCATGCAAGCGGGGAAGCAAAAATTGTTTGATTCTGTGCATGAGACGATTAAGAATCATCCTCAAATGTTTTACACAAGCAGCTAGTAAGAGATATTGGGCGAAATGCATTTTGTTGATTGGGCTTAGGAATTGTAATGATGAGGCTGTTGGTCCAAGATTTAGGGAGCTCCCCAGTTACATACCTAATGTTATATAATTCAAGTAAAGGATTACATGGTACTCGACATAGCAATCTGAGTATGTTGCAATGTCATTTTTCCCAGGCGACGTGGAGTTGCCCTTAGTGGTGCATCAAGTTCAAAGTTAGTGGAAGGAATGTTACAGTCATCTTCCTTGCTGAGCATAAAACAAATCAGTCTCTCCCTTGCATCATCATATTTGTCCATTAATTTCACTTGTATTTTACTGGGAAGACTGTCATAGCTAGATGTAGCAGCCCAAGCAATGACTCTTTCGCCTTATGTAAAGGATGAGAGTGCGCGATCTGACCAGCTCTGGTGCCCTTATTTATATTTATGTCCCTCCATGCCCGGCTAAGTGGGGTATGAGCAACCTGGAGTTTACCTGGAGAGAGTTCCGGGGGTCAACGCCCCCGCGGCCCGGTCTGTGACCAGGCCTCCTGGTGGATCAGAGCCTGATCAACCAGGCTGTTGCTGCTGGGTGCACGCAAACCAACGTACGAGCCACAGCCCGGCTGATCAGGAACTGACTTTAGGTGCTTGTCCAGTGCCAGCTTGAAGACTGCCAGGGGTCTGTTGGTAATCCCCCTTATGTGTGCTGGGAGGCAGTTGAACAGTCTCGGGCCCCTGACACTTATTGTATGGTCTCTTAACGTGCTAGTGACACCCCTGCTTTTCATTGGGGGGATGGTGCATCGTCTGCCAAGTCTTTTGCTTTCGTAGTGAGTGATTTTCGTGTGCAAGTTCGGTACTAGTCCCTCTAGGATTTTCCAGGTGTATATAATCATGTTCTCCCGCCTGCGTTCCAGGGAATACAGGTTTAGGAACCTTAAGCGCTCCCAGTAATTGAGGTGTTTTATCTCCGTTATGCGCGCCGTGAAGGTTCTCTGTACAATGAGACCATTGACAAATTGTTCCCAGTGTGTTTGCCACAGTTCTGTCATACGCTCTCTGGCAGCAGCATGGGCAGTTTGGAAGAGCTCAGCATTCTCGGGGACGATGGTTTCTAAGCTTGGCCTAGTCTGCGCAGACTTTTCATGTTCGAAGTTTAGATCATTGTAATGAATATGGTTTTTATAGGAAGGTTGATATTATGGAAGATTTTGGGTTGGGCTTTCTATACAGTGTATGTTATTGATGTCGCTAGGTCTGTATACCTTGTACATGTATGTTAACAAAAGGTTTATTATATTATTATTATTATTATTATTTTAATTATGTATTTATTATTATTATTATTATTTTTTTTTTTTTTTTTTTTATTATATAAAGAATCCCATGGAAATAAGTCATCTGACTTTTTTTTGGTTAGTTATCCAGGTTCTCTACACACATGCTGTTTTGTAAGATAATCTATGTAACAGTATTTGTGTATACCTGAATAACTTACTTAATACTTTTACTCACTTACTTGTAGTACTTTACTTACTTTTACTTACTTACTTACTTACTAACTTATTTACATACTTACTTTACTTACTTAATTACATACTTTACTTACTTATTACTTACTTATTACATTTTATTTTATTGTAGATAGTCGTAATGACCCATCGGATAGTAGATAGTCTTTTTAGTATGATAATAAGATTTATCTTCATTATAGAATAATAAGAAAATATTATAACTTTATTTATAATAATAGGTAAAGACCCCAATGAAATAAGTCACTCTGTCTGACTTTTTTGGCTATCTAGGTTCTCTACACATATGCTGCTATTATGATAATTCTATGTAACTGTATTGTGTATACCTGAATAAATTTACTTACTTACTTACTTACTTACTTACTTATTTACTTACTTACTTTACTTACTTTACTTACATACTTACATTACTTAGTTTACTTAAGGAGAGAAGGCGGCGACTAAGGTAGCAACTCGACCCGCCCTTAACAACCACAATAACAACATTGTGCGGGAAAGGCAAATTATGTGTTCAACTTTTCTTTGTTCTGAGTTTTTTTATATATTTCATTTGGGTAATGAGTAAGTTTTATTCAGGTTCTTTACACAGTTATAGATTCTTGTAGTTGTGTTGTATAGTAACTTGTTATGTTTTAAGTGTTATATGTGTAATATGTAGGTTTTGTAGTGAAGCAACGTTTCGCCTGATAAATTAGACACGTGCAATGTTTCGCCTGCGTGGCAGGCTTCTTCAGTCAGATAAAGGCACTTTGTAACACATGAAACAGTAGAAAACGTAGCTAAGTAATATAAATGAATGTTATAAAGTACTCCAGAAAAATGATGAATTAGACAGGTGTGTAATATCTTTAATTTGTAGACTGAATTACCTGGAGTTTACCTGGAGAGAGTTCCGGGGGTCAACGCCCCCGCGGCCCGGTCTGTGACCAGGCCTCCTGGTGGATCAGAGCCTGATCAACCAGGCTGTTGCTGCTGGCTGCACGCAAACCAACGTACGAGCCACAGCCCGGCTGGTCAGGAACCGACTTTAGGTGCTTGTCCAGTGCCAACGAGAATTTTATAATAATAATAATGCCACCAGTGTCACATCACCTGTCACACCAGGACATACTTATTAAAAAATGTTTCGGTCCTGGGACCTTGATCAAGCTCTCAGGCCTGAAATACTTTTTTTGATAAATATGTCCTCGTGTTTAACGACCCCAATGGAAATAAGTCGCTTTGACCTTTTTTTTAGGGGGGGGTTATCACAGGTTCTCTACACATCTGCTGATATGTATGATAATCTATGTAACTGTATTTGTGTATACCTGAATAAACTTACTTACACAAGTCTTTTTAAACCAGTTTGTGGGTGTCAGTTACCAAAGTCACTTCAAAAAAGGTTCCTTCATGCTGGTGAAGGCTTTTCATCCAAGGAATTAGACTTGTCCTCAAATTCCTTGAATTGAGTCTGAATACTTTCTATTCCCTGGGTGTTATATGACTTCCCCATCAATGTAGTAATAATAATATCACTTATATCTTACAAGAAGCCTGCCGTGCAGGCGATAGGTTTTTCCACTGAAGATATCTAAGTGTCTTACCCATTGTACCTAATATGTATATTAACGTAAGATAACCCAGTGAAGTCAAAATAATGTAACTTATTTCCATAATATACATACGTATTTTTAAAATGGTCATGAGAGCACACAGATGATATTAATACTCTTAAATGTATTATGTAGATTTAGCCTAGAGCCCAGTAGATTAATACAATATGACATATGTACTTTCATTCTGATGGCATGTGTATGTCCTGTGCTTTCTTGGTAGCGCACTCGCCTCACCCACCGAGTATTAGTGGTTCAACCCACGCACAGGTGGAAATGTTGGGCATGTTACCTTACACCTGCTGTCCCTGTTCACCTAGCAGTAAGTAGGTATCTGGGTGTTAGTCGACTGTTGTGGTTCGCAGCTTGAGGGATAAGATTAAAGGACCCCAGTAAGACGTCTATCTTACTGGGGTCTGGGATCTTGATGACTCGTTGACTTTCTGGGGTTACCCTAGGCAGCTAACCCTCCTGGTTAAAAATCTGAACAAATCTTATCTTAATACATACAGAGGAGCTTGCATTTACTTCTCTTAAAACCCCATATATAAATATGTATACTGTTTGTTAAACAACCTTGGTGCTATCATGTATCCCTGTCTATGGCTTACCTTTATTGGAAAATAATCTTTCTCCTACATACCCTAACCTGAGCCTCGCTATTCTCATAAAAACTTTTGATAAATGACTCACTCGTACAACATTTGGGTATCTTTTTTTTATGAAAACGTTTTGAAACAGTGGCTTTTTCAGTCCAGTGCAGGGAAGAGTGGAAGACGAGGAGTTTGAGGTGATCAGTCCCTCAGCTTGAAGTTAATAACAATATCTTTATTTCTACAAGTACATGTACAAGGTATACAGACCATAGCTGACATCAGTAACATACTACTATATAGAACGCTGCTTGTTATGCCGAGCATTTCCTGCAAATTAGGTAAATTTTGTTCCCAGGATGCGACCCACACCAGTCCACTAACACCCAGGTACCTATTTTACTGATAGGTGAACATGGATAGTAGGTACAGCTAGAAACATTATGACATTTCCTTAAGACACCTGCTGTCCATGTTCACCTATCAGTAAAATAGGTACCTGGGTGTTAGTCGACTGGTGTGGGTTGCATCCTGGGATAAAATTTACCTAATTTGCCCGAAATGCTCAGCACAACAAGGGGCTTTCAACACAGTAGAATGTCAGTGATGTCAGCTATGGTCTGTATACCTCATACATGTACTTGTAGAAATAAAGATACGTATTATTATTTTTTTTTTTCAACAAACCAGCTGTATCCCACCAAGGCAGGGTGGCCCAAAAAGAAAAACGAAAGTTTCTCTTTTTAAATTTAGTAATTTATACGGGAGAAGGGGTTACTAGTCCCTTGCTCCCGGCATTTTAGTTGCCTCTTACAACACGCATGGCTTACGGAGGAAGAATTCTGTTCCACTTCCCCATGGAGATAAGAGGAAATAAACAACAACAAGAACTAGAAAGAAAATAGACGAAAACCCAGAGGGATGTGCATATATACATATATATGCTTGTACATGCATGTGTAGTGTAACCTAAGTGTAAGTAGAAGTAGCAAGACGTACCTGAAATCTTGCATGTTTATGAGACAGAAAAAAGGACACCAGCAATCCTTCCATCATGTAAAACAATTACAGGCTTTCGTTTACACTCACTTGGCAGGACGGTAGTACCTCCCTGGGTGGTTGCTGTCTACCAACCTACTACCTAGAATTATTATTATTATTATTATTATTATTATTATTATTAACTCCAGGCTTAGGGACTGATTACCTCAAACTCCTCCTCATCTTCCACCTTTCTCTACATTGGACTGGAGAAGCCACTGTATGGTGAAAGGCTTTCAGAATAAAGATACCCAAATGTTGCACAAGTGTCTTATTTATTATCTTGTTGGTTTTGTAAACTGTTTATTCACAAAAAATTTTTAACTGCTTTAAGTAACCTACCACCTGTTCCATACACTTGCAACATCTGTCACTTTGCTTCTCTATCGACTCTGTCATTTGCCTTTTCTCAATCCATAAATGCAACAAAAACTTCTCTACCTTTATCTGACTTTTAACTTAAATGTATTATTTAATGTTCAAAAAATAGACATATATCTAAATAGGATGCACAACATAAAGACCTCTGCGGAAATGGTGTAAATACTTATTAGAGATTGTAAGGATATCCTCTTTAGACTGTCATCATAACATGATCCATGTGGATTCCAAGCCTCAGAGACTTCAGACTTGCTTGTCTGGGATACTGCACTTGAAACTTTCTAATTACCAGTACCTAAAGTACTCTGAAACACTATAGCAGTGTATCCTCATCTGTAGAGTACCTTATAGGAATGGGGTGAGGTGTATGGGCAAGTCTCTTAACACCTGCCCAGTTTCACTACCAGTAAATAGATACAATCAGTACCTAGCAGTTGGTTGACTGTTATGGGTCAGATTCTGGAAAAGGACCTGAAAGTGGCTCTTATGAAATAAGCCACACTGTGATTACCTTTCTTATATATTATCCTGGGTTATTAATTTTTTGTGGTTACTAATGTGAGTAAAAGTTTTGCTTATCCTGTGAGAGAACAAGGACAAAAACAAAAATATAGCACTTTAGTTTTCATGAATTATTCTGAGAAACAGTATTAATCTTTTGATGATGATAATCTGAATAGTCTTCATCATCCACCCTGGTTTTGTTAGTGCCATCACCTAAACTAGTATTGATCTAGATACATTATATAGTAAACTGGGACAACTGTATCTAGTTCTGATGGGTAAACTATGTATTGTGCTCCACAATTAGTTATCTCATATACCTTATTTCTCCACAATTTTCTTGATACAGTATATTTGATTGTAACTTGCGATTATCTCCCTTTCTCTAGAAACACACTTTCTCCATTTACTATTTCGGCTTAACACTGATGTATAACTCGGTCACGATTTTTTATTACTGTATTCGGATAAGAATTTTATATTCTGTTTTATTTCTTGTTACAGCCGTGATTAGAGTGGAGACTGATAAAGCACAGAATACGAGAAGTTTTTAGGACATTATTTGAGGATGACTTTGCATGCTCTCCCTCAAGATACAGTTCGGCTCATTAAAAGTACACAGGTTATCACTACACCAGCTTCTATTGTTAAGGAACTTGTGGAGAATTCATTTGATGCAGAATCTACAACAGTTTCCATTAAAGTGGTAGGTAAAGCAACTATGCAGAAGTTATCAAAACCTTTGATGATAATGCAGGAAAAAATCTCAATTCGGTGGATTCCAGATTTAACAGGTAAAATCTGTTGCCTGAGCAAATCTTGGAGACAACAGCCCAAGTCCACTGATTTAATGAATGAAGTTTGTTTTTTCCTGAATTGTCCAGTGTTATGGTTTTCTGGGCAAAATGATTGTTTTTATCATGAAAACACACTCTTGTGTATAATTTTTGGGAATATACATTACTGTATTATATTATTATTATTATTATTATTATTATTATTATTATTATTATTATTACAGTATGTATGTAAAAGTATATTTATAGTGAGTTGTTTATGTTGCAGGAAAACCATGGATTTTCTCGTCTTGAAGTCCGAGACAATGGAACTGGTGTTCATGAAGATGATGTCAAGTTCATTGCTAAGCCACATTATACTTCTAAAATTTCATCCTTTTCTGACTTGGGTACAGTTTAAGTTCATTAAGTTTTAATTTTAACAAGCAGTTACATGTTGTACTATGTTATTCTGTAATTTCTCTGATTATTGATGTATATTATTCCTTGTAGATATAGGAAGAGCTTTGGTAGTATAATTTTTGCAGATGCAACATACATATGTAGGGTTTTAAACCCTCATTTGAAGTACAGTAAGCTCTCTTATAAAGCTTCTCTGTACAGTGCAAGTTTTCATAAATGTGACTAAGTATATTCAAAGCTGAATAGTGCATGGGAAGGCCTTCGGTGTACATGCCATTCAATTTTTTTTATGCACTTTTTCAACTACATGTACAAAAAATTGCTATATATAGAGGAGGTTTTAAAGAGAGCTGACCATGTACATGCTTATTATATTCATGGGGAAGCACTAAGACCCACGTGGGTCATACAGCATCTAGGGAATGGGAGCAGTGGAGGGTAACAGGGTTTAATTTAAGAAAGGGGAGGGTAGCTCCAATTTCTTAGATTAAGTGCCATTCATTAGCATCAAATTGAAGTTGCCAGAAAGCCCATTTAACCCTTAATTATGGCATACCCAGAAATTAACCCTTTCGGGGTGTCAGCCGTACTAGTACGGCTTACGTGCCAGGGATTTTGACGTACTAGTATGCATAAATTCTAGTGCCCTCAAATCTAGCAAGAGAAAGCTGGTAGGCCTACATATGAAGGAATGGTTCTATGTGGTCAGTGTGCGCAGTATAAAAAAAATCCTGCAGCACACAGTGCGTAATGAGAAAAAAAAAAACTTTGACCGAGTTTTTGGTTTAAAACAGCGACTTTGCAGTGTATTTTCGTATAGTATTTATTGTTGTATTCTAGTTTTCCTGGTCTCATTGTATAGAATGGAAGACATATTACAGAAATTGAGATGATTTTGACTGGTTTTACAATGAAAAGTACATGTACCTTGAAATTGAGCTCAAAGTAGCAGAAATGTTCGATTTTTACCGAAGTTCAAAAGTAAACAAATCATGCCAAGCGTCCAATACGTGTCAACTGGCGAGTCTAATACTCTTTCACAAGTGCGCCGATATTATTTATACCACTTCTACACTAATGCAGTAGTCCGCACAACAGTAAATCTTATTATTTTTGTGAGAATAAAAAATCAAAGTGGAAAGCAAAAGAAATGTAAGAGGGGCCTGGGGACATCACTGATGAACAGAGGAAATGTTATTTTAGGGCCAGGAATGTTTTTCTTGTTTATTCTGGTCACTATTTGGAAACTGGCATCTTTTGAAATTGTGTGAAATTGGCAAAATTGCTAAATTCTGACCACTTTGTTGGATAGTTGAAATTGGTAAATGGGTGGTTTCTTGTACTCATTTGATAGAAAAACAGAGTTCTAGCAAAATAGTTATGATTTTTTTGACTAGTACACTGGAATTGGCCGAAAATAGGGCTCAAAGTGGGCAAAATCACCGATGCGTAAACATTGTCAAGACCGCTAACTTCGTGAAAGCATAATTCCGTAAGTTTTCCATCAAATTTCATACTTTTGGTGTCATTATGATCGGGAAATGATTCTCTGTCTTTTCATAATTTTTTTTTTTTTTAAATTTTGGCAACCCAGAGAACAAGTCTCTGAGAGGGCCTGGTGACCCTCAAAGGGTTAAATTTCTTGTGAGTGTAAGGCAGAATTTTGTAAATACAAATTTCTTTTATTTTACAGCTTAAAAGAATCTATTCTTCCAAGTAGAATAAAACAACAAGGAAAAAAAGTGGATAAAACTTATGATTTTTAAGGTTTGTTGAAGTTGGCAACAGTGGCATAAATGCACCAACAATTTATTGATGTTAGATTATGATTGTTGTCATATTTTTATTGTGTAACACTATACAGCCTCTCCTCTCTTAATGACGTACTCATTTACCAACGACTCAGACTTGCGATGAGCTCTCTAACCAGTATGCATCCCTAAATAATGTATATTAGAGCTGATTTCCTCTATTCTGTTTATTGCAATATATTTATTTATTTATTTATTATTATTTGAACATGATACATAGTTGTACAAAAGAAATACAGTGGTTTAGTGTACATGCCAAAAGCCCCTTGTATGCCGAGCATTATGGGCAGCTTAAAACTAACTTAAGATTAACTAAGCAATAATATATTCAGTGGTAAAAATACAGTGAACACTACTGTATAAACATTTAAAAATATACTAAAAAATGTTATAAATGGTGCAAAGATGACATTAAAACAATATCAAAAGTGTTTGACACAAACCCACTACCATTATAGCATGCTCCTTGCTTAGTGATGAATTCGTTTACCGACTTGGTCTTAGGAACGGAACTCTGTCGTTTAGTGAGGAGAGGAGAGGCTGTATATACTAGTTCCTTATGATATAAGTTGTGTTCAAGGCATTTTAGTATTTCAGGCATGGGGAAATGCCAAGACTGACATTGCTCCACTTAGAATATACTGTACATTATAAACTGGTGCAAATACTGTAATTGTTTTTCTTAAAGGTGTTTAACTATACATATTGTGTTATCCTAAGTTAATTATGTATTATGATGTTATATTTAGGTTCAAGGGCATATCTTGGGTTCTATAAATATTTTTTTATTTTATTTTTTTTTATTATCACACTGGCCGATTCCCACCAAGGCAGGGTGGCCTTGGTGGGAATTCTATAAATATAATATATTTTCCATGTATCAAGATCATTGTAAAGGCATATATTTACAGTACAAGGAAATCTGTAAATACAATTGTTGCAAATGTAATTTCTTATCAAAATATGCAAGTAAGTCACATAGTTGTACTATATTGGGTTATCCTAGGCTAAATCTATATGGTGTGCTTTTTGGCTGAATGCCACGAACAGTAGAGTATCATGAAATTGTAATCAATTTGGAATATATAAGACATCTTCCTGGCAGTGACACACCCCATCCCCAATCACATGGAATGACTTGTACATATGAATTGTGGAATGTGTAAAATTGATTTTGAATAGTTTATTTTATTATGATTACAGTATACATAATATGAGAGTAAATCAGTCATGACACCATAAAGTTGACAATGATGGTGTAAAGTTGATGATGTTATAATCAGAATATATTTAAAGCTCTGTATAACCAAATGGTTCTAGTGCTTTATAAATAAAGGAAAATAAAACAAGCCAAAACAGTAGCTCATTTTTCCAACAAGACATACAGCATATATCATTAGCACCTGCAATAAAATCAACATTGGAGTTGCTTGCAATACACTTCTAGTAGAGCAATCACTCACCTGCTAAAAAGCAGCACTAGCAAACAAGATCATCACCAAATCCCGAGTATGCACAAAACCTTTCAACAATTCCACCAAAATACAGTAATTCATCTAGAATCTTTGATGTAAATTTTTTTAGCTTGAATGAAAGTTCATGTTGCATTAACAATATGAGAAATGCTGAGCTGGAAGGATGCTAAACTCATCATGGAATATATGTTAGATGTATGTATATAGATGCTGCTGTCACTGAGCACTGCAGCACCAATAAATGCAATCAAAGAAACTTAAGAAACATTGCCACTTGCTGCACTTGTTAGGTATGGTAGTTAAACTGTGAAATAGGCAAGACCTTTGTCATCCCTTACAAGTTCCTTCTCTCTCTGACTTTAACTTAACTTTAACTTTCCCCTTTATGTACAATTAATCTTGTGTTTCTCTAGCATTAATACAGTATGCTAATGTGCAAATAAATTATGACAAAATTAATGTGCCAAAATCAGCAGTGATATTGTTGACATTTGAAATTAAGGTTTGAAGGAAGAGTAAAATTTCTGGTGATGAATTTTCAAGTCTATTTAAACTTATAGCTAAAAATATGACCAATGTTTCCAGTGTTAATAAATATGTCAGCATTTGTCATAACTGAAGTAGGCAACATATCTCTAATTCAGATGCCTTACAAAATTGAGAACTTGTAAATCTTGTACAATGTAATGTACTCACATAAGATTCCTCATTGTTTTGCAGCATGTTTAACTACTTATGGGTTCCGGGGTGAGGCATTAGCATCACTGTGTACTGTAGCAGAAGTTATTATAACAACCAAAACCAAGGAGAGTCCAATGGGCCATATGTATTTATTTGACAATGAAGGAAATGTAAAGGAAAAGAAGCCTGCAGCCACACCCAATGGTGAGTAAATGAGAAACACTTCTTACTAGATTTATTTTAAACATTCTTGTACAATGAATTGCTGTATGTAGATTTGTAATTAAAAACAAAATATTTTTATTTTTTTTATTTTATTAACACATCGGCCAATTCCCACTAAGGCAGGGTGGCCCAAAAAAGAAAAACTTTCATCATCATTCATTCCATCACTGTCTTGCCAGAGGGGTGCTTTACACTACAGTTATAAAACTGCAATATTAACACCCCTACTTCAGAGTGTAGACACTGCACTTCCCATCTCCAGGACTCAAGTACAGCCTGCCATTTTCCCTCTCCTATTTTTAACTGTCAAATCCATTTGTTTCCTAGGCTTCCTCAACTTATTAATCTCACTCCAAAACTTTTTCTTATTTTCAACAAAATTTTTTGATAACATCTCACCCACTCTCTCATTTGCTCTCTTTTTACAGTGCTTCACCACTCTCTTAACCTCTCTTTTTCTCTCCATATACTCTTCCTTCCTTGCATCACTTCTACTTTGTAAAAATCTCTCATATGCTAACTTTTTCTCCCTTACTACCCTCTTTACACCATCATTCCACCAATCGCTCGTCTTCCCTCCCGCACCCACTTTCCTGTAACCACAAACTTCTGCTGAACACTCTAACACTACATTCTTAACCTACCCCATACATCATCGACCCCATTGCCTATACTCTCACTAGCCCATCTATCCTCCAGTAGTGATTTATATCTTACCCTAACTGCCTCCTCTTTTAGTTTATGCACCTTCATCTCTCTCTTATTTGCTGCTTCTATTTTCCTTGTATCCCATTTACCTTTTATTCTCACTGTAGCTACAACTAGAAAGTGATCTGATATATCTATGGCCCCTCTGTAAATATGTACATCATGAAGTCTACTCAACAGTCTTTTATCTACCAATACATAGTCCAACAAATTACTGTCATTATGCCCTACATCATATCTTGTATACTTATTTATCCTCTTTTTCTTAAAATACGTATTACCTATAACTAAACCCCTTTCTATACAAAGTTCAATCAAAGGGCTCCCATTATCATTTACACCTGGCACCCCAAACTTACCTACCACCACACCCTCTCAAAATGTTTCTCCTACTTTAGCATTTAGGTCCCCTACCACAATTACTCTCTCACTTGGTTCAAAGGTTCCTATACATTCCCTTAACACCTCCCAAAATCTCTCTATTTGTCATTGTTTATTGCAGCCTGCACGTGGAATGGTGTATACAAACCATGTCATTACCAGACCTGGATATGTAGTACCAGAAAGCAGCAGTACTTGTGTGTCTGTACCATTTTATGTGCACAAGCTGTTAGTACAGTGGGAAAGTTCTGACACAAGCTGTTAGTACAATGGGAGAGATCTGGTACAAGCTGTTGTTAATACAGTAGGAGAGTTCTGGCACAAGCCATTGTTGGTACAGTGAGAGAGTTTTTGGCACAAGCTGTTGTTGGTACAGTGGAAGAGTTCTGGCACAAGTCGTTGTTAGTACATTGGAAAAGTTCTGGCACAAGCTATTGTTGGTACAGTGAGAAAGTTCTGGCATGAGCTGTTGGTACAGTGCAAGAGTTCTGGCACAAGCTGTTGTTAGTACAGGGGGAGAGTTCTGTCATAAGCTGTTGGTACAGTGGGAGAGTTCTGGCACAAGTTGTTGTTGGTACAGTGGGAGAGTTCTGGCACAAGCTGTTGTTGGTACAGTGGAAGAGGTCTGGCACAAGCTGTTGGTACAGTGGGAGAGTTCTGGTACAAGCTGTTGGTACAGTGGGAGGGTTCTGGCACAAGCTGTTGGGGCTGTGATAAGCAATACATAGGGGAAACATCAAGGAACTCAGATGCCAAAATTCAGGAATTCCAGTACCCTTGTAAGATTTGTAACATAAACAGTGCATGCATTATTCATTAGGACAAGCCTGCACACCTTATGATGTGGAAAGATGACAAGGAACTGAACAAATTGAGACAATGGTGCCTGAAATTAGTGATCACCAGCACACCAAGCACAACTGTACAGAATCTGGGTGCTTTCAGCAAATCAAAAACCCTTGACACACATCGTCTTATATGGAAAATACTTGTCTCATAAGCAAATAGTTCGAACCTAAATAATGGAATAGTAGGTTGACTGCAGTGTTCCTCTATCTGCATCATCAGCACCAAACATACATTTCTTTATTGGTCTTACCTTACTCTCCATGATTATAAAGTCAGGTTGTTCTTCAACTCTATACATCCTTGGTTAGGCCTCATTTAGATTATGCTGCACAGTTTTGGTCACCGTATTACAGGATGGATATAAATTCTCTGGAAAATGTACAAAGGAGGATGACAAAGTTGATCCCATGTATCAGAAACCTTCCCCATGAGGATAGACTAAGGGCCCTGAATCTGCACTCTCTAGAAAGACGTAGAATTAGGGGGGATATGATTGAGGTGTATAAATGGAAGACAGGAATAAATAAAGGGGATGTAAATAGTGTGCTGAAAATATCTAGCCTAGACAGGACTCGCAGCAATGGTTTTAAGTTGGAAAAATTCAGATTCAGGAAGGATATAGGAAAGTACTGGTTTGGTAATAGAGTTGTGGATGAGTGGAACAAACTCCCGAGTACAGTTATAGAGGCACAACGTTGTGTAGCTTTAAAAATAGGTTGGATAAATACATGAGTGGATGTGGGTGGGTGTGAGTTGGACCTGATAGCTTGTGCTACCAGGTCGGTTGCCGTGTTCCTCCCTTAAGTCAATGTGACCTGACCTGACAAGGTTGGGTGCATTGGCTTAAGCCGGTAGGAGACTTGGACCTGCCTCGCATGGGCCAGTAGGCCTTCTGCAGTGTTTCCTTCGTTCTTATGTTCTTATGTTCTTAAAATGTAGCTGCTCACTTGTTGAAGCTCAGCCCTGGGCAAAACATAGACCCAATAAAAACTTGTTTTATGTATTGTGTCCTTATACAGGAGGGCCCCCCACTTATGTGGCAGGTTAGGTTCTGGGCTACCGCTGTAAAGCGAAAATCACTGTAAAGTGAATCATAGCCTTTTTTTCACTTTCAAATGTATATAAAAGCCTGATAACATGTTTACACCATCATATATTAAGTAAGCAATAGAGTTAGGCCTAATAAATGCATGTACAATACACACTTTAATTACCTTTAAAATATTTTCATCCTTAGCTTATAGTGAGTGGTGAATACAGTGGACCCTCGACCAACGATGGCATCGATTAACGATAAATCCGACTAGCGATACATTTTAACGCAAAATTTTTGCCTCGACTAGCACTAAAAAACTCGACCAACACTATTTGTTCCATCTGAGACGCGTCCACTTCTGGCCAGTGTTTACAAACCAGCCAGCCACCGCGGTCGCTTCCAAGCATACAATCGGAACATTTCATATTATCACAGCCTTTTTAGTGATTGCACCTGCAAAATAAGTCACCATGGGCCCCAAGAAAGCTTCTAGTGCCAACCCTACAGCAAAAAGGGTGAGAATTGCTATGGATATGAAGAAAGAGATCATTGCTAAGTATGAAAGTGGAGTGTGTGTCTCCGAGCTGGCCAGGTTGTACACAAAACCCCAATCAACCATCGCTACTATTGTGGCCAAGAAAACGGCAATCAAGGAAGCTGTTCTTGCCAAAGGTGCAACTATGTTTTTGAAACTGAGATCGCAAGTACTCGAAGATGCTGAGAGACTGTTATTGGTGTGGATAAACGAAAAACAGATAGCAGGAGATAGCATCTCTCAAGCAATCATATGTAAAAAGGCTAGGAATTTGCATGACGATTTAATTAAAAAATGCCAGCAACTAGTGGTGATGTGAGTGAATTTAAGGCCAGCAAAGGTTGGTTTGAGAGATTTAAAGGGAAGGGAAGTAACCCCAGAAAAGGACTTGCCATCTCAAGTCCTAATGGAAGGGGCTTCCCCTTCTAAACACTAAGACCATCAACACTCTCCCCTCCTCCCATCCCATCAATCATCACCAGATCTTCAAAAAAGGTAAGTGTCATGTAACTGCATGTCTTCTTCAGTTTGTGTGTATTAAAATTAATATTTCATGTGGTAAAAACAATTTTTTTTTCGTACTTTGGGGTGTCCTACACGGATTAATTTGATTTCCATTATTTCTTATGGGGAAAATTAACTTAACTAACGATGAGCTCTCAGGAACGGATTAATAGCATTAGTCGAGGGTCCACTGTATATTTATTGTAGGAAATCTGAATAAATGAAGAATGAGTATAATTGAAAAACCACTGCATTAGCAAAATGCCTTAAAGTGAAGCACTGTAGAGCGAGGCCCTCCTGTACCTATATACTACTGTATCTTGTTTTCAAATAACCAGGATCACAAAAAGAAAAGCTATTTTTTTATATTAGTTAAAATGCAACCTATTTGCATGTGTATAATAGTAATGTGAGTCTTATAAATTAAAGGTGTAAAAATAAGTGGGATTTATATGTTGTACAGTGGATCCTCGGTTGTCAACTGCATTACTTATCGAACAAAGCTGTTTTCGAACAAGGAATTTGAGAAAAAATGTCCTGGTTTTTGTGCGCTCTCTTGGTTGTTGACCAACAATACGAACGGTTCAGGTCACATGTTCACAGAATGCACACTGGAAATCACTTCAGAAACAAATTTAACCCTTAGGGAGTTCTGGAAAGACCATTTCAATATCCTCACTTCCTTGAGGCTTATAGACAAAGCCTGGGAAATGTGTTTTCCAGGACCATGCAATCAGCATGGAAGGAATTGTGGCCTGACTTTGTGGCAATCAGGGATTTTGAAGGCTTTGAAGGTGAGCCTGAGCTGCATATTATTAGTAGTGCTGCATATTATTAGTAGTGCTGCATATTATTAGTAGTGCTGCATATTATTAGTAGTGCTGCATATTATTAGTAGTGCTGCATATTATTAGTAATGCTGCATATTATTAGTAATGCTGCATATTATTAGTAATGCTGCATATTATTAGTAGTGCTGCATATTATTAGTAGTGCTGCATATTATTAGTAGTGCTGTATATTATTAGTAGTGCTGCATATTATTAGTAATTGCTATATTAGATGCGTATATTATTAGTAGTGCTGTATATTATTAGTAATGCTGCATATTATTAGTAATGCTGCATATTATTAGTAGTGCTGTATATTATTAGTAATGCTGTATATTATTAGTAATGCTGTATATTATTAGTAATGCTACATATTATTAGTAGTGCTGTATATTATTAGTAGTGCTGCATATTATTAGTAATGCTGCATATTATTAGTAGTGCTGTATATTATTAGTAGTGCTGCATATTATTAGTAATGCTGCATATTATTAGTAGTGCTGTATATTATTAGTAGTGCTGTATATTATTAGTAATGCTGCATATTATTAGTAATGCTGCATATTATTAGTAGTGCTGTATATTATTAGTAGTGCTGTATATTATTAGTAATGCTGCATATTATTAGTAATGCAGCTTATATATATAGTAGTGCTGATATTATTATTTAGTGTATATTATTAGTATGCTGTATATTATTGTAATGCTCATATTATTAGTAATGCTGCATATTATTAGAAATGCTGCATATTATAGTAGTGCTGTATATTATTAGTAATGCTGCATATATTATAATGCTGCATATTATTAGTGTGCTGTAAATTAATGTGTATTATATATGCTGATAATTATTAGTAATGCTGAAATAACTATATTATTCATATATAATGCTGCATATTATTAGTATGGTATTTATTAGTAATGCTACTAATTATTAGTAGTTGCTTATTTGCTAATTATAGTAATGCTAATATTATTAGTAATGCTATATTTTTAGTAGTGCTGTATATATATAAGTAGTGCTGTATATTATTAGTACATGCTTGTGATATTATTAGTATGCTACATATTATTAGTATCTGTATTATAGTTCAGTTAGTGTGCAGTATTATTAGTTATGTGTTATGAATATTGAGTAATGCTCTTTGATTGTAGTGCTTGATTATATTAGTAGTGCTGATATTATTAGTATGCTGCATATTATTAGTAATGCTGTATATTATTAGTAATGCTTACATATTATTAGTAGTGCTGTATATTATTAGTAGTGCTGTATATTATTAGTATGCTGATATTATTAGTAATGCTGATATTATTAGTGCTGCTATTTTATATGCGTATTTTTAGTAGTGCTGATATTATTAGTAGTGCTGATATTATTAGTATGCTGATATATATAATGTGTATGATTAGTAATGCTATATTATTAGTAGTGCTGTATATTATTAGTAGTGCTGTATATTATTAGTAATGCTGCATATTATTAGTAGTGCTGATTATTAGTAATGCTGATATTATTAGTATGCTGTATATATTAGTAATGCTACATTTTAGTAGTGCTGTATATTATTAGTAATGCTGTATTATAGTATTGCTGCATATTATTAGTAGTGCTGTATATTATTAGTAATGCTGCATATTATTAGTAGTGCTGTATATTATTAGTAGTGCTGTATATTATTAGTAGTGCTGTATATTATTAGTAGTGCTGTATATTATTAGTAATGCTGCATATTATTAGTAGTGCTGTATATTATTAGTAGTGCTGTATATTATTAGTAATGCTGCATATTATTAGTAGTGCTGTATATTATTAGTAGTGCTGTATATTATTAGTAGTATGGGACAGTACCAAAATTTTTTACTGATACTGATAGCCAATTTTCAGCCAATTCTGATACCAATACTTTTACTTTATTTTTTTATTTTAAAATTATAATGACTATGTTCATTATACTATATGGAAATATATTAAATAACACAGGAAGGTTAAATATTAAATTACTTTAGTTCTCTAAAATGACAATATCATTACTTATTACTTGGCCTGTTGTGTTAATAACTAGTTGTCAAAGGCACTTGCCAATTTTGTGTGTGTAAGTGCGGGGGGTTGCATGTTTGCATGCCCGCTCACCTATGTGTGTGTAAGTGTATGCTTATTTTGATATTTTTGAGCATACATGTAATATTAATATTTTAAAAGTATTGGGTGGTATCTCTCATTACAGTGGACCCCCGCATAACGATTACCTCCAAATGTGACCAATTATGTAAGTGTATTTATGTAAGTGCGTTTGTACGTGTATGTTTGAGGGTCTGAAATGGACTAATCTACTTCACAATATTCCTTATGGGAACAAATTCGGTCAGTACTGGCACCTGATCATACTTCTGGAGTGAAAAAATATCGTTAACCGGGGGTCCACTGTATTTTACTGATACTGATACATAAATATAGTCAATTTCCACTGATACCAATACCAATATTTTAGGACATCCCTAATTATTAGTTAGTAGATTTTTAAATCGGGACAATATCAGCATATTCAGCCTGCTTAAGGTGAAACACAGCCTTTTTTCAATTCAAATATATAAGCTAGGCTAGCCTAAAAATGTATTACAGTCACCGTACTTTTTAATCATCCTACTTATGTAAGGGTGAATTTATTGGGGCCCTCAAAATACAGAGGTTAGGTGCCTAGGCCCACCTCTAAGTGAACCAGTTTTTTTTTCATTTCAATGCAGTATAAGCAATAGAGCTAGGTAAGTGTATAAATGGACTAATACTTACCAAAAAATTCCCTTAGCATTATAGTAAGTGGCATGAATATTTTATTGTGGGCATGAAAAAATAACGAATGGGGTATAATTGAAAACCACTGCATTAGGTAAACACTGTAAAGTGAAGCACTGTAAAGTGGGCCCCTCCTGTACTGTACATTTCTTTCAAAATTTATGTACATGTGAAAACACCAAGCTGTTTCAGTCACTATTGAATTAAATAACAAAATAAGCTTACACTAATTTATATTACCAGGAACGACAGTTGTGGTCAGCAACCTGTTCAAGAATGTCCCAGTACGACGGCAGTTCTTCAGCAACCCAAAACGTTGTAGAGAAGAGTTTAAAAAATTAGAGGATCTTGTACTAGCATTCTCACTAGCTGTTCCTAATGTACATCTTACATTATATCATGACAAGTAAGTTATACACATAACCAAATTAAGCTTTTTGACATGTTATTACAACAGGCTAGTTGCAGCAATGTTCATGTTTTACCTTTTACTTCAACTATGTTATATTGGTTATACATTACAAAATATATAATAATTAAAAGCAAATAAATTAAATCTTCTCTTGAAGTATTTAAACGGGACATGGGGAATAAAATTTATTACTTAAGAAGTGTTGTAAGTTAAAAGGAAGTGAATTTTGTGTCTTGTAATATTCCTGCAAAATAGCATTGTAAAATTCTGTAGAAAATGTCTGCATTAGGGCTGGCTCAAAACATACTGAGTGTGGCTCTGGCCCACAGCCTAGAAATTACCATGCCCAGTATAATTAATACTTCTGTAAAAAAAGCATAGTAGTGCTGTGGGAACTTGCAGTTCCTCTGCATGAGCTCAAATCTATTTTTCTATTGTCTTTTTTTAATTTTAGATAATGCCAGTTGTAAGGAAGATAATAATATACTTAATCCATCTATGATATTTTTTCAAAATTATACTATAATAAATACACTAAATAGCATATAAACATGATAAACACACCCCACAGTACAATAAATTAAAATAAATATGAGATGTTTTTCCAGTCATTTTGTCGGAGTGTCAGAAAAAATAACGTTTTCTCTAGTTCAACACTCGAGAAAATGTGTACACAATAGTATTGCTGGGGGTAACTGGAGAAAATTATTCCTTTCGTATGCCTTCACTCAGAGCATCATTCCTTCTAAAAATAGTGTGTTACATGAGAATGGGAGTGTTGCTCTTTATTTATCCTACAGTACCAATGTGGAGACAACTTGTACACAATGTAAGGTGTTTGTTTTATGATATAAGCTTCACAAACATGGAAATGAACATGTATCAACCATAACCCGACACCTTTGTCTGCTTGTTTACATACTCTACATCTCTGTCTTCTCTCATTTACTCATTCTCTCTCTCCCTCTCTCATTTATTCATTTTATCTCATTTACTCACCTCTCACCCTGACCATACTATGGGTGAAGATAGAACCAGCGATCAGAGATCTGGTCGCGGGTTCTATCCCTGCCTGTGGTATGGTTTGTTTGCAGTCGTGTCATTACGATTTCATGAGTCACTCTCACCCTACATTAAGACTACAGATATTTTAAGGTAAGTAATGAGTGTACTGTACATGCATTCTATTGCTCTAGGGCACTTTAAATGTATATTATCTGTGGGTGGGGTGGCCATACCTACCACACCTGACCTCTTACAATGAATACTACTCACCTCTCACCCTACATTAGGACTACAAATATTTTAAGGTAAGTAAGGAGTGTACTGTGTGTATTTTACTTTTTATTGTTTTTAATGCCAAGTTTTATTGTTAACCTAATACATGTTAATGTAAACTTTTTTTTTTCTCAACAAACCGGCCGTATCCCACTAAAGCAGGGTGGCCCAAAAAGAAAAACCAAAGTTTCTCTTTTTAAATTTAGTAATTTATACAGGAGAAGGGGTTACTAGCCCCTCGCTCCCGGCATTTTAGTTGCCTCTTACAACACACATGGCTTAGGGAGGAAGAATTCTGTTCCACTTACCCATGGAGATAAGAGGAAATAAACAAGAAAGAAGAACTAGAGAGAAAATAGAAGAAAACCCAGAGGGGTGTGTGTATATATAAGCTTGTACATGTATGTACATGTATATGCTTCTAAGCTGTTGTGTTCTGAGCACCTCTGCAAAAACACTGATTATGTGTGAGTGAGGTGAAAGTGTTGAATGATGATGAAAGTATTTTCTTTGGGGATTTTCTTTCTTTTTTGGGTCACCCTGCCTCGGTTGAAGACGGCCGACTTGTTAAAAAAAAAAAAAAACATGTATGTGTAGTGTGAACTAAGTGTAAGTAGAAGTGGTAAGATGTACCTGAAATCTTGCATGTTTATGAGACAGACAAAAGACACCAGGACTCCTACCATCACATAAAACAATTACAGGCTTTCATTTTATACTCACTTGGCAGGATGGTAGTACCTCCTTGGGCAGTTGCTGTTTACCAACCTAGTACCTAGAAGTGTAAACTTATCTGGCATTTATGTAATTTATAAGTGGAAAAAATGGCGTTCTGCTTTCTGGTGGTAACCTGGAAGCTAACCTGTCATAAAAGTGGGGCCCTACTGTAGAGATCAAGTGCTTACAGTGAAGCATATTAATGAACAGTATTTAGAAAAGGGCAAAGAGTTTTTTGTGGCATTTATGGATTTGGAAAAGGCATATGATAGAGTGGATAGGGAAGCAATGAAGCAGATGTTCAAGCATGTCGAGTAGGTGGAAGGTTACTGAATAAGTTAAGAGTATTTATGAGGTTAGTTAGGCTCAGATTAGAGTATGTAGGAGAGAGAGATTATTTCCCAGTAAAGTAGGCCTTTGACAGAGATGTGTGATGGCACCATGGTTATTCAGTACATTTATTGATGGGTTTGTAAGAGAAGTGAATACTTGGGTGTTGGAAAGAGGTGTAGGATTAAAGATGAAGAATTAAACACAAAGTGGGAGTTGTCACAGTTGCTTTTTGCTGATGACACTGTGCATTTGGGAGATTCTGGAGAGATTTTGCAGAGGCTGGTGGATGAATTTGGGAGGGTATGTAAAAGATGGGCTTTCTTCTATTTTCTTTCTAGTTCTTGTACTTGTTTATGTCCATGGGAAAATGGAATAGAATTCTTTCTCTGTAAGCCATGCGTGTTGTAAGAGGTGACTAAAATGCCGGGAGCAAGGGAGCTAGTAACCCCTTCTCCTGTATACATTACTAAAGTTAAAAAGAGAAACTTTCATTTTTCTTTTTGGGCCACCCTGTTTCAGTGGGATGTGGCCGGTTTGTTGAAAGAAAGAAGATGTAAAAGAAGGAAATTAGCAGTGAATGTAGGAAAGAGTGATAAGGATATCAGATTGGAGGGAGGGAGTGTGGAGGAAGTGAATGTGTTCATATACAGTGGAACCTCAAATTTCGAACTTAATCCATTCCAGGAGCTAGTTCTAAATTCGAAAAGTTTGAAAGGCGAAGCAACATTTCTCATAAGAAATAATGGAAATACAATTAATCCATTCCAGAAACCCAAAAATATTCACAAAAAATACATTGTATAGATAGTATTACACTATAGTTTTACATACACACAACAAATATAGTGCACAATTATTAATAAATTTAAATAAGCATATAAAATAACATTTTTACTTACCTTTATTGAAGATTGATGATGGCATCTGGAAGATAGGGAGGAGGAGAGAGGGAGTTGGGATTAGTGTTTGGAAAGGGAATCCCCTTCCATAAGGACTTTAGGTATCAAAGCCCTCTCTGGGGTTGCTTCCCTTCTCTGTCTTTTAATGCCACTAGGACCAGCTTGAGAGTCACTGGACCCCTGTCTCACAAAATAACTGTCCACAATCCTCTGTTTCTGGTGCCTCTTTAAGATTTCCCTAAAATGGGACATGGTTCTGTCACTGAACTTGTTGCAAAGATGGCTTGTTTCAGCTTGCTCATGGTGGTACTTCTGCACAAACATTTGGACATCATTCCACTTCTATATTATTTCCTTCTTCACATCTATGGTGAATCTCACTTTCTTTACCACAGGGATACCACTAGCAAGTTTCTTTGGGCCCATGGTAACTTATTTCACAGTCCCACAACCACTAACAACAACGAATTAATTGTAAAATGTTTGAATGAGACCGCAGGTTAGTGTTCACTTAAGCATCACGGCTTACAGCGCCTGCGTGGGGACGCAGACAGAGCGAGCTGGCGGACAGGTCCGGTACCCAGTGGTTCGAAAATAGGGGCGAGTTTGATAATAGGGACAAAGTTGGTTCAAAAAAAGAGGTTGTTTTTCGAAGTTTGAGGTTCCACTGTATTTGGAAGTGGACTACTCAGCAGATGGGTCTGTGAAAGACAAAGTGAACCATTGAATTGATGATGGTAAAAAGGTGAGTGGTGCACTGAGGAGTCTGTGGAGACAAAGAACATTATCCATGGAAGCAAAGAGGGGAATGTATGAGAGTATAGTGATACCATCACTCTTATATGGGTGTGAATCATGAGTTGTGAATGTTTCAACAAGGAGAAGGCTGGAGGCAGTGGAAATGTCATGTCTGAGGGCAATGTGTGGTGTGAATATTATGCAGAGAATCCATAGCTGGGAGATTAGAAGGTGTGGGGGGTTACTAAAAGCATTATCCAGAGAGCTGAAGAAGGGTTGTTGAGGTGGTTTGGGCATTTAGAGAGGATGAAACAAAATAGAATGACCTGGAGGGTATATTAATCTGTAATGGAAGGAAGGTGAGGTAGGGGTCATCCTAGGAAAGGTTGGAGGGAGGGTGTAAAGGAGGTTTTGTATGCAAAGGGCTTAGACTTCCAGCAAGTGTGTGTGAACATGTTAGATAGGAGTGAATGGAGGCAAATGGTTTTTATGACTTGATGTGCTGTTGGAGTGTGAGCAAGGTAACATTTATGAAGGGATTCAGGGAAACCAGTTAGTTGGACTTGATTCCTGGAGGTGGGAGGTACAGTGCCTGTATTCTGAGGGAGGGGGGAGATACGTATGTTTCAATTTTTAAACTGTAGTATCAATGTGCCTCTGGCAAGAAAGTGATAGATGAGGGATGATGAAAGTGGTTCTTCTTTTTTGGGTCACCCTGACTTGGTGGAAAATGACCAATGTGTTAAAAAATAAATGCATTTCTTCTTGACAAGGAGCAAACAAAAAAAAAATCCATTGACTAGATGAAGGTAAGTAACTCATAAATGTCAAAAACACCTGATGTATAAAATGATTAGGAATGGTATGTCTTTAAAAAAAAAGGTGCTGTAATGCATTAGGCAGTATTATTTATAAGAGTATAATGCATGGAGAACGCATATTACTGCTGCCACTTGCTTTAGCGATGGGGACAGAGAAATAGTTTTCAGCATTTGGTATCTCTCCTCACCTGCCCTTCTCCTTTCCTCCCCTCACAAAAAACAAATGTAGATTTTCTTGTGTTTATACTGTAATGACTTAAGAATATCTTCTGATACACGTCTTGGTAACAGGTCCATTATCATCCAGAAGAATTCAGCTCGGGATCTCCGCACTGCTCTCATGAATACTTTTCCAGCTGTGTTTAAAGATTTTGTCTCAAAAATTAAATTAATTGATGATGTAAGTATAAATTTATGATACATTTTTTATCTTATTAGTTTTAAATGTGACTTCTAGAATTAATGCATTTTAAGTAACTTTTGTTAGTGTGCAAAGTACAGCTGGGTTGATGGATGAGGCTAGAGGAATGTCTTGTTAAACTTATTGCATCTCTAATACATTCAGTGTATTTAAGAGCAGATATGTTTTAGGTTTTTCACAATAGTGTAGTATACAGAATACAGTACAGTATTTATTGAATAATTAAACTTATAATTTATTCACTACTGGACATACATTAATACAGCCTCTCCTCACTTAGTGACATACTCATTTACCGACGACTCAGACTTACAACAGACTCTCTGACCAGTATGCATACCTAAATAATGTATATTAGAGCTGATTTTCTCTATTCTGTTTATCACAGTACACTATCAACATTTAAGAATATACTAGAAATGTTATAAATGGTGCAAAGGGGACATTAAAACAATATCTAAGATGGTTGACACAAACCTGCTATCATTATAGTATGCTCCTCACTTAGTGACAAATTCGTTTACCGGTGTGGTCTTAGGAACGGAACTCCGTCCTTAACCCTTTCAGGGTCAAGAGGCCCTCTCCTAAACTCATTCTCAGGGTTGAAAATTTTTCGGAAAAAAAAAATTATTTTTTCTTATGAAATGATAGAGAATCTTTTCCCGATCATAATGTCACCAAAAGTATGAAATTTGATGGAAAACTCAGGGAATTAGGCTCTCGCGAGGTTAGCGGTCTCGACGATGTTTACTCATCGGCGATTTCGTCCACTTTGATCCCTATTTTCGGCCAATTTTAGTGCACTAGTCGACAAAAATCATATGTATTTCACTAGAACTCCATTTTTCCTATTGAATGAGTACAAGAAACCACCCATATACCAATTTCAAGTATCCAATAAAGTAGTCAGAAATTGGCAATTTTGCCAATTTCACACAAATTTCAGGAGATGCCAATTTCCAAATAGGGTCCAGAACAAGCAAGACAGACATTCCTGGCACTAAAATAACATTTTCTCTGTTCATTAGTCACGTCCCCAGGCCCGTCTTACATCTCTTTTGCTTTCCACTTTGAATTTTTATTCTCACAAAAAATAGAAGATTTACTGTTATGCAGACTACTACATTAGTGTAGAAATGGTGTAGAAATGGTATAAATAATATCAGTGCACTTGTGAAAGAATATTAGATTCACCAGTTGACGTGTATTGGACGCTTGGAATGATTCGTTTACTTTTGAAATTTGGTAAAAATCGAACATTTCTGCTACTTTGAGCTCAATTTCAAGGTACTTTTCATTATTAAACCAATCAAAATCATCTCAATTTCTGTAATACATCTTCTATTCTATAAAATGAGACCAGGAAAACTAGAATACAACCATAAATACCATACGAAAATACACTGCAAAGTCGCTGTTTTAAACCAAAAACATGGTCGGAGTTTTTTTCTCTCATTATACACTGTGTGCTGCAGGATTTTTTTTATACTGTGCACACTGACCACATAGACCCATTCTTTCATATGTAGGCCTACCAGCTTTCTCTCACTAGATTTGAAGGCGCTAGAATTTAGGCGTTCTAGTACGTACGTCAATAACCCTGGTGCGTAAGCCATACTAGTACGTCAGAAACCCTGAAAGGGTTAAATGAGGAGAGGCTGTATTTTATACATAATGTATACAGGGATGAACATGATACTTGTTGAAAGCTCTAGAATTTTTTTATTTTTTCTCAAAATGAATATATTTGAAAAATGAATCATTGGTGGTTGTGGTATTTATTCGTCAGGGAACACGACGGGGGTTTCCTGATATGCATGTTAATCATAAGATGACCCACTAACTGGAGATTTCTTGGTCACAGAGCCAAGACCTTCTGCTGGGTTTCTCTCTACCATATAAAAAACTAATGTTCACATTTTATCATATAGGCTCTTATGAATAACTGAAAATTTTTCTTAGGTTTTAGGATATAAAAAGAAGAACTGTAATGCTCTACTTCTGTGTTTGGCCTTATATGACATACTGAAGTAAAAATTCTTTCTCATTATAAAACACAAACTGTAACACACTGATCATTTTCAGCTAAGGTAAAGCCTTGGGATCATTACAACCCTTCAGTTAACCCTAGGAATACATAAATAACCCATACATAGGAGAATGGAACTTATGAGGACATTTTGGTCCAACTTGACCATTAACTAGTGTGACTAGTTAATGGTCCAAGTTGGGCCAAAACATTTGTAATAAGTTTCATTCTCCCATGTGTGTAGGTTATTTGTTTATTGTTCCAGCCATGGTGTTGTACCTTTTTGTTCTTTAGCTCTAGGAAGATTGCAGCCCTTCAGTTTGCCCTGTGACCATTGCAGTTCTTTTGTTACCTTCGAGTATTTTGCATGTTATTATGTCCTCCCTGGCTCTTCTGTCATTAGATTCAGTTCTATTAGCCTCTTCTCATAGCTCATGCCCCTGAGTTATCCTACGCTGCAGCCGCAGCAAGCAGCAACAAGGCTGCTGCTAAATCTTGCCGTCCCCTGGGCCTATCCGAACTCCAGTGATGGCCAAATTGCAAGTACTGCTGCAACAACATGCAAGGAACCTATAGTGACATAAAAACTGACGGTGACGACAACAAAATGGACTAAATATGACAAAAGAGGGACCGGCATTCAAGTACCAGACCTGTTGCCAGACGTGAACCAAACATGAGACGTTTTCCACTACAATGAAATAACTGACCTCCATATCAACTGCACCAGTGTTCAACGGGAAGACAACATGGCAGAAAAAATGATCAACAAAACTCCAAGGAAATGGCAGGTCTGTAGGACTTTTTTCCTCAGTGCCAAATGAGGGAAAGAATTGAGCATTTAATCATGGCTGACCGGCATCCAAACACCAGCTACTGCCAGACGTACAACTAGCGAAGTGAAATTCTCATCTTTACTGACATTCATCTGTTGACAGTAGCATCATATCTGTACCACCATCATATCACCTGTACCAGTGCTAACAAGAGGGAAACATAGGAGACATCGTCAGATCAACTGTACAAAACTCCAAGGTTATCCCTCAGTGCCAGTCGTGGGAAAGAAGTGAATAGGTAAACAGTCAAGGTTAATGTTTTAGTAGCTGACCTATATTCAGCTGACCAGTGTACAGTGAAAGAATCATAGCAGAAAACGCCAAATATATTATAAAGTCAGGTTGTAGGTGGCGTTTACTTCCCTCAGTGTTTTAAAAATGGCCGAGTCAGCAGACCAGGTCAGGCAGTCAACAACACCACACAACCCCCGATAAATGGAATTGAGGGGGATTTGGAAGGATAAAACCATTGATTAAACCTTTCTGGTCTACCAGAATGGAAAGGAGTTAGAAGTTAAAAGGTGAAGCTGGACTGTGAAGTGAGGCGGGAAGGGGAGTGTGTAATAAGGGGTTAACTGAAAGGGGTTTGTGAAGTTAAGGGAAAAGTGAGCAGTGAAGAGGGTTTTGAAGAAGAAAATTTACTAGTAATTCAGTGGTGATTGCTAAAGCAGATACTAAGTGTACTAGGTGACTGGAAAAGAGGAATAAATATTATTGTATATGAGTAAAAGAGCGAAGAGTGAAAATGGCAGGCATTAGGGGGGTACAAGCTGCCATAATTATATTTATCTTTCTTCTTCAATTCCATGAAGAAAGAAATCAGTCATGGGGGCTGGAAAAGATGAATGGAGTAACAGTGCCTTGGACAGTAAAAGCCCAACAGTTGCTATCCTACCAGAAAAGTAAATGTCACTATCGCCGCAAGGTATGGCAACACCGCATACCCAAACAAAAACAGTGGCACACAGCTCTTATTGTAGCGCTCTTAAGTGGTGATATCCAAATTAATCCAGGACCTCAAACTATTATGCAGAGGCAAAACAGACAGATAAATGACGGTGATAATGACGGTCTAGTAGCTAGGAATGATGACCTTAACTCCATATGTAATGCATACATACGTCAATGTGAGACAATTCAGCCATTATTATCTCAAACACTACCAAACAGGTGCATACACTGTACTAAAGTACGCATGAAAACAGAAAAGGCACCTTATGTAAAATGTGGAAGGGGTGGGTGCGCGATGGATGTATGTACAATTATAGCAACGATGCCAGAATTCATTTTGTGTGTAACAAATGCACTTCGGCACAGTTACCTTTTAGCAATGATGACATTGATTTACCTAATTTTAATACAAATGACCCATTGCCATATATTGATGATTAATTGTTTTATGAAAACAGGCCTTCACTTGATTCATGTCAACGCAAGATCACTTCTTCCTAAATTGGCAGAGATTAAGATTCTAGCTAACAAAATTAGGGTGGCAGTTATAACCATCTCTGAATCCTAGTTGGATGATACTGTGACTGACGACGAGGTCAAAATAGAAGGTTACAATATAAAACGCTTAGATAGGAACAGAAAGGGTGGTGGAGTATGTGCCTACATTAGAAATGACTTAGCTTACAACCCAAGACCTGATTTAAATAACAATAAACTGGAGATTCTATGATTTGAAGTGCTGCTTCCCAAGACCAAACCCATCTTAGTAGGAACTAGTTACCGCCCTCCTACCCAGGACCAGTTCTTGGAAGACTTTTCCAGAGTATTGTCCGGACTTGAAAACAATTGCGAGACAATAATACTGGGCGACTTCAATATCTGTTTTCAGCAACAAAATAACGGGCTATGCAAAAGGTATAAACAAATTCTAGGTTGAAATAGTTACACTCAACTAATTAATACACCAACCCGGATCACGCAGTTCTCAGCCACCCTAATTGACCACATACTTTGTAACCGCGCTGAGAACATTAGTCAGTCAGGTGTCATTACCACAGGTCTTAGTGATCATTTCATCATTTACTGCACCAGGAAAATCACTAGGGATAGGATAGGCCTACACAGGACAATAAAAATGAGGTCAACTAGAAATTACAGTAAAGAAACACTGGTAAATAGGCTGCACAATTGTGATTGGACAGAGATAACAAGTTGCATGGATGCAAACGATGCCTGGGAAAAATTCAAAACAATGTTCACTACCATCCTTGATAATATTGCACCAGTTAAAGAGGTTAGGATTAAACAAAGAACTGATCCCTGTATGACTACTGAGATATTAGATAATATGAAATTCAGAGACCAGCTGCTAAAAAGATTTAAAGCAAACAGACAGGATATTGCAGCACTAAATGAATTCCAAAGGGTGAGGAACAGAGTACAGAGACTTATAAAAGGAGCAAAGGCAAAGCACTGTTGCTCAAAAATTGAAGAGTGTAAGCATAACCCCAGAAAGCACTGGCAACAACTAAAACAGTTGGGGTATAGCCATAACCCAGTAGATAGGTCTAACATAGTACTCACTATCGATAATGAGGTATGCCACGAAACATCTAAGGTGGCAAATTGCTTTAATTCCTGCTACACATCTGTTGCATCAACACTAGTAAGTAAACTACCAGCTGCATCAAATACCTTTAACACAGACTCTGATAAGTTTCAAACATACTATACCAATAAAGGGGTAACCCCAAACAGTTGTCAACTAGTAAGTGTATCTCATGACTTTATTCAAAAAGAACTAAGCAGGTTAAACCCAACTAAGAGCACAGGCCCTGATAACATCCCGTCTAAGTTCCTAAAAGATGGTGCTTCTGAACTGTCAATCCCTATTGCTCACATAATAAATCTATCAATCACCACTAATACCGTACCTGAGGGGTTCAAGAAGGCCAGAGTTACTCCTATCTTCAAGAAAAATAGTAGATCTGATGTCAGCAACTATAGGCCTGTTAGTATACTCGGTATAATATCCAAAATTCTAGAGAGGGTGGTGTACTCTCAAGTAATTAAGTACCTTAATGACAACAACATTCTCCATAGCTATCAATCGGGCTTTAGAAGATCTTACTCAACCGACACCTCCCTAATTAATCTGATGGATCACCTGAGAACTGAAATGTCAAAGGGGAACCTTATAGGTATGGTAACCTTAGACCTGCAAAAGGCCTTCGATACTGTCAACCACAATATATTATGTAAGAAACTTCAAGCTATCGGTATAGGTTCTGTAGACTGGTTTAAGCCCTACCTTAGCAACAGGAGACAAATTGTCAAAATCAATAAAATGGAATCAGAACCCCTGCCGATAGCATGTGGAGTTCCCCAAGGTAGTATTCTGGGTCCCTTATTATTCTATGTTATGTCAATGACATGCCTATCAGTGTCAAGTGCAAACTCCTACTGTATGCAGATGACAGTGCCCTGTTAGTGTCAGGTAAAGACCCACAAGATATAGCTAATGTTTTAACACTGGAACTGGAGTCCTGCAGCAAATGGTTAGTAGACAACAAACTATCATTACACCTCGGGAAAACTGAAGCCATTCTCTTTGGCACGAAACATAAACTGAGAAGGGTAAATAACTTTAATGTCCAGTGTAATGGGGAGCCCATCACTTTGGTTTCATCAGTAAAATATCTGGGAATCTCCTTTGACCCATGCATGTCAGGAGAATTGATAGGGAACAGTGTAGTAAAGAAAGCGAATGCCAGACTGAAGTTCCTGTATAGACAAGCACAGTGTCTACCTACTGAGGCTCGCAGGACCCTATGTCTAGCCCTTATACAATGCCATATGGACTACCCTTGCTCTTCATGGTACTCTGCCTTGACAAAAAAACTGAAAGATAGACTGCAAATCACCCAAAACAAAATCGTAAGATTCATCCTGGGGCTGGGACCAAGAGAACATGTAGGCCAGGATGAATTACAGCAGTTGGGTATGCTAAATGTTGAAGACAGAGTAAAACAACTGAAGCTAAATCATGTTTATAAAATTGCTCACAAACAGTGTCCAGAATATCTTGCTGTCAATTTTGTCAAGGTTGGGAACCAAAGCAATCATAGTACTAGGGGGGGAGAGCACAACTTTGTAGTATCCACAGTCATTGGCCAGGCTTCAAACACCTTTTATTGTACAGCAATAAAGGAATGGAACAGACTGCCTGCACATGTCAAAGCCAGTCATAGCATGAACCAGTTCAAGAAGAGTGCCAAAAGGTGTCTGATGAATGTAGCTACAGAAAGGGAGGGGAATGATTTTCTATTTTTTAGCTAACATACGTGTAAATTTTACCTTATTCCTAGTAATGACCCTCGTATTGTAGATAGTCTTAATGACCCTCGTGTAGTAGATAGTCTTTTTAGTATGATAATAAGATGTTATCTTCATTATAGAATAATAAGAAAATATTATAACCTTTATATTATAATAATAAGGTAAAAGGACCCCAATGGAAATAAGTCACTCTGTCTGACTTTTTTGGGTTATCCTAGGTTCTCTACACATATGCTGCTATGTATGATAATTCTATGTAACTGTATTTGTGTATACCTGGATAAACTTACTTACTTACTTACTTATAACTCAGGAACAAGCTTTGTTGCATACTTCTGCATTTTCTCCAATTTCTTGGCATGCTTCCTTAGGTGTGGGTTACATACTAGTGCTGCATACACCAAGATGGGCCTTCTATAAGTTGTGTAAAGTGCCCAGAATGACTGTTGAGATCCCTGAAGGCCACTCTTAGGTTTGCCAGATAAGCATTGGCTGCAGAAATTATTCACTTGATGTGAGCTTCTGGCAAAATGCTAGTGAGTTCTACAGCCTCTGTACCCTGAGACTATACTCTGTGTCCAATCTTCTGTCCCATTCCCCTATATTTATGATCTTGAATTTGCTAGGGTTGAATTCAAGTAACCACTTATCTGAGAAGTCCTGTACTTTGTCCAGATCTGTTGGCATCCTTTCCCATCCTAATCTTATTATTCTTCTCATTAGTTTTGCAGCATCAGTGAACAGAGTTACATCTGACTCAATGCCATCTCAAATATCATACACATAAACCAGATACAGCACTTCGCTTGTTACATTTCTCCATTCTGATATCTGTTCCCAGACAATCACTTTTTGCCTCCTTCCTCTGAGGTACTATTTGATCCACCAGAGTACATTCCCTGTTATTCCTTCCTGCACCTCAAGTTTTTGTCTCAGTCTTTTGTGGGGCACTGTATCAAATTCTTTCTTGCCACCTAAGAAAATGCAATCCACCCAGCCCTCTCTCTCCTGTCTCATTTCTGTTACTCTGTCATAGAATTCTAGTGGGTAGGTAAGACAAGATTTACCATCTCTGATCCCGTGCTGGTTACATTAAGTGCTGTCAAAACAAGTGTTAGATGCTTCTTCCATGGTGACAAAACTGTTGATTTTGTGTGACTTATCTTACAGAGCTTATATCAGAGAATAACAGTACCACATTACTGGAGTAATTTTACAAAAAAAAAAAAATATAATTTATATTCCATTTTAGTGTTTGTTTTATATTATGTATTCAGTACAGTATGATGCAGTTACTTAAATTTGTTATGTATATCTCATTTTTCCTTCAAAAATAAAAATATATGCTTGACTTGCTTTCCAGCTGTCAGGTATTTATTCCTTCTGAGATAGATGATGTTATATATAATAATGTATCAAAGGCACTTGTCTTGTTTTAAATGTATATTTTTGTATTGAAAGAATTGTTATACTGTACATAGTCATGTAATACTGCAATATGATCTCATGTTCTAAGGGCCTTTTCATTTTAGAGAATGAAATATAAACAAAATTTTACCTTAAATGCAGACCAATTAGTAATATCATCATTTTTAAGTCTTAATGCTTTTTGGCAGATCAAGTTAGAGGTACATCTTCCAAGTGCCAGGTGTCTTTCCAACCAAAACTTCAGTCGAGTAACTGCTGACCGTCTCTTCGTTATGGTCAACCAGCGGCCAGTTATGCACAAGACTATTGAAAAGGTAGGAACCAGTTTTGAACTTATAACTACTGTATTTTCTGTTTTTCTTAAGTTTCTAAAAAAAATTATACATTCTAGGGATCTAGCACTTTCTGCTTTGTGTAAATACATCTATGCTTTTAAATGAATGTATTGCATTGGGGTATTTTAACAATATAATAAATATTTTTAAGATTCATCTTATATTGTACATCACATCAGAGTTAAAGACAAGTTCGTGTATTTTCAGTTTTACAGAGCACAAGTTGTGCATCAATTTACTTGTGATTATTGTGTGAACTCGTGTACCTGTGTTTGTGAGAGATGAGCTCCAGCTTCTGGACCATACTTCTTGACTACAGTATTAACCCTTTCACTGTGTCTCATGTAGATCTATATTACTGATGCCGGCATCACTCATGTTGATCTGCATTTTAAGCACATCGCCTTCAGTGTACTGTGATTGGTAAATGTTGGCTTAGACATGAGCAAATGGATCTTTTGTGGCGAGTGTGCACTGCATAAAAAAATCCTGCCCTATAAAGTGCATGATGGGAAAAAGCAAATCTCTGACCTTGTGTTTAGTTTAAAATTGTGACTTGGAGGCATTTTCTAGATGGTTTTTATGATTTTATTGGCTGTTTCTTGGTATCAATTGATAGAATGGAAGACATACCAATGAAGTCAGATGCTTTGAGTCAGTTTTAGGACCAGAAGTAGCTTGAAATAGAGCCCAAAGTAGTGGAAATATTCGATTTTGGGATTTTTCCAGAGGAAAGGTAGGACCCCTTACACCGCCAGTTTGTTTCGTGGTTTTTACTAGGTGTGCTTCAGTTATTGGAATGGCTGAAACCATAACTAATCTCTCTTGGTTATATTATCTGAGAAATAGAGTAAAACTTCAATTTTTTGTGATAGTGGATTCGAAATGGCGGGAAAGTGTTATGTAGGAGATGTCTGGGAACATGACTAATAAACAGAGGATAGGTTGCTTTAGTGGCTGTATTTGTATGTATGGTTATTATATCCATATTTTACCCTGTTTTCATGGAAGGTATTGAAATTTGAACCTTTTTATGTTACTTTTCCTGTCCATCAGTGAAAATTTGACCCAGAATGGATCTGTGCAGTGAGTTTGTACAGAATACAAAAATCCTGCCTCATGCAGTGTGTGACGGGGAGAGCAAAACCCTGACCTTGCGTTTGATTTAAAATAGTGACTATGAGGTGTTTTTTAGGATACTTTTTATGGTTTATTGGTGTTTCCCTTTTATTATGAATGGAAACATACTACTGAAATAGAAATGATTTAGGGGTTCGAGCCCCAAAAGTAACTTGAAATCAGCTTCATATTATTAGAAATAGTCAATTTTTTTCTGACACTCAGGCCCGTTTTATAGGTTTTTACTAGTTCTGATTCAATTACTGGGATGTCATAAACCATGACCAATTATTTCCTTTTATATTTTATTACGAAATAGGTTAAATCTTGGATTTTTTGACTACAATGATTCAAAATGGAGGCAAGTGTAATACAGTGGACCCCCGGGATAACTTTTATCCGTGAAGAGGGGTATTGTTATGCAAATTTCGGTATGTGAATGGAATTTTCCCCATAAGAATAATGGGGAATAAAATTAATCCGTATGAAAAAGATGAAAAAAAAAATTTTTTACCACATGAAATATACATTTCCCACCACAAAGGAAGGGTACATGCACAATAGTAGGTAGTACATGCACAGTATATATTGTGCATGTACTAGTCTACTAAATGAAGAATAAATGACACTTACCTTTATTGAAGATGCAGCAATGACTGATGAGACACTGTGTCCTGGGAGTGCCTTTTCCTCCTGAGTACTGTAGGTCCTGTTTGGCATTTTCTTCCAGAACAGGCCTATCACACTGTGTATGCCACTACGATCTTAAATCTCTCAAACCAACCTTTGCTGGCTTTAAATTCACCAATATGAGCACTAGTTCCAGGCATTTTTCCCTGTTTCACCTGGGTGTTAGTCGACTTGTGTGGGTTGCATTCTGGGAGACAAGATTAAGGACCCCAATGGAAATAAGTTAGACATCTTCGATGACACTGACTTTTTTGGGTTATCCTGGGTGGCAAATCCTCTGGGTTAATTGTTTCTTGGTATTCTCAATAAGCCACACCAACAACGGTGCTACAGCAGCAGCAGCAGCTGACGGTGGTACAGCAGCAACAGACATGCTACAGCAGCAGCAGACGATGCTACAGCAGCAACAGACGATGTTACAGCAGCAGCAGACGATGCTACAGCAGCAGCAGCAGCTGACGGTGGTACAGCAGCAACAGACGATGCTACAGCAGCAACAGACGATGTTACAGCAGCAGCAGACGATGCTACAGCAGCAGCAGCAGCTGACGGTGGTACAGCAGCAACAGACGACGCTACAGCAGCAACAGACGATGTTACAGCAGCAGCAGACGATGCTACAGCAGCAGCAGCAGCTGACGGTGGTACAGCAGCAACAGATGACGCTACAGCAGCAACAGACGATGTTACAGCAGCAGCAGACGATGCTACAGCAGCAGCAGCAGCTGACAGTGCAGCAGCAGCAGCAGCTGTACCACCAATAGTAGCGATGGTTGATTGGGGTTTATTATACAACCTGGCCAGCTCGGAGACACGCACTCCACTTTCATACTTATCAATGATCTTTTTCTTCATCTCTATTTTAATTCTCACCCTTATTGCTGTAGGGTTGGCACTAGAAGCTTTCTTGGGGCCCATGGTCACTTATTTTCCAGAAAAAAGCACCGAAAACACTGTAATAATACGAAATATTCCGATTGTATGCTTGGATGTTACCGCGGAGGCTGGCTGGTAAACAATGCCACCGGCGGAACATGTGAGCGTGGCTCAGGCCGCACATTGGACGCGTCTCGGACGAAAATCGGTGAGCGGGTTTTTAAGTGGTATGTGAGGCAAAATTTTGGCGATTAAAGCAAGCGGTATGCGGATTAATCGCTATGTGATGCCATCGGTATGCGGGGGTCCACTGTATAGGAGAGGCTTGGGGACATGATTAATGAACAGAGGAAATGTTGTTTTAGTACCTAGAACATCTACAGTCTTTATTTTGGACTCTATTTTAAATTGGATTTCTTTTTAATTTTACACAAAATTGGCCAAATTACTGACTTCTGTGTACTGTATAATAGTTTCTTGTGCTCGGTTGATAGAACTGAAGACATACTAGTGAAATTGCCAAGAATTTGGTCGAATTGAACAATGAAATTGCCATCAAATTATTGTACTTTTGGTATCATTGCTTGCATATAAAGATTTTCTAACATTTCAGAAGAATATTCCAATTTGGGTCAGGCATGTGCTGTACTGTGTAATTATATTTTGGTTTACCTTTATATAACCATCTGACTTAACTGTTTTCACTTGTAAGATCTACATGTCTACCATTACATCTTCTATTAGCTGTGTTAGTATAACGTGCTACAAAATAAACGCTTAGTATGATTCTGAGATAATTATGCCCTTAAAATGTTATTTGTTATCTTTATTTGTGAGGAAAACATTGACCATAATGATGCAACTCACTGTCTTTCTCAGTTGGTGAAAGCTCATTATAGCCAAAAGATGGAAGGGTGTCATGGTCGTTATCCCATTGGTATTGTTGTCTTGACTCTACCTCTCGATGCTGTAGACGTCAACTTGGAGCCTAACAAGACTAAGGTTCTACTCAAGGATGAGGTAGGCAACAACTTGGTCTTGATTCCTTCTCTCTGCATTATTAGTATTCTTCTTTCAATAAAGCAGCTGCATCCCACTGAGGCAGGGTGGCCTAAAAAGAAAAGCAAAAGTTTCTCGTTTTAAATTTAATAACTTATACAGGAGAAGGGGTTATTATTAATATTACATATGCAATATAATTAACATGTTTAGTTAAAAAAAATTAAATAGATTATACTTTGCTGCTCATCTCATTCTAATTGTACTTGTGCACACAGTTATTTCATCAGCCCTTCCATTTGCATGTTCAACCTCCAGTTGTGTTCGGCATCTCTCAATTTTATTTTATTTTATTTACAAAGGAATTAGAAAGCACACTATCCTGATTTGACATTTCCACTACCGCCATAGAGTGCATTGTTTTATTGGAGCCCAACTTACCACAATACATTGTATGATTGCCAGTTTCAAGAAAATTACCCCTTGCTACAGTGTACCTTCGATATAGAGTTTAGTAATTTATGAATATTTTTTAACACACCAGCTATCACCCACCAAGGTAGAGGTGACCCAGAAGAGAGAAATACGTTCATAATCGGTCATTCAGTACCTTTATTGCCAGAGATGTGTGTAGATATCTCAACTCAAACAATCCTCTGAACTGCAATATCTACACCTTGCCTTAAGAATGTAGTAACTGTGCTTTCACTTCCAGGACTTGCATCCATCTAACTGGTGTCCCTGTATGCTTCATAAATTTTACACTGCTCATACTCCAACAACACGTCAAGCCATAAAAAACATTCATCTCCATACACTTTGATCTAATATGCTCACATAGGTTGATACAGGAATATGGGAGGGTGTGTGAAAGAAATTAAAAGTGAACATAGAGGAGTGCAACATAATGAGTGTAACAAAAAGCCAGTGCAGTGAAAGATTGAATAACAGATTGGAAGGAGGGAATATGGAGGAAGTGAATATATTCAGATATTTGGGAGTGGATATATCAACAGATGGGTCTATAAAAGAAGAAATGAACCATAGAATAGACCAGGAAAAAGAAGCAGAGGCATTTAAGAGAGGGTGGGGCAAAATAGGATGACTTAAGAAAGTATATAAATCTGGGAAGGAGGGATAAGGATCATTGTAGAAAGGGTTGGAAGGAGAGGGGTAAAGGAGGTTTTGAGTGGTAGTGAACATGGTAGATCTAGTGAATGGAAGCAAGAGGTTTTTATCAAACCATACCCCGACCAGGATTGAACCCGCGGTCAGAGAGTTTGTTTGCAATCGTGTCATTACGATTTCGTGAGTCAAGAGGTTTTTATGGCTTGATGTGCTGTTGGAGTGTGAGTTTAAAAGAAATAGGCTAGTCAGAGTCCTGGAGGTAGAATGTACAGTGTCTACACTCTAAAGGAGAGGTGAAAATGTTGCAGTTTGTGAGTTAACTGAATTGTGATGCCAACACACTTCTGATAAGACAGCACTTGAATGAATCATGGTGGATTTGTTTCCTTTTTGATATTGGGAGGTAGGGTTTCCCCACCTTGGTGGAGGATGACCAGTGTTAAAAAAATAATAACACTAATAATTATATTAGGCATGAGGTATGTCACTGTCAGTTATGCCTTTGTTAGTAATGAATAAATAAAGCAGACAACCCATACAACCTCACCTTTAAGTCTTACCCTGTTAATGGCATTCAAGGATTGTGTTCCTATTTGTAACTAAATGAGTGTGTAGAGGGTAGGCAACACTTTCCAAGTTTCAGAGCTTCACTCAACTTTATATTCTTAACTTGAGTTAAACTCATTATACTATTCATTGAGAATAAATCATTGTCAGTTGAAGATTGGAAATTGCATGTAACTTCAGACTTAGATCTTAACAATCTTCCTCAGATTACATTGTAATTTCTTCCATAATATGAAATTTGTTTTGAAGCTGAGGTTCATTTTATGCAGTACTTTACTGAAGTGTTAACATTTAACTGGATTTTTTTTTTTTTTCTGACGTAAAAGCTAAAAATAACTACTAATACTCTTTCCAGGAAATAGTTCTTGAGTCTCTCAAGGAAATGCTGACAGAACTTTATGGTCCTGTTGAGAATAAGCAAAAATCTGACGGGAAGAAAGAACCTAAGGCTTGTTCTGCAGTGAACACTCAAGTTACTTGTACTCTGTCTTGTATTTCACAACCCCCAAAAAATAAACATTCATACACATTTAAAAAGAGCCATCATTCTCAAGAAAGATTCAGTTCTTCACATATGGGAGTAGAGAATCTTTTGTTGAAGGATGAAGTTATGGAAGATAGTCTTAGACTGAATGGACAGAAAGTTGGAAATCTTAAGCCTAAGTCACCACAATTATTTGTTAGAGATGAAGTAGTGGAAAAAGTGGATCAATATTTCTGTAAACAAAACATTACTAATGTAAAGCAAACTGTGATTACAAGCACCCCTCATAGTGAAGACCAGGAATTTTGTCCTTCTGTATCTGAAAGTATTATTACCCATGATGGAGAATTAAGACATTGTGTGGAAGAAACAGATACTGACCTCGATATATTCTCTTCTAAAGATGCCCATATTTTGAGCTCTGATGAACAAAATATTTCAGGTATTGAACCCTTGTCTAACTCAAATTTGTGTAATAATGCCATTAACATTTCTAAACCAAAAACTAGTGAACAGTCTCTAGACAAGCCAATGAAACATAACGGCACTCATAATTTGAGCTCTAACAAGCAAAATATGTCATGTATTGAACCTTTGTCTATTTCAAGTTCATGTGATGTTAATGAGAAAGATATACCTAAATCTAAACAGTCTAATGAATTAATAAAGCCTATTGGAATCAGTGTAGCTTCATGTGGGTCAGAACCTGAGAGCAATCTCCTACATGAATCTCTCCTAGGATCAGATGGTATTCCTGTCTTCAGAATTGCTGCACTTCCATCTGAGGAGCTACAGGCAAGCTTCATGAATGACCAGCCTTGTCAAGTTTCAGGAACAGAGAAAGAAAATGTAAAATTGACACATTTAAATATTTGTTATGATGAAAAAGATAGAGAACAAAAGACAAACTCACGAGAAAGTTTTACTGCATTGAAAAAGTCATCTTGTGAAGAGGAGTCTCTAAATCCTTCCATAGCTTCAAGTACAGAGAAATCCACCGGAGGATACTGGAGCAGAGGTCTTACAACAACTGGTGCAAATATTCAGGTAATTTATTTCAGTTGATGTTAAATGTGACTGCATATTTTTCAGTACACATTGTAATTATTTATGCATGAATGTGAAAATAGAGCTATGCTTATTGTGGCCCATTTTTATTTTATTTATAAATAATAACTTTCTCTATGGGGAAGTGGAAAAGAATTCTTCCTCCATAAGCCATGTGTGTCATAAAGCAGTGACTAAATTGCCAGGAGCAAGGGGCCAGTAATCCCTTCTCCTGTATAAATTACTAAATGTAAAAAGAAACCATAGTTATTCTCTATAAAATGTATTTTTTGTTAATATTTCCCATAAGAAATAATGCAAATCCAATTAATCCATTCTAGACACCCAAAAATATTAACAAAAAATACATTTTATAGAGGATAACTATAGTTTTACGCACAAACTAGAGCATACGAAAACCAAGGTTCCACTGTACGTCTTCCATTCTATCAAATGATACCATAATACAACTATAATAACTATACAAAAATACATGGCAAAGTCACTGTTTTAAACCAAAAAGAAGTCACAGTTTTTTCTCATTATGCTCTGCTTGCTGCAGGTTTTTTTTTATATGGTGTACACTTACCGCATAGACCCATACTCTAATATCTAGGCACAAATTTGCCACTTATGGCTTATCTGAATGAGTTGAGCTCATGGCATTGGAAATAAGTCACTTTGCCTGACTTTTTTTGGTTATTCTAGGTTCCCTACACATATGCTGCTATGTATGATAATCTTTATAACTGTATTTGTGTATACTGGAATAAACTTACTTACTTACGGGATCGACAGTGGCTTCAAAGCCATGATATAACAGAACCAACCTTGAAATGGGTAAACATTCATCTTTTTCTGCTTACAAACTGTACACTGTAGACAAGGATAAGTAGCTGAAAGGCAAGTGATGCCTCAGATGAGGTTGTGCATGTGTGAATATATACACAAATAACCTGCACATAGGAGACTAAAACTTACGCCGACATTTTTGTCCAACTTGGACCATTAACAGTATTGTGCCTTTTTTATTGGTTATGTGTGAATGTATGTGCACAGTTGTGTCAGACATGGATATCTGCATGTTCTTGTCTGAAATAATGTACATGCTTGTAAAAATTCTATTAAATTCTTACTATTAGAATGTCAAGAATTAAATAATTATTGTTAGGGTATAATCTTTGTCAGGAATTGCAATTTAATTTTTTGTGGCATCATACATCATGCAAGATTCAGTGCAATGTGTGCATATGTATTCATTTACTTATCAATTTTGTGTATCATTAATATATAGTGCTTCTTTTATGCAGACTGTACAGCTTGTTAATTCTGCAAGTGCTGAAGGAAGAGTTCCCAACAGGAAACTTTCTCTTGGGAGTGATGTAAGAAAGAGAGCACCAGTTGAGCTTCAAGGAGCAGAAGCTGTGCTATCAAAGAAACCTAAACTTGATTCATTAAAACCATCTGGCAGTGAATATATCCATGGCAAACAAGTAAAGAAACCATCAAGTCCCTTCATTCTTTTTTCAAGGGATGTAAGGTCTCAAGGTAATGCTTTGAGATTCTTTTTGAGCACTTTATTCTTAGTGTTATTTAGCCAGACCTTTAGTTTCTTTATTCAAGTTTGTTTTGTCTTATCATTTTACTGTCCTTCATGTAAATCTACATTATTAACGCCATGGTCCTCATGTAGATCTGTCTGGAGCTCTGCTCACTCAGATAAGCTGAGAGCAGTAAATTTTGGCCTAGATATAAGAGAATGGGTTTGTGCAGTGAGTGTACATAGTTCAGAAAAGAATCCTACCCTATGTGGTGCAAGATGGGAAGAGGCTTGTGATTGGTTGGAACTAAAGAACGGGAAGCTGGCCGCGCGGGCCACAGAGTATGACACGCCCCCAAAACACGTAATTAATACCGAATTTTGTCGGCCAAACACGATAAAGGGTTAAAACACTGCAGCAGATTTGAGGTAGTTTCTTGGATTGTTTTTATGGTTTTATTGGCTGTTTCTTGGTATCTTTTGATAGAATGGAAGACACACTACTGAAATAGAGATGATTTTGATTGGTTTTTGCCAATTTTGCTGAGGATGGGCAAGGCCTCCCTGCACCCTCAGTCTGTTTAATGGGTTTTTAATAGGTCTGATTCAATTATTGGAATGCTGTGAACCATGCCCAATCATTCCTGGTTATATTTTATTATCTAAGAAATAGGGTAAATCTTCGATGCTTTGTGTGATTGTGAATTCAAAATGGAAGGCAAATGTAATATAGGGGAGGCCTAGGAACATGATTAATGAACATAAAAAATGTTGTTTTAGTGCCTAGAATGTCTATAGTGTTTATTTTGGACTTGTTTTTTAAACTGGAATTTTTTTTAATTTTGTGTAGAATTGACAAAATTACTGCCTTTTGTGCACATCATAGTGTTGTTTTGAGGCTTGAATGGGTGGTTTCTTGTGCTGAATCAATAGAATGGAAGATAGGTCAGTGAAATAGCTAAGAATTTGGTCTAACTGAGCAATGGAATTAGTTTAAAATATTACTGAAATTGGATGAAATTGCCAATGTGTAAATTGCGCCCAGACCACTAACTTTCACTTGTCTGATTCTACTAAATTTAATACTTTTGGTATCATTACCTTCAAAAAAAAAATTCTCTATTATTTCAGAAGAAAAAAAATATTTTTTCTTTAAATGTGGACACTGAGCACTTTTAATTTAGAGGTTTTGGACAATGAAGGGGTTCAACCATTTAATTTAGAGGCTTTGGACAATGAAGGGGTTCAACCATTTAATTTAGAGGCTTTGGACAATGAAGGGGTTCAACCATTTAATTTAGAGGCTTTGGACAATGAAGGGGTTCAACCATTTAATTTAGAGGCTTTGGACAATGAAGGGGTTCAAACATTCACATTCAGATATTATTACATGATCATAACTTCTTTTTAAATATGAAACTTTTGTTCCCTTTGCTGAAGTTAATTATACATAAGGTATCCCTTTCCATTGATGGCCAGTTTAACATTTTTTAATGCTTTCTTTCAACTAACACGGCTGTTCCACCAAGGCAGGTGGCCCACAAAATAGAAACAGACAAAGTTTTCTTTTATAAATTTTAGTATTCCTTTGTGATGAAGGTTTACTAGCCCCTTGTCCCGTTACATTTTTAGTCGCCTCTTATCAACACAGCATGGCTTACAGGATGGAAGAAAATTCATGTTTCACTTTCCCCATTGAAAATTCTATTTATTATCTTGTGTTTTATTTTACCTCAATAGCCGATAATCTCACCAGGAATTCAACATGTTATTACCTCCAAAGCCAAACCAAACACTGATGAAAAAACATTTGCCATCATTCTTTTGTTGTCTTTCCAGAAATGCACTGTCATTGCAATTCAGATCACCCTCCGACTTCATGATTTATATTTTTGTTCCAGTGTTATCTGAAAATCCTGGTGCAGACTTTGCTTTCATTGCAAAGGAGTTGGCAGAAAGATGGAAAGCTTTAGACCATGAAACAAAATGTTGTTATAACGATCAGGCTAAGCTGGAGATGGTTAAATACCAGGAGGAAGTCAGGTGAGTGATACCTGTATAATGTACTGTAAATCAAAAGTAATTTTGGTTTTGAATGGTAAATCAATTTCTCTCGTAGGAATGTACAGGTGTAATGCTGGTAGGTATATGTGTGAAGACACAATATGCAGAACAAGCTTTAATTAGGACAATGTTTGCCCTCACATAGAGTTTTATCAAGACTTTATGAAGCTCTTTCATGAGTAAATATTATTATATGTATTGTACATTAGCAAGAAGCACTAAACCATTATGGGTCATGTAGCACTCAGTGTGGCTCACCACACATAAAGGGGGTAGTGGAGGTGGAGGCTATAGTGTAGAAGGAATTAAGTAATGTTGGAATCAGTACAATAGGTTATTTAGTTTTAAACAGCCATGGTAATATCATACATCCCTGTGCTACTTTTACTGGGAAATAGTTCCCTCCTGCTCTCCTGTATACCCTAACCTCACTAAATCTGTATAAAAACCCTTAGCTACTTTCATTAGCTTACCCTTTATATAGTTTTGTATTTGCATGTTTTCAATAATACTGTAGCTCAGAAAACATGTTGAGAATTCACAAAACAACTTTTACATTTCATATACAATTACAGGTTGTATGAATGTGATTTTTTATTAGTAGTGAAAACATCCCATGCCTCTTGTTAGGTACAGTATGACTCCTATGGGTTTAACACTTTCCCCATGAATGTGATAATAATTTTTTTTTTTAACCCATCAGCCATTCCCCACCAAGGCAGGGTGACCCAAAAAGAAACAAAAAAACTTTCATCATCATTCAACACTTTCACCATCATTCATACATAATCACTGTCTTTGCAGAGGCGCTCAGGTACGACAGTTTAGATGTCTCTCCAAACTGACAATATCCCAAACCCCCTTCTTTAAAGTGCAGGCACTGTACTTCCCATTTCCAGGACTCAAGCCCAGCTAACTGGTTTCCCTGAATCCCTTCACAAAATAGTACCCTGCTCACACACCAATAGTCCGTCAGGTCCCAAAAGCCATTCGTCTCCATTCACTCCTATCTAACACGCTCACATACGCTTTCTGGAAGTCCAAGTCCCTCACCATAAAACCTCCTTTACCCCCTCCCTCCAACCTTATCAGGGATGACCCCTATCCTGCCTTCCTTCCCCTACAGATTTATACGCTCTTCAAGTCATTCTACTTTGTTCTATTCTCTCTAAATGACCAAACTACCTCAGCAGCCCCTCTTCAGCCCTCTTACTAATACCTTTAGTAACTCCACACCTCCTCCTAATTTCCACACTACAAATTCTCTGCATAATATTTATACCACACGTTACCCTTAGACAGGACATCTCCACTGCCTCCAGTCGTCTCCTCGCTGCAGCATTAACAGCCCATGCTTCACACCCATATAAGCATGTTGGTACCACTATACTTTCATACATTCCCTTCTTTGCCTTCATGGATAATGTTTTTTGTCTCCACAGATACTTCAATACACCAGTCACCTTTTTTCCTTCATCAATTCAATGGGTAACCTCATGCTTCATAAACCCATCCACCGACAAGTCAGCTCCCAAATATCTGAAAACATTCACCTCTGCAAAAACAGTGATAATGTGCGAGTGTGGTGAAAGTGTTGAATGATGATGAAAGTATTTTCTTTTTGGGTCACCCTGCCTCGGTGGGAGACGGCCGACTTGTTAAAAAAAAAAAAAATCACTTCTTTCATAGTCCCTCATCACCTTACTCTTATCTGTGTTCACTTTCAACTTTCTACCTTTACACACCCTCCCAAACTTGTCCACTAACCTTTGCAACTTTTTCTTTAGAATCCCCCAAAAGAACCGTATCATTAGCAAAAAGTAACTGTGTCAACTTCCATTTTGTATTTGATTCTCCATAATTTAATCCCACCCCTCTCCCCAACACCCTAGCATTTACTTCTTTTACAATCTCATCTATAAATAAGTTTATCTATAAATATGTTTAACATATTTATAGTGATCTAGGTAATAGGTTGGTAGACAGAACCTCCCAGGGAGGTACTACCGTCCTGCCAAGTTAGTGCAAAACGGAAACCTTAATTGTTTTACATGATGGTAGGATTGCTGGTGTCTTTTTTCTGTCTCATAAACATGCAAGATTTCAGGTACATCTTGCTACTATTGCTTACACTTAGGTCACACTACACATGCATGTACAAGCATATATATACACACCCCTCTGGGTTTTCTTCTATTTTCTTTCTAGTTCTTGTTCTTTTTTATTTCCTCTCATCTCCATGGGGAAGTGGAACAGAATTCTTCCTCCGTAAGCTATGCATGTTGTAAGAGGCAACTAAAATGCCAGGAGCAAAGGGCTAGTAACCCCTTCTTCTGTACAAATTACTAAATTTAAAAAGAGAAACTTTCGTTTTTCTTTTTGGGCCACCCTGCCTTGGTGGAATATGGCTGGTTTGTTGAAAAAAAAAAAACAATAATAATGTTAATTATGCCTCTTGTTTTGAAGTACCATTGAATAGTAAGTTTCTTATTACCGGGATACCTCAGGGATATGTTTAAAAGACAATATTCAAAATAAAGTTGCTAGTAATGGCAAATCAATTGATCAATAAACAAAGAGGGATAGTAGAGGGCAACGAGTGACTAGCTCCCTTAAGGTTTACTATACAAATAGTAGGAGTCTAAGAAATAAGATAGATGAGCTAAGATACTTGCAAGTGTAGGTAATATAGATATTATTGGCATAACAGTGACCTAGTTCAACTTGAAAGATAGAGAAATGCCTTCTGAATGCAACATACAGGGTTATAAACTATTCCACACTGACAGGGTCAACAGGAAGGGTGGTGGGGTGGCGATGTATGTCAGAGATAATTTAAATTGTTGTCTTAGATATGATATAAGATTAGAAACATTGAACACAGAATCTGTTTGGCTACAGTTTCTCGAGGGACGTGAGAAATTAATTTTGGGTATGATTTATAGACCCCCCAAACCTTGATAGGGAGTGCAGTAAGCTGTTATGGGGCAAAATTCATAAGGCATCTAGATATGAAAATGTTGTGATAATGAGAGATTTTAACTTTAGACAAATTGATTGGAACAATATGACAGGAAATCTTGAGTCTAGTGACTTTCTTGATATGGTTCAGGATTGCTTTTTAAAACAGGTTGTGACAGAACCAACTACAGGAAACAATCTGCTTGACTTGGTTCTTGCCATCAAAGATTCACTAATTAATAATCTTGAGGTTAATGATGAGCTTGGGGAAAGTGATCATAAATCACTTAGTTTCAATATATCATGGAATTACCCAGATAACTGCAATCAAATCTCTGTCCCAGACTATTTTCGCTTTGCCGACTTCATGGGACTGAAAAATTACCTGGGTGGGCTAAATTGGGATGTCCTGACTATGGGTCAGGTAGGTGATCTTAGTTGCCAATATGACATTTTTCAGAGCATAGTTCTAGCTGCCCAGACTACTTTTGTTCCGAGTAGGGAAATTAGATCTAATAAAAATTATCCCAAATGTATGAACAATAGATTAAAACATCTCATTGGTCAAAAGAGAAGCATATATAGGAGTATCAAAAGAGGGGATGGGCAGTTAAGAAATCAGTATGGTATAAACCTTGGTAATAAATACCGACAAGTTGGTTTAGAAAGACACATAAGCAAACACTATGACATATTTATTAGAAAACGTTTCGGTCCTGGGACCTTGATCACTTCTAACATACAGAGGTAGAAAGACATTACAGTGGACCCCCGGTTAACGATATTTTTTCACTCCAGAAGTATGTTCAGGTGCCAGTACTGACCGAATTTGTTCCCATAAGGAATATTGTGAAGTAGATTAGTCCATTTCAGACCCCCAAACATACACGTACAAACGCACTTACATAAATACACTTACATAATTGGTCGCATTCGGAGGTGATCGTTATGCGGGGGTCCACTGTATATATATAGGCGGAGAGTGAGGTGTGACGCATGTGACCTGAGGAATGTCATAAGAACATAAGAATGGAGGAACACTGTATAAGGCCTACTGGCCCATGCGAGGCAGGTCCTTATCAAAACAACCTCTACCTATGATGAGGACGGGTAGACGATGAAATCATGTGACTCCTGTGTTGTTGGGTTGGTGGTGCTTAAGTATCATGTATGCCAATGTTTTTGAAATTTTGTAGTTTCCAGTGTTGCGTTCTATAGTGTCGGTGATGGCGATTAGTGAGGCTTCTAGGCACTGTCGGCGTCTGAGGTCTGGTTCGGTGAGAACGAGTTGTGCCTCATTCTAGTTCATCAAATGTCCCGTGGAGTCTCTGTGGAGGACACAGGCATACCTTACATCATCTCTGTTAGATGGCAAACTTCCTTTCCTCGATGTTCCACTGTGCAGATCTCCCGACAGTGACAAACTTCTCTTCAAAGTGTATAGAAAACCTACCAACAAGGACGATCTTATATACTTTTATTCACACCAAGACACCCGCACTAAGAGTGGAGTCCTCATTGGCTTCTTGAGAGCTCTTCGCATCTCCAGCCCTTGTTTTCTAGAAGAAGAATGCACTTACATAACACAAGCCTTTACACGTCTTCAGTTCCCATCTTTCTTCATCCGAGATTGCAGACTCAAGGCACAAGCTATCCTCAACAAACCACCCATGGAACAGCCCCCTAAGCAGTTTATAGTACTCCCATGTGGTGATGTTGCCACGAATACTCGCCGGGCACTTGCTATGGGTAATATCAACGTTTCCACCATAAACACATCATCTATCAAAGACCTCACTACAAAACGCAGCCCCACACCTCTAACTTCTACAGCAGGCGTCTACACTATCCCCTGTGGGTTCTGTCCCAAGAAATATCTAGGCGAGACAGGCAGAGATCTTGCAGTCCGCCTGAATGAGCATCTAAATGCCTCTAACAGAGATGATGTAAGGTACGCCTGTGTCCTCCACAGAGACTCCACGGGACATTTGATGAACTGAAATGAGGCACAACTCGTTCTCACCGAACCAGACCTCAAACGCCGATGGTGCCTAGAAGCCTCACTAATCGCCATCACTGACACTATAGAACACAACACTGGAAACTACAAAATTTCAAAAACATTGGCATACATGATACTTAAGCACCACCAACCCAACAACACAGGAGTCACATGATTTCATCGTCTACCCGTCCTCATCATAGGTAGAGGTTGTTTTGATAAGGACCTGCCTCACATGGGCCAGTAGGCCTTATACAGTGTTCCTCCATTCTTATGTTCTTATGACATTCCTCAAATCACGTGCGTCACACCTCACTCTCCGCCTATATATATAATGTCTTTCTACCTCTGTATGTTAGAAGTGATCAAGGTCCCAGGACTGAAACGTTTTCTAATAAATATGTCATAGTGTTTGCTTACATGTCTTTCTAAACCAAGAAATCAGTATATTCAATTAAAGAGAGAAATAAAGAAAGGAATAAGAAAAGCAAAAAGGGATTATGAGGCTAAGGTCGCAAGGGATTCAAAGACTAACCCAAAAGGGTTCTTTCAGGTATACAGAAGTAAGATTAGGGACAAGATTGTCCCACTTAAGAGTAACTCTGGTCAGATCACTGACAGTGATAAGGATTTATGTGAAATTCTCAATACCTACTTCTTCTCAGTTTTCACCCAGGAAAATACTAGCGATATTCCTGAAATACTATAATAGATTACGTAGAACAGGATGATAATAAACTATGCACAATTGTGGTAACTAGTGACATAGTCCTCAGACAAATAGAGAAACTAAAACCTAACAAATCCCCAGGTCCTGATGAACTGTTTGCAAGGGTGTTAAAGGAATGTAAAGAGGAACTTAGCATACCTTTGGCTAATCTTTTTAACATATCACTACACACTGGCATAGTGCCTGATAAGTGGAAAATGGCAAATGTAATACCTATTTACAAGGCAGGTGACAGGTCCTTGGCTTCAAATTATAGACCAATAAGCCTTACCTCCATAGTGGGAAAATTTATGGAATCAATAATTGCCGAAGCAATTCGTAGCCATCTTGATAGGCACAGATTGATTAATGAATATCAACACAGTTTTACAAAAGGATGTTCCTGTCTTACGAATTTACTAACTTTTTTCACTAAGGTGTTTGAGGAGGCAGATCATGGTAATGAATATGATATTGTGTATATGGACTTCAGTAAGGCTTTCGATAGAGTTCCACACCAGAGGCTATTGAGGAAACTTAAGGCACACAGAATAGGAGGAGAAATTCTTTCCTGGGTAGAGGCATGGCTGACAAATAGGCAGCAGAGAGTTTGCATAAATGGGGAGAAATCAGAATGGGGGCACGTCACAAGCGGTGTTCCTCAGGGGTCAGTGTTGGGCCCGTTGTTGTTCACTATTTACATAAACGACATAGATGAGGGAATAAATAGCAACATAAACAAATTTGCTGATGACACCAAAATAGGCCGTCCAATTCATTCTAATGAAGACACTAGAGCACTCCAGGATGATTTGAATAGACTGATGCAATGGTCGGAGAAGTGGCAGATGCAGTTTAATATTGACATATGCAAAGTTCTAAATGTTGGACAGGTAAATAACCATGCCACATATAAACTAAATAATGTAGATCTTAATACTACTGATTGCGAAAAGGATTTAGGAGTTCTGGTTAGCGGTAATCTAAAACCAAGACAACAGTGCATTAGTGTTTGCAATAAAGCTAACAGAATTCTTGGCTTCATATCTAGAAGTATAAATAATAGAAGTCCTCAGGTTGTTCTTCAAGTCTATATATCCTTGGTTAGGCCTTATTTAGACTATGCTGCTCAGTTCTGGTCACCGTATTACAGAATGGATATAAATGCTCTGGAAAACGTACAAAGGAGGATGACAAAGATGATCCCATGTATCAGAAACCTTCCCTATGAGGATAGACTGAGGGCCCTGAATCTGCACTCTCTCGAAAGGCGTAGAATTAGGGGGGATATGATCGAGGTGTATAAATGGAAAACATTAATAAATAAAGGGGATGTAAATAGCGTGCTGAAAATTTCCAGCCGTGACAGGACTCGCAGCAGTGGTTTCAAGTTGGAAAAATTTAGATTCAGGAAGGACATAGGAAACCACTGGTTTGGTAATAGAGTTGTGGATGAGTGGAACAAACTCCCGAGTAAAGTTATTCAGGCTAAAACGTTGTGTAGTTTTAAAAATAGGTTAGATAAATACATGAGTGGGTGTGAGTTGGACCTGACTAACTTGTGCTGCTTGGTCTGGTGCCATGCTCCTTCCTTGAGTGGAGGTGACCAGACTGGGTGGGTCATTGGGCTAATCCGGGGGGGAGGGGGGGATCATTGGGTTAATCCGGGGGGGTGCATGGACCTGCTCCGCATGAGTCAGTAGGCCTGTTGCAGTGTTCTTTCTTTCTTATGTTCTTATGTTCATGTTTTCAGGAAAATCCGAGAAAATAGAGGCTTGAACACTTCATTTAATTCCCCATCGAAAAAAATTAGAATGACTAAGGCATCACTGGACAGGTAAGCAGTTTGTAACAGTGCAGTCAATGCAAATTTCCGTCTCCTTTCACAATCACACTACCATCAATAATTAATTAATTAAACCTTACACAGTACAGTGGACCCCCGGTTTACGATATTATTTCATTCCAGAAGTATGTTCAGGTGCCAGTACTGAACGAATTTGTTCCCATAAGGAATATTGTGATTTAGATTAGTCCATTTCAGGCCCCCAAACATACACGTACAAACGCACTTACATAAATACACTTACATAATTGGTCGCATTGGGAGGTGATCGTAAAGCGGGGGTCCACTGTACATCTAATACAGCCTGTTTAATAATATGACTTACATTACTTTGAATTGCTACTTCTTCATGTTACCTTTGCTCTTTTATCAGATTCATGCAGAATTTTCACTTAAAATTAATATTTTTTTTAACCCTTTCAGGATCCAGACCCCTAATTTGAAAATTGCTCTCAGGATCCATGAATTTAAAAAAAAAAAAAAAAAATCTTATGAAATGATGGAGACTTTTTCTGAAGGTAATGACACCAAAAGTACAAAATTTGATGGAAAACTTGCACTTTTGCAAAGTTAACAACCTCAGCGATATTTACACATTGGCACTTTCACCCGCTTTGAGTCCTATTTTAGGCCAATTCCATTGTTCCAGTCAGTCAAACTCTTAGTTATTTCGCTAGCACGCCTTCCATTCTATGAATTGAGTAAAAGAAACCAACCGGTCAACTATTTCAACTACCCAATAAAGTGATCAGAAATTGGTAATTTGGCCAGTTTCACACAAATTTCAAAATAGTGTCCAGAATAATCATTGCATAATAATCCTGGCACTAAAATAACATTTTCTCTGTTCATTAGTTACATTTCCAGGCTTTACATGTGAATTCCATTTTGATTTTTTATTCACATTTACACATGAATTCCATTTTGATTTTTTATTCACACAAAGCATTTTTTTTATACAAAAAAATAGAAGATTTACTGTTATACAATATTATAATAATTGTATAAAAAATATCAGCGCATTTGTGAATGCATATTAGATCCACCAGTTGATGTGTATGTGTATTGGACGCAATATGTGATTTGTTTACTCTTGAACATCAGCAAAAATTGAACATTTCTGCTATTTTGAGCTCAATTTTAAGCTATTTTCAGTCCTAAAACCAATCAAAATCTTCTATATTTCTGTAATATATCTTCCATTCTATCAAATGAGATCAAGAAACTGTGAATACACCATAAAAAACCACATGAAAATAAACCACTGTCACTGGTTTAAACCAAAAACACTGTTGCAGTTTTTTTTTCATATGCACTGCATGCTGCAGGATTTTTTATATGGTGCAAACTTACCACATAGACCAATTCTCTCATATTTAGGCCTAAATTTACAGCTCACAGCTTATCTGAGTAAGCTGAGCACATGGCGTAGAATTACGGCACTGGCATTGGCTTCATAGCCGTAGGACTATCGCACGGACCCTGAAAGGCTCATTATTATTATTGTTATTATGATATACAGCCTCTCCTCACTTGGCGACGTACTCGTTTACTGATGACTCAGATTTATGACGGGCTGTCTGACCAGTATGCATACCAAGCTGATTTCCTCTTTTCTGTTTTTTACATTATACAGTATACTACTGTATAAACATTTTAAAATATACCAGAGATGTTATAAATGGTGCAAAGGTAACATTAAAACAATATTCAAGATGACTGACACAAACCCACTACCATTATAGTACAGTGGACCCCCGGTTAATGATATTTTTTCACTCCAGAAGTATGTTCAGGTGCCAGTACTGACCGAATTTGTTCCCATAAGGAATATTGTGAAGTAGATTAGTCCATTTCAGACCCCCAAACATACACGTACAAACGCACTTACATAAATACACTTACATAATTGGTCGCATTCGGAGGTGATCGTTATGCGGGGGTCCACTGTATTTTCCTCACTTAGCAACGAATTCATTTACCAACGAGGTCTTAGGAGTGGAACTCCATCGTTAAGTGAGGAGAGGCTGTATTTGTTTACCTTAATGGCTTTCTCCTACCTAGGCAGGGTAACCTGAAGAAAAAATCATATTTACCATCATTCATTCAACTGCTGTCTTCCTGATATGTGCTGACATCACAGTTCAGATTACCCTTCAACTGCAACATCCCCACCCCTTCTTCAGAGTGCAGGCACCATACTTCCCACCTCAAGAACTCAAGCCCAGCAAACCATTTTTCTTGAATCCCTTTGTTGCTCACACTTGAGCAACACTTCAAGCCACAAAAACCACTTAGTCTCCACTCACTCCTATCTAAGACACAAGCCTGCTGGATACTCAAACACTCAAAACTTCCTTTACTCCCCCTACCCCTCCTGCCTTCCACTCCAGATTTATACACCCTTTTGTCCATCACATTCTGCTCCATCCTCTCCAAATATTTAAACCACCTCAACAACCCCTTCTCAGCCCTCTGGATTATATCTTGGGTAAACCCCTCATTGTCATTGATTTGAATTCTCTGCATAATATAAACATTACAATTTTTTTTTTAACATGCTGGCCATCTCCCACTGAGGCAGGGTGACCCAAAAAAGAAACACTTTCACCATCACTCACACTATCACTGTCTTGCCAGAGACATGCAGATATGATGGTTTAAATGTCTCTCTAAACAGCAAATACAGTATCTCAAACACCTCCTTTAGAGTGCAGGCATTGCCTCTAGCTTTTTCCTAGCTGCAACATTTACAGCTTATGGTGTGATTATAAAGCCATGTACCTACTTTTTTTTTTTTAGGTACATTGCTCCCATGACTCCTCAGTTGAGCAAAAATGGTGGAAAGTACGTCCAGAAGCAACCACTTGTATCGATAAGATCTTGGCGTGAACGCAGTTTGGAGATACACATAACTATAGATAAAATCAAGGAGGTACTGAAGAGCAATCCTCCTGATATTAACTCAGGCAGCTTAACAACATTGCTTGGTCCCTTGACTTCCTGTGGAGGTTGGCTGTGCTTGAGAGAAAGAAATATCATAGGACTCAACACATTTAGACTACATGAAACTGTTCTTGTCAACAGTCTTATGAAAACTTTTTGTCTTCCTGTGAAAGACCTCACTGATTTTATACCATTTAATGCAAGGTAGGTTTCAAGAAGTTTTTTGTATACATCTAATATTGTTTAAAAATATAGTGAAAATGAGAAATTTCCATAATATAAAGAGTGACATGAATATGCTTAAAAGATGGTAGGACTAGAATGGAAAGCTATCAAACAAATAAGATAGAGTTTAATCCATAGTTTTGTATATTGAATGACCCATACTGGTTGAACACTTTGTGTCAGTATAGTACTAATTCATAATATTTATGTATATTTCTTTCAACAAACCAGCTGTATCCCACCAAGGCATGGTGGCCCAAAAAGAAAAAGAAAAGTTTCTCTTTAACTTTAGTAATGTATATAGGAGAAGGGGTTACTAGCCCCTTGCCCCTGGCATTTTAGTTGCCTATTACAACACGCATGACTTATGGAGGAAGAATTCTGTTCTACTTCCTTATGGAGATAAGAGGAAATAAACAAGAACAAGAACTAGTAAGAAAATAGAAGAAAACCCAGAGGGGTGTGTGTATATATGCATATGCTTCTACATGTATGTGTAGTGTGACCTAAGTGTAAGTAGAAGTAGCAAGACATACCTGAAATCTTGCATGTTTTTGAGACAAAAAAAAAAACACCAGCAATCCTACCATCACATACAACAATTACCGGCTTCCATTTTACACTTGCTTGGCAGGACGGTAGTATACTTCCCTGGGGAGCTGCTGTTTACCAACCTATTACCTAGGATATAAAGAAGAGTTAGGAATCAAAGCAAAATAAAAATATCTAAAATTAAAGGAAACTAATACAGAAGATTTACTAGGAATCTCATGTGCTGTTGTTGGAAAAATGGCTGATTTGTATATTGGCTAGAGGCATGTTGAATTCACAGATAACTGGTGCACATACCAACTGTTTTGTGATCACCTGAAAGTAAGGCAGGAGTGCACCTGGCAAAGCGAGAGCATTTCGAAAAAACATTTTGATAGTGAGGAAGTGTAGTTAGTCATTTTAGCAGAGCTAATCAACAGCAAACTTTTGAAGTGGTGTACTCAGTGCAATTCTGAGAGATAACCCAGTGTTTGCTCATTATAAAATCAGCTACAATCTTTGAACTTCTTTGAGCTTCGTTTGTGTTGTGTGTGACTAGAAAACACCTGCGATATAAAAAAATCAAGATGTAGCTTAGATACAGTATACAGAAGTGTATCATACTCTGTATTACTGACCAGAAGTCCCTGTATCTGTGGATATGTTCCAAGACTTACAGCAGATGCCCGTAACCACAGATAATAGTGAACCCTATATATAAATAATTTTTCGTTTACATATATACATACCTATGATAAAGTTTAATTGATAAATTTTGCACAGTAAGACATTACGATGTGATGGTTGGGGATCGTCAATAGTGGACATGGTTTGTTTTTCAACCTTTTGGAAAAACATCATGATAGGAAATTGTTTGTTTATTTTCAGCTGAACAAACATTTGCTGGAGAGGTTCTAATGGGAAGCACTTCACAGCTTCTCATAGGCTTTGAAGAACTGCCAGGGTTACTACTTTTGCACTTTGGAGTCATTATTAAAGAAATTAAGGGTTATTTTCCCAACAGCACTGTGATAATGCTTTAATGAATGCGGTTGGTGAGAACGCTAGAGGCTAACTGGATGTGAGTAAAGGTTTCACCATGTTACTCAGAATGACTCACAGTTTGAAACTTATGAATCGTTTATTTCTGGAATATTCCACTTAATAGTTTCGGGCTGTGGTAAACCGCAGTAACTGAATCTGCAGATACAGAGGTTCTACTGTTCTGGTTATTAGCCATACTCAGCAAGGATATTATTGCTTGTAACTAATTACATCCTGCATAGCTTACACCTGTTTCTTGCAGTTGGTTTCTTAGTACAGTGGACCCCCGCATAACGATCACCTCCGAATGCGACCAATTATGTAAGTGTATTTATGTAAGTGCGTTTGTACGTGTATGTTTGGGGCTCTGAAATGGACTAATCTACTTCACAATATTCCTTATGGGAACAAATTCGGTCAGTACTGGCACCTGAACATACTTCTGGAGTGAAAAAATATCGTTAACCGGGGGTCCACTGTACTGTATAAATTCTTATATTTTTCCTACATGAATATTACCTGCAGTTGGTTATTTTCTACAGCACCCTTGGAATAGAGAGCTGGAAGCTTCTGCTAAAGCTTCATCGAGAAATGGTGCCTGATCGCAACATGTACATAGTTAAGGATCTCAGATTTGCATACAATGGTTTTAAAATAGCACTTTATCCTGGTGAGTAATAAATTTTATTTATTCCTGTAATATAGTGTAGTCATAAGCTTTGAACTGTGTAGAGTTATAGATTTATTGACAGATTTACCAGATTATATATAAATACACAGTACGGTGTGGCAGGCAGTACAAATGTTTGGAATAGTGATAGGCTGTTAAACAGCCTGTTATTTTCACAGATTATCATTTTACTGTTGTAAAGACACTCAAATATGAGAATGCTGAAGGCACCTTTAAATAGTCAAATTCTCACTGATTCACTGAGACTGCATTCAGTGGGTGTTTGTTTTCTGTTCACACCGCAGAACTTTTTTTACCACCTTTTAACTTATATTTATATTTTTACACTGTTTTATGTTAAAATTGGTTACTTTTAATGGGCAGAAGATTAACCTAACCTAACAGGAAATGTACTGCAAATCATATGTAAGGAATCTGTTTAGATGTTGGAAGGGAACAATTGAATTAAGACAAATAAAAAGTTTTTGTGAGGAGGGTGACACTCAGGTTAGGGTTAGTAAGGTTAGTCGGTATTTCACTGTTGCGAGGGGCATGAATGTCCAACAGGCTTGTTCAAGTGCATTAGATGAGAGTGAGTGAAGGCAAGTTGTTTTTATGACCTAACATGCTGTTGCAGTGTGAACAAGATAGCATGAATGGATTTAGGGAAAACCAGTTAGCCAGACTTTGAATACTGAAGGTGGGAAGTACAGTATACCTGCATTCTAGAGGAGGAGTAAGA